GTGAAGAGGAAAATATCACAGTAATCAACATTTCAACACCTACAGAACATACACAGACAGAATATAGGTTTACTCATCCTAAGGAGGAATCTGCTTTATGTGAAGAGGAAAATCTCACCGACACTGACTGTTATACAGCCACAGAACATACACAAACAGAAGTTGCATCTACTTCGATTAAAAAGGAACCAATCTCACATGAAGAAGAGAAATTCAGTGGCGGTGACATTCACACACCCACAAATCATATACAGACAGAATATACATCTATTCATGTTAAGGAAGAACTGGTGTCATGCGAAGGAAATCTCACAGACACAGACGCTCAAACACCACAAGAACTTACACAGACAGTATATACACCTACTTGTATTAAGGAGGATTCAGCCTTATGGGAACAGAATATCACGGGTACTGAGATCTATACACCCACAGAACACACACAGACAGACTATATACCTACTCATATAAAGGAGGAATCACCCTTATGGGAAGAAGCCTGTGTCACTGACATTTATACACCAACAAATCCTACACAGACGCAATTTGCATCTGCCTATATAAAGATGGAATCTGTCTCGTGGGAAGACCATTTCAAAAATGTTGACATTTACAGGCAGACGGAATATACACCAACTCCTGTTAAGTTGGAATCAGACTCTTGGGAAGAAATACATGTTACAGGCACTGATTTATCTACAGCCACAGAACATGCAAAAAGAATAGATCCACGTATTTATGGGGAACACAGTTTAGGAATAACCAGTACAGAGAGTGAAGTCAAGAAAGTGTTTAAGTGCAGTGAGTGTGGTAAAAAGTTTGATAACAAATATGCTTATATGTCTCACCAACAAAAACACACAATTGAGAGGATGCACAACTGTCTTAACTGTCACAAGTATTTTGCTATTTATTCAGATGATGTTGAACAACAGGCCTTTAACAGTGAAAATAAGTTGACTTGTTCTGTATGTCAGAAACATTTCTCTCGTAAATCCAACCTTTTTAGACATTACAGGACTCATTTGGGAAAAGATATAGTCTCGTGTTCTGATTGTAAAAAGAAGTATATCAGCAGGTACAACCATGCCACCCATCGAAAGATTTCCAAAGCTGTGACTATCTTCTCTTGTCCACAGTGTGGAAGGTGCTTTACCAATCGCTCATATTTTTCAGCTCACCTCAGGATACACAGTGGAGAAAAGCCCTTCACATGTTCTGAATGTGGGAAGTGTTTTAGCAAAAAGGCAAATCTTGTTAGGCATCAGATGATTCATACAGGGGAGACAAAGGTCTCATGTGCTGAATGTGGAAAATGTTTTCCAGATAAACAAAGGCTTGTTGCACATCAAACCATTCACACAGGACAGAAACCGTTCTCATGTTCTGAATGTGGAAAGCGCTTTAGCAGTAGCTCATATCTCGCTATCCATCAAAGAATTCACACAGGAGAAAAACCATTTGCGTGTTCTGAATGTGAGAAAAGGTTTACCCATAAATCTGTTCTTGTTATACATCAAAGAATTCACACAGGAGAAAAACCATTTGCATGTTCTGAATGTGGCAAGTGTTTTACCGATCAATCAAGTTTATTTACTCATCGTAGGGTTCACACAGGAGAGAAGCCATTCTCATGTACAAAATGTGGGAAATATTTTACTGTTAAGTCAAGTCTTGTTAAACATTACATGATTCACACTGGTTATAAACCATTTCCATGCTCTGAATGTGGGAAACGGTTTAGTTCAAATGCATATCTTGTCAGACATCAGAGGATTCACAAAGACATGAAGCCATTATAGAATGGAGTCATGCTCATTATCTGTATATTTGTAAAGATAAACCAGTTGCTTTACTCAGTGGTTTTTTATATCTTTACTGATAAATGTTTGCCTGCTCCCAGGTGGATGACAGATGTTAACCGTAAACAGTTTTCCTTCTCTGCCAAACTTGGGCATTCATTCACAAATAGTTGAATAATCCATCTTTCATAATATTTGTTTTAATTAGCTGGTTTTAAAACCAACAGTTTTAGAACTTGAAATAGAGTAAAGTTTGAATGCCTGGCCACTATGTCTCTTGGCTTAAAGGGACAATATAGTCACCAAATTACCTTTTCTGTATATATCATGCCTCTGCAGTTTCACTGCTCAATTCTCTGCCAGTTCAATCACTTTGTTTCTGTTTATGCAGCCCTAGCCACACCTCCCCTGGCTGTGACTGACACAGCCTGCATTAAAATAAAATTGTTTAATTTTCAATCCGATGTAACTTACCGTATTTATCGGCGTATAACACGCACCGGCGTATAACACGCACCTCATTTTAAGAAGGAAATTTCAGGAAAAAAAAAACTTAAATTTCAAATAAAGAACTTTGAAGCAAAATAAGGGTAGCTCAGAACTTTTTTCTGTTAATATTATTAACACTTATAAGGTAAATAACGTAAAATGACAGTAAAAGCAACTGTTTTAACAAAGAAACTTGGATATTATATGTTTTTACAAAAGTTTACTCAGAAATCGCTGCTATCTGGGAAACCAAGAAACTCTTCATCTTCACTGCTATCTTCAATATCTTTGAACTGAACACTGCTGCTTTCACTGCTACTGTCTTCATAAATCAGCTCGTCTTCTTCACCATCCAAAGCATTGCTTATGCCACATTTCTTAAAAGATTTGATAATAATATCTTCTTTAACTGTGTCCCACGAAGTCTTTATCCACTGACACACTTTTGAAATGCCAGGTCTTTTCATTCTCCCAGAACTTGTACTTTCATGTTGGCTTTCATCACACATGTATTTATTCCATTCTTCACGCATGAAGGCTTTGAAGGGCTTGTTAATGGAAACATCCAATGGCTGCAATTGTGATGTAAGTCCTCCTGGAATGACTGCTACTTCTGTTTTGCACATTTGAAATTCTTTCTTTGTTGGTTCTGTAAGATGAGATCTGAATGAGTCCAGTACTAACAAGGATGGCTTCTTTAACAAAGCACCTGGGCGCTTCTCCCACACATTTCTGATCCAAAGCCTCATGCCTTCTTCGTCCATCCAACCTTTGGGATGAACATGCACCTGTATGCCACTTGGAATCTTCTCCTTAGGAAAAGTTTTCCTTTTAAAAATGACCAATGGTGGCAGCTTGTTTCAGTCTGCAGTGACAGCAAAGACCACAGTATAACGATTTTTTTCATGCCCTGAAGTTTTAATTGTTACTGTCTTGGCACCTTTTGCTTCAACAGTTTTATTTGAAGGAACATCAAAAATGAGTGGTACTTCGTCCATGTTGCCGATTTGACCAATTTCAAAATTTTGTCTCTTCCTTTGTTTGATAATAAATGAATGAAAATTTATTATCTTCTCTTCATAATCTTCTGGCATACGCTGGGCAATCCTGGTTCTTGTTCGCATCCGAAGCTCGTGCCTCTTCATAAATCTTTGGCACCATGATGCTGTCCCTTTGAAATCTTGTATTTACAACTCTTTGCTGATTTTCACTGCTTGAATGATGATCATTTTTGTTGATAATGCAATGCCCGCTTTTCTATGATTAAGTACAAATTCCTTCACCCGTTCTTCTAATTTTGGCCATTTAGCAATACCGCTGCGAAAATTGCATTTTGTTTTTGATAATGTCTTGAGTTTTTCTTCCATTTTACCCCACTCTCGTATTGTGCATTCTGTTGGTGGCTCTCCAAAATGCCTTGCTGCAGCTCTATTTCCATGTTGCTTGGCATATTCCACAACCTTTAACTTGAAACCAGCTGTATATGCTGCACGCTTTTGCTTTGATTCCATTAGGGATACCGTAGTAGGGAAATACCGGTACCGTAAGTACGGTACGTAATGAATGCATGTATGATAGTGCAGAGTTCAGCGTCGGAATGTCAGGATGAGTCACACTGCAGCGGTATACTTTTTGCCTAAGTTTAAATTAAAAAAGAGTAAGGTAGTATCAGGGGTGTGTAAATTTACCGGTACTCTTGTTATATCTGTGTGTTGTAGGATGGCTGTGTGTAGTGTGTGTTGTAGGATGGCTTTGTTAGCATGTGTTTGTATGGTATGGTAAAATTTAAGGATGGTCTCGGACGTATTCAGATTGAGCCCCCCAGGAAGCCAATCATGGGTAGTGAGGCATTTCCCAAAACAGTTTGTATGGCTGAATTTGCACCGCATCTGCACTAAACACCACATTACCTTTTTTTTTTTTTTTATCCGCAGCAGAATCGGATCGCATAGTGGTTCACACTAGTGCGATCCGATTCTGTGCGAACTTGCAGATCGCACTGCGATATGCGATCTCAACTGGGGTGTGTTTTGTTGACATCCTTTATCGCATATGGCATCCCTCTGCCTCCCCTCCCCTCTTCTTACCCCCCCCTCCCCGCCTCCCCCCCTCCTACCTCTTCTTACTCCCCCCTCCCTTCGCCTCCTTCTTACTCCCCTCCTCCTCAGCCTTGCCTCCCCTTTCTTATTCCCCCTCCCCCCCTCTTCTTACCCCTTTCTTATACCTCACCTCTTCTTACCCCCCTTTCTTACTCCCCTCACCTTCTTACACCCCCTTTCTTACTCCCCCTCTTCCTTCACTTCCTCTTGCACCTTCTTGCTCCCCTCCCCCTCTGCACCCCCTTTCTTGCTCCACTCCCCTCTTCTTGCTCCCCTTCCCCCTCTTGCTTACCCCCTCCCCTCTACTTACCCCTCCTGCTTGGCGTGGCCGAGCTGCTCTGCTGTCCGCGGTGGCCGGCCGGAGTGATAGGAAGGTGCACGCTCAGTGTGCACCTCCCTGTCAGTCCGACCGGGTACAGGAAACAGAAACTCCTGTTCCGCGTGGAACAGGAGTTTCTGTTTCCTGTACCCGGTTGCGGGAACAGGAGCTCGGCCTGTACCCGGTTGGAGGGAAGGTGCACACTGAGCGTGCACCTTCCTATCACTCCGGCCGGGCACCGCGGACAGCAGAGCAGCATATAACACTACCCATAATTTGCCCCCTAAGGGAGAAAAAGTTTGTGTTATACGCCGATAAATACGGTACTTACATTAAAAGTTTTTATCTCCTGCTCTGCAAATTCAACTTTAATTACATACATTTTCAGGGAGAAAAAGTTTGTGTTATACGCCGATAAATACGGTACTTACATTAAAAGTTTTTATCTCCTGCTCTGCAAATTCAACTTTAATTACATACAAGAGGCTCTTGCAGGGTCTAGCAAGCTACTAAATGAGCAAGAGATAAGAAACTGTAAATTTAACAAAATTTGCAATAAAGGAAGTATAAACATTAGATGACTCTAAACAGGAAGTGTTTGGAAAGGCTGTGTAAGTCACATGCAGGGAGATGTGGCTAGGGCTGTGTAAACAAAGTGAATTAACTTCTAAATGGCAAGTAATTGAGCAGTGAGACTACAGGGACTTGATCTATACACCAAAACTGCTTCATTAATCTAAAGTTGTTTTGGTGACTCGTGTCCCTTTAATTTTACAAATATGTTCTCCACGTAAAATTGTTTATTACATTATATATACCAATGTTTTGCTCTTTGTGTTCTCGTATACTTCTAATTGATTAGATTGATACATCTCTAGGTATGGGTTTCAAATAGTTACTTAACCCCTTAAGGACACATGACGTGTGACATGTCATGATTCGCTTTTATTCCAGAAGTTTGGTCCTTAAGGGGTTAAAGGGGCATTCTGAGCACCAATACAATGTTAATGCATTTGATAAATTTTAGCCTCCTAAATATACTGCATTTTGTTGCTCAAATCTTTATACATATATTTTTTTATTTTTTTTTTGAACAGTGTTTTTTGAACGCTGTACCAGAAGCCATTCTCCTTGGCCATGCCCCTCTCTTGCCTGAAATACTTTTTTTGTTTGTGTACACAGCTCAGCCCTTAACAGCACTGAGTAAGCTGCTTATAATTCACAATCTGGGTACAAACAGTCAGAATCTACAGACAAATGGGTAGTGAAATCTGTACTGCATATGTCCCTGGGTATCTGCCCCTTTTAATGCAGTTTCTTTTGTAATTCAGATCACTCTGTGCTTTCATTGACTGTCAGTGTGCAGACATTGATAAGAAAGTATTTTTCTAGTGTGAAAGGGGCGTGGCTAAGGAGTCAGGCTTATGGAACAGCATTTTGCAAAAATTATAAAAATTTGTGCATTCGAAGAGACCGGATATTATAGATGAAATTCATTAATGTTTTATTGGTGCCTGGAGTTTCTATTTAAATGTAATTACTGATGTTTATGTTTATGCAGCTCTACTCACACCTCCCCTGCATGTGACCTAAACCGTCTCTCTACACACTTCCTGTAAAGTGAGATCCAATCTGTACACTTTCTTTATTGCGCAGTCTGTTTAATTTAGACTTTCTTGTCTCTTGCTCTGTTAAAAGCCAGCTTGAACCCGCAGGTGCCTCCTCTGTGTTATTAAAGTTCAATTTACAGAAGATAAAAACTTCTAAGGTAAGTTTAAGATCTGACCGAAACCATTGTTTTCATGCAGGCTGTGTCAGTCACAGCCAGGGGAGGTGTGGCTAGGGCTGCATGAACAGAAACAAAAGTTATTTAACTCCTAAATTGCAGATAATTGAGCAGTGAGACTGCAGGGGCTTCATCTATACACCTAAATGACTTCATTAAGCTAAAGTTGTTTTTGGTACCTATAGTATTCCTTTAAGAAGAAGATTGTTTTTTCTAGAGAATAAAGGGACAAATCTGAAATATACACATTAGTTTTTACATCCTTAGCTAATTATCACTTTAGTCTACTGAAGTATCCACTATTTAAACATCCACTCAAACATAGTTTAACTGATCTTAAGTGATTTAAAATGTGCACGAATATATATATATATATATATATATATATATATATCTCAAGAAAAAAGCAACCAAATAAATGATATGCACCCTTCTATATAAAAAAAGACTGGATAGATTTAAATGTAATAATGTCACAGTGCAATTTAATCACTATCAGTATGGTGGCAGAGGGGGTGAGCTATGGGTGCCTGGGAGGGGCTTTTATATTGTCACTGTTCCAAAATCGTTTAAAATAAAAATCTGGGTATAGACTCATAACGCCATAACTATTACAATGAGATTGTTCAGCTTATAGTCGCTCTCTAATATATTTAGTTGCAAATTGAGGGAAGGTTTTTGAAACCCTTGACTTCTGTAATTTGGACATTTGGAATTGGAGCAAAAAACTGAAAATTATGGTCACTTATGACTAAGTACCTGGATGCCATGAAACCTGTAGAAGGTGTTCTTCCAACTATGCCACATTCACTTATTTATTAATTTTATTTTTTTCACATTCACTTATTGCATCCTGGAAACAATACATATATTACAGAACAAGACTAATTTATTGGCATGTTTAATGACCCAACCAGCATTCTCTTATAGCTGTGGGATTGAGCAGATCATCTGGGTTTGTTGCAGTAGTCAATATTGCTAGCACCCTGGAGCAAAATAGAGGTTAATACAGAGAAAATATTTTATTTTCGGTGGTTAACCCTTGAGCCCACACTTTATCTCTACAGTGTTGCAGAACCCCTAAAGATCACACATTGGTTATATAGTTATTAAAGTTCCAGTTTCTGCTCCAGTCCACGCAGGTTCTTGTACCTTGACCGGCTACTGGTATTCCTCTTCTATGACTGTCAAAACATACACTATATCTGTTATGCAATTTAAATGTATAAATATTGTGTTTTTTCTATGTTGTGCATTTCTTTCTTGGACTGTAGATTTATGTCTTGTGTAAACTAGTTTAAATAAAGATTCCTGATTTCAATTCTTAAGGAGATTTGTATTTGATTTTGAACTCAACATATGCAATAAGCTTGGGTTTTTCATCACAACCATTTATTTCACATCAAAGCTGAGCAGACTGTCCCTCGGTTTAATGTCAAACTATTTAGGAAGTAACTCTCTACCCCATCCCTTGATCAATAGCAGCCACCTAGGAATTGGCATTAATAATGCAAAGTGTTTTTTTTTTTTTCCACATTATTAAGGTGGCTGAGGAGAGGGCAGCCTATGTGTGCCGAGAAGAGTCCCAGCTATTGTTAAAACATGTCTTTAATGGTTTGACATCAAATGTAAATAGCACAAGCGTATTCTATGCAGCATAACCAGTACAGTGCAAGTTTAAAATAAAACCATTTTGCCCTAATTTCATACTTCTGTTTCTATTACATTGAGGTATCTCATAGCTTCTAACCAATTTCATATTCTCTGTTTTTGTTGCATCTCACCAAGGTAACCTATGTATGAATTGGTACCTGGGATTCTCTTCTGTTAGCTGGGAATATATTTAATGGACCTAGACTCCCAGATTAACTAATGGAATGCTGCACACAGCCCTTTAAACCTATTTAAATCCAGCACTTCTGTGTGTGGGGGATAACTCAATTAACTGGAGATGCTTTTATTAACTTTCAGACACCAGGGCGCTGTGCAACGACCCCAAATCATCGGTTTCCTCAAACACAATAGCGAGATGCTATAAATCCCCGGGTAGTGCTAAGTTCTAAAAGTAAAATGTCCAAAAAGTGCTTAGATCAGAGATACCCAACCAAAGTAATCATCATATAATGTTTTAGCCAGGTTGCAGTTAAACTCTGATCCGACACAGAGTTCCAGACTGCTGCCCGATAAGTCACTGTCAAAAAGAACAAGTCTCATCGACTCCATGGAAGGTAACTCCCCCTATCTTTTGATGGTTTATTTTTTAGCCTTCCACTTCCTCTAACTTTCCTCCAATTAGCACTCTCCTGACTGCCTGTTGGCATGAACGGCATACAATACAAATTGTAGTCTCTGTCTGAGTGAAAGTTCCAGACGTATGACAAGTATTTTCGCTGATCGAGTTGCAGCTTTCTCCGTCGTGTTAAATGGTTCCAGGTTTTGGAAATAGAGTGCTCTGCTGCATGAAAGGTATTAATACAGGAGGGGGATCAAGCTTTTTAAGTTGGTTAAGGGAGTTGTTTCCTCAAGTCCTGCACCAGCTCCATCACACCACTTAAGGACTGCATGATGGTCTATGCCAGGCACACTGGCGGATCCAGAGTCTCATCTCGGGAGGGGCACTCATAGATTATTTAAAGAAACAATCCAGGCACAGTAACCACTACAGCTCTCTGTAGTGGTTATGGTGCCAGGAGTGCCGTGGCGCCCTCCCAGAGTAAATAGTCAAACGGTTTAAAAACAGTTGGACAATTTACTTGGGGTCTGCCAGGATAGGGGCTGTAGTAGGGGATAGAGCCTCTAGTAGTGTGTGTGTGTGAGAGTAGGCAGTGTGTGTGTGTGTGTGTGTATGTGTATGGGAGGCACTGAGTGTGTGAAGGATGCAGGGTGGGTATGGGAGACAGTGTGTGAGGGATGCAGAGTGTGTGTACGGGAGGCAGTGCATGTGGGCCAGTGTGTGTAGAGGGGTGCAGTGGGAGCACTGTGTGTTTGTGTGAGGGGTGTAGTGTGTGCATGGGAGTGCAGTGTGTATATGTGAGGTGCAGTGGAAGCACTGTGTGTATGGGGCCAGTGTGTGTATGAAGGTGTAGTGGTGGCAGTGTGTGTATGGGAGTGCAGTTGGGGAAGTGTGTGTATGTGGGTGCAGTGTGTGTGTGTGTGTGTGCGGGGGGTAGATGTGTATGGGGGTGTAGTGTGTGAGGGTGTACTGTGTGTGGGGGAGCAGTATGTGCAGTGTTTGTATGGGGAGCACTGTGTGTATGTGGGGTGCAGTGTTTGTATGGGGAGCACTGTGTGTATGTGGAGAAGTGTGTGTGGGGGGTGCAGTGTTTGTATGTGGAGAAGTGTGTGTGTGTGTGGGGGGGGAGGGGTGCAGTGTTTGTATGTGGAGAAGTGTGTGTTTGGGGTCCATTGTTTGTATGGGGAGCACTGTGTCTATGTGGAGAAGTGTGTGTGTGGGGGGTGCAGTGTTTGTATGGGCAGCACTGTGTGTATGTGGGGTGCAGTGTTTGTATGGGGAGCACTGTGTGTATGTGGGGTGCACTGTGTGTATGTGAGAAGTGTGTGTGTGGGGGGCAGTGTTTTTATGGGGAGCACTGTGTGTATGTGGGGTGCAGTGTTTGTATGGGGAGCACTGTGTGTATGGGGGGCTATGGGGGCAGTGTGTATGGGGGCATGTGGGGGCAGTTTGTTTGGTGGGGCAGTGTGTATGGGGGGCTGTGTAAAACAAATGTTTTTTTATTTTTTTAAAATTAATAAAATATTATTTATAATCCCCCCTCCCTTCCTACCTTTGCCCAGGGAGGGGGGGATATCGCTTGGAATCCCTGGTGGTCCAGTGGAATCCCTGGTGGTCCAGTGGTGAGAGTGAACTCTAGCCTGCACCTCCTAAGGCTAGAGTTCACTCTCGCGAGAACAGAGCATTGCCATGGTAACCGCGGCAACGCTCCGTTCTCGCGAGAGGAGACCCGGCGGAGCTGCAGGCTAGAGCTCCTCCCGGGTCTCCTCTCTGTCCTGGCTGCCCAGTAATGTACTTGCGGACCGATGAGGGAGATCTCTGATCTCCCTCCGGTCCGTGAAGGCACTTAGCAGGGCCGGCGCATTGACAGCACCGGCCCTGCAGGAGAGAGCATCGGCTCTCGGGGGGGGGCAATTGCCCAGTTGCCCCCCCCCCCGGATCCGCCACTGGCCAGGCATAGGTAGTCTCCGGCACTCTAGATGTTTTGGACTACTCCTATGAAGCTTTGCCAGCATTATGGGTGTAAGAGTGGCAAAGGTTGCCTATCCCTGGTCTATGCAATCATTCGTTGCAGGGCTTTAACATCACTTGACGGATTAGACCGTCATGCAGTAAAAGTAGCAGCAGGGGTTAAACTGCTCAGCACCAATCACAGTTAGTGGAGCTCCCCCTCTCATGCTTTAATTACACAGTAAAAAGTGCTCACGGAGCCCTCTGTACTGTGTGAGCTAGGAAATCTCTCTACTGAAATCCCTCAGAGGTAGGAATAAAGGGTGGGGTTGAATTAGGACTTGGATTACAGTAGGGATTGTATCACGGGCTCAATAATAGATATGGTTATGATTAGGCACAAGATTATGGGTAGGAGGGGGAGGAGCCTGACCACCATGGTCATGAACGCACATTCCAGGAGCTCCGCAGCAAAAGCTATTAATTAAGCCCTTTACCAACCATACTGCCCGCGTTACTCGATTCAAATTCGCCTGACGTGACACGCTTTTTTGGCGTATCCAGTTGTCGGTCCAGTCATGTGAGGCGGAGCTGCCGCAAAGCAGACCTGCGGCCTACTTACGGATGGTGCGGGGGATGCAGCCGTTCCCTCCACCTGCTTCTGTGCCTCCACAGGTCTTCCTCCACTCTCTCCCCCTCCCGGCATACATCTCCAGTGCTGTGGTGGGTGTCTGCCGGTACCTACAAGCAAGCAGAAGCCAGACCATCCTCTCTATTACAAAATGGCAGACGCCACATGTTTGCAGGATTCCTGAGACACGCTGTCACCCATCCTGGAGGGCCTAGACAGGTTATTCAAGAAGCTCTAATCAAGGCTCAGAGATTGCCTGATGGCATCAGGAGTTGAGCCTTAATTTTATGTTTGTTTTCCTCTACTCACTAATTTCTACCATGCTATTTGTTCTTTGTTTTTACTGTAACACTAAAAATTGTGCAATACTTCAGACATGTATTGCTGACATTCTTTGATACTAATATCTACAATGTCTAAATCTCTCTGTTATTTGCAATGCACTACAAAATAAAGAATTGGGAAAAAAGGAGTATGGGTAGAATTTGGGGGAAAGGTATATTTGTAGGATATTATTGTACTAGAAAACAGTAGCTTGATACAAATATGTGGTGTTTGTGATTTAATGAAAATTTCATAAAATATTGTGGGGGTTGTATTTTCTACAAATATATACTTTTGTGTAGTGGTTTGGGATACTGTGACTACTATAAAAGTTGTAATCTTAGAATGCCAAATGTTAGCTTTAAAACAGTAATTCCCTCCTTGCGGTATTTTTTAAAATAAATTCTAAAAAGTAATTGAAAACCTAGACATGTTGGGCATTTTAATAATAGGACTAATTAGTGAATCTATATTGAGCTAGTTTTCTTTCGCACTTGTGTAGAAAGCACTTACACAGAAAGGGGGAAAATGTGGTAAAATACCAAAAAAAGCCTTCGTCACAAACACTTTACATTTCAAAATAGCCTTGGTCCTCAAGGGGTTAAGGGAATCATTTTCTTACATTTGGCTTTATATAGTGGTTGTGATATTCTGTATTGGTTTTCGGTATACAGGCCGCGTCCCCATCCTCTAGCGAGTGTAAAACATTGATTACATTTGCCAGAGAACACATTTCTGGTGGCTGTCAGACTGTAGATAAAGCTCGTCATATTCAAATTCATTATTATTATTATTGCCATTTATATAGCGCCAACAGATTCCGTAGTGCTTTATATTATGAGAGGGGGGATTTACCTATAAATAGGACAGTTACAAGTAATCTTACAGGAACGATAGGTTGAAGAGGACCCTGCTCAAACGGGCTTACAGACTATAGGGCATAATAACCATTATGATGTTACTGAATGTGTCTAATCAATTTCATAGAGACACGCTGGATTCCGTGCATAACCATTACAATCATCAGACTGGTGGCGCTTGGCAACCGCTTTGTGCATCCTATGTCAACAGTGCCGCTCTATGGGAAGAAGCGGACTAGATGGAAGTCCACAAACATGGCTTCAAGGAGGTTTAACACCTTCAGACCGGAGGGCGTACTATTACGCCCTATTATAGGCGGCTCTAAACGCTGCCGGGCATAATAGTACGCTCTCCGGTCTTTCGGTACTAACCCGGTCGCCAGCGGTCCCACGCCGGCGATCGCGGTGGGGGGACTCCCAGGGAGCCCCCCACGGCACGTCCGTCCTCCAGGAAGCCCCCCAGCCGTGTGAGAGTGGGGTCCTTGTGAGGACTCCACAATCACATGGCCGGGGATAGCTGGCTTCTGTATTGCCAGCAGGGGGGCTGCCTGTAATGACAGGTGGTCTCCCTGCTGGCTGGAAATAAAATTAAAATAAGTTAAAAGTGTAAAAAAAATAATAATATATACTTAGATCATATATATATATATATATATGATCTAAGTATATATATATATACACATATACATACACACATGTACACCGTCTAGGTGTATTTTACTATTAATATATATATATATATATATATATATATATATATATATTAATATCAAATTACACGTACACTGATACTGATTAAATATATATATAATTATTGTTATATATATATTTATATATATTATAAAAAAAATTAAAATGTAAATACGTTAAAAAATAAAATTACAAAAATAATTAAAAATAAATAATTAAAAATATATAGATGTGTGTTATTTCGTTCTAACTGTATTGTGAAATTAATATATATATATATATATCAAAATACACATAGAATGAAATAATATATATATCTATATACATAAATATATACGTATATATCACTATATATATATACCTATATATAAATAAAAATATTTTTTTAAAATTATATAGATATATACATATATATACACATACGTGTATATATATACATATATTAATTCTACATATATATTTATGTATTATTTTTACATAATTAGGTATCTTAATTAATTACAATTAGCAGGACCTGCCTGACAACCCATGCCGAAAGTAAAGGGAATTTAATTTGCTAGCTCTATATTTAACCCTATAACTTTCCGAGACACCATAAAACCTGTACATGGGGGGTACTGTTCTACTCGGGAGACTTCGCTGAACACAATATTAGTGTTTCAAAACAGTAAAATGTATTACAACGATAATATCGCCAGTAAAAGTGAAGTTTTTTGCATTTTTCACGCACAAACAGCATTACACGGACAATATTATTGCTGTGATACTTTTTACTGTTTTGAAACACAAATATTTGTGTTCAGCGAAGTCTCCTGAGTACAACAGTACCCCTCATGTACAGGTTTTATGGTGTTTTCAAAAGTTACAGCGTCAAATATAAGGCTTGCGTTTCATTTTTTTCACATTAAAATTTGCCAGATTGGGGCGGGGCTTGCTACCCGACACGAGCGGAGGCCATTTTCCACAGCTCCCAAGCCCTGCGGATAAAATCCATTAAAATCAGCCTTCCTCTGACCCATCCTACCTCGCCACACGCACTATCGGCATCAGCACAACGAGCCACGTCTCCCGATGCCTTTTTTCCAACCGCAGCGGCAGCAGAAACGGAGACGCAAAATCGGGGCCTACTACACCCCAACGAGCCTGGGCCTCGAGGACCTGTTGCGTGGATACCCGGCCGAGCACACAGACACCTCCTGCACCCCGGACCCATCCACAGCTCTGACTCATATGCCGGCAATGGGACGCAGATCACAAAGGCCACAAGGTACGGCTGGGGGCAGGGATATTGGGACTATGCTCCAAAAGCCTACCCAGCCCAAACCCAAAACAGCGGCAGAAACGCTGGAGGCTACCCAGGCACCTACCACACCCCAACAACGGCAAGAACCGCCGGAGCCCCCACAGACCCCCAAAACAGGATCACAGGGGCCAGAACTTACTGGGCAGCACCAAAATCAGCAGCCGCATACCCGGGCTCCACAAGGCCCTGACTCCCAGGGACACCCATGGGCAATACAGCCTGATAGGGTACACAATCCACCACAAACCGGACCTGACGAACAAGGGCACTTACAAGCACCACTACAGCCACTGTTGGAGTCCCCGGATGACTCTGCACCAACCACCAAACGTGACTTAAAGCTTCTTCTAGCAGACATCCATAAGCTCCTAGCAGCTGACTCAGCCCTTCTGAGGACCGAACTGCGCACGGTCACGGAAAAGGTGAACACCACGGAGGCAGAAGTAGTGATGGTACATGCTCACATAAACACGATGGAAGACACCATCAAACAAATCCAACAACAACAAACGTACCTGTCACTCAAAATGTCAACCATGGAAGATCGACAACGCCGCTCACACATAAAAATCAGGGGCATCCCTGCAGAGATATCAGCCGAAGAGCTGCCGCATTACACCAGACGCCTACTAGCTACAGTACTCCCACACACGGCAGTGAAGAAAATGATCATAGATGGGGTATACCGCTTGCCTACCCCTCCCCACCTAAAGACCCCAACGGCCAGAGACGTCATCCTCAGATGTGTCACAGTACAAGATAAACTACACATAATGGCTGGGCTGAAAGGCAAGACACCGCTGCTGTTTGAGAACTCTTCCCTGACGTTCTTCCAGGACCTATCAAAGGCCACCCTCATGTGGCGAAAATCGTATGGACCGCTCACCACACAACTCCGAGCAGCGGGAATTGCATACAAATGGGGCACTAACGGGACTCTGGAGGTATCCCAAGAAGGCACTACCCATGTCCTAACCTCCGTGGAAGAAGCACCTAATCTCCTAACCGCTTTGAAACTACCCAACCCGATGCTTCCACCACGAAAAAGCCCGCAACTGGAAGTCCAGGATCCCAGGAACAACGCCCAGTCGGAACCGAGACCCAGCGGGTCACAACACCCTGTACCATGACTGAAGTGGACTGACACCGCAGGCTTTGCCACCAGGAATGGTGCACACATATTTTGATTTCATTCCGTGACTTTATTTACGTTTTATACTATTCACGTTTTATACTATTTACTACTTACGTTTTACAATATTTACTATTTAGCCTCCGCTAACAATTCCCAAACACTACAGGCCATTGCCACACCCACCCTCTCTACGCCACTGAGAGCCAACATATCACACGTCCAACCACAGAGCGCCTGACAAATCACCCCCCCGCAGCCCCCTTGGTTAGGGGTAATCAACCCAAAACACGCTATCTACGACAAACAGCTCACCTCCACTAACGCATGTAGACACCTATACTCAGCACAACACAGCGAGTCTGACCATGAAACATGGAACTGACGCAACCTTGCTACTACACGACTCGAAAACCTACTCAATCTTCACATAGGGTCCCATCACCACCAGACATACTCTAGACAGGAGCTACTGATTGAAAGCAAAGTCCTATCCCAACACAAGAACGCACAAAACATCATAACACCTAAATAATGAATACTGTTTTGTTTTAACATGTTACTGTTGTTTAAAAATTATTGCTATTGCTTGACCCAAAACGGTGCAAACTATGAACGGTACCGAACCTCAACTTTTGAACAATCTGTACAATCTAAATGTTGCACCAAAAGTGAAAAATAAAGAATTTAAAAAAAAAAAAATTCGCCAGATTGGTTACGTTGCCTTTGAGACCCTATGGTAGCCCAAGAATGAAAATTACCCCTATGATGGCATACCATTTGCAATAGTAGACAACCCAAGGTATTGCAAACAGGGTATGTCCAGTCTTTTTTAGTAGCCACTTAGTCACAAACACTGGCCAAAATTGCATTTTTCACACACAAACAAATACTAACGCTAACTTTGGCCAGTGTTTGTGACCAAATGGCTACTAAAAAAGACTGGACATACCCCATTTACAATACCTTGGGTTCTCTACTATTGCAAATGGTATGCCATTATGGGTGTAAATTTCATTCCTGGGCTACTATACAGTCTCAAAGGCAACGTAACCAATCTGGCGAATTTCAATTTCAAATGTAACGTGCTATATTTGACCCTGTAACTTCCCAAAACGCCATAAAACCTGTACATGGGGGTACTGTTTTACACGTGAGACTTTGCTGAATACAAATATGTGTATTTTATTGCAGTAAAAGTAAACAGTATTATGACATTGACAGTTAAAATGTCATGTAGAACTAAAAAAATCAAAAAAATCTTATTTTCTCCCATTTTTTTCATATTAAATTATGTTTCATAGCTAAATATTTGATATTAAATGAAAGCCCTGTTTCCCCTGAATAAAATGATATATAATAAGGGTGGGTGCATTTACTATGAAAGAGGTGAATTACGGTTGGACGGACATGTAGCGCAAATGCCAGGTTTTGTTTACATTTTGTTTTGTTCACAACGTGTACATTTGGCTCCGTCCTTAAGGGGTTAAATGGCACCAAATTATAGGAGAGATTTATAGCAATCAAAAAACATGAAACATGAGAGAGAGTGCGCGTGTGCTGATTTATTTACATTTTGAAATGGCTGTTCCTTTAATGAAGAAGCTGGAATCTTTACCTGCACAATGGGTTAATTATCATCTCAATATGACTTTTAAAATGTATTTGTTTTTAAGAAAAGTTAAAGCCCCCAATAAGTGCATGATCCACATTGCAGATAATCCATGATTGCCATTAATGAGAAGGGAATGCTGTGCCTTTAACATTCCAACAGCAAGCTGCAGGCATTCCAACCGAGACATACACACAAGAGACACAATGCAGCTTCCTGGCGGTGTTTCCATAACAGCAGCCATCTGATCCTCCGGAAACATGGCCGCACAGTGTCTCTCGCTCTAGTGCTTGTAGCCGCTTACTGGGAGGTGAAGACGAGGCTTGAAACGCACACTGCGGGAGCAGTGTGAACCCCTGGCATTTCCGGTTACTGTGAGCTTTGTTATAGTAAATGGAGAGAGCCTGTGCTGCAGGTCAGTGCTGGTATTATTCTATTATTAATTCATTAAATATAAGTAATAACAGGACTCAGCTCCTGCCAGCAGCCAGCTAATATGAAGCCAACACTGCCTGTTCACATATATATATATATAATATATAATATCCTATATCTGTGTATTCTCTATATATACATATATAATATCTCTATGTTACTCATATAAATATAATAAAATAATAAAAAGGTCATTCAGGGCAGCAGTGGTTATAATACAGTGTATAATATACTTAGAATATAAAACATTCCACTGCTCTGACATTTAGGAGTTAAATCACTTTGTTGCAGCCTTAGCCACACTTCCCCTCCCCTATGTGGGACCTACACAGTCTCTCTACACATTTCCTGAAAAGAGAGATCTAATGTTTAGACTTCCTCTATTGCACAGTCTGTTTAATCTAGAAGTTCTTATCCCCTACTCTGTTAATAGCCCGCAGGAGTCTACTGTGTATGATTAAAGTTCGATTAACAGAGCAGGGCTTAAGAACATCTAAAGTAAACACACAGTGTTGTCACAGCGGATTGAAAATGAAGCAATATTTCCATGTTGGGAGGTTGGTGTGGATAGGACTGTGTGAACAGAAACAAAAATGATTTAAAGGGTTACTGTAACCCTTGCTAACACATTGATTGTTTTTACTTAAGCCTATTGTCCCAGTAATACCTGAAAAAGTTAAAACCCGCCTGATATCCTGGAACTAATTTCCACGCCTCTGTCTCACATGATTCCTGCCTTGGCATGGTCAAATCACAGGCTACCCATAGAGAAGCCTTCGATTAGACTTCTTTGCTCAGAGTGCACGCAGCATACTGAACCAGAGACAGGAGGGAGGTTTAAAAGGAAATAAAAAAAGTGTCAGTTGTGGAGGGAGCTTACAGAGACAGTGAGGTGAGAGCTTGCTTGCTTTGTAGACACTAGGCCTGCAATAGTGCACTGTGCACGCTGATGAATATGCACAGACCTGACATTTGGAAGTCTGACAAAGTAACGTGTGCCAGGGGTGTATCTAGCCCCTGGCACAAAGTTTACTATCTCTCAGTATGTGCAGTGTTTCAAGCAGAAATGCTGCACATACACATACTATCATATCCACTTAAAATCAATGACGTGGTCTTGGTAGTTGGAGTTACAATTTGACTCCTAAATCACAGTGAATTTAGCCGTGCAACTGCAGGAACATGATCTATACACCATAACTGCTTTATGAAGCTAGACTTGTTTTGCTTCTTAGAGGATCTTTTAAATGACATTTCTTGGTAGGAGGCACGGTGCAATCGTTCACACACAGTTTGTGTGGTTGTAGAATAGTGGTAGTATAAAGATTGTCTGTTGGGAGATTTCCAAGGAGGAGAGTTCTGAGGCTATAAGTCTTTTGGAGTTTATTCGTAAGATGAAGTGAAGGGAAATAGAAGTGGAGCATCTGAGGATGTCGTCTGGATTTACACAATCCGACTCCTGAAACAAGTTAATAATTGTTTGTACAAATATCTGAATTTAGTAATATGCAAAAAACTAGCAAATGTCACATATAGAGAATTTAGGCTTTAAGTTGGTGTGAGTACGATTTAGTTTTAGTTGAGAAATATTCTTTAGCCCCTTCTCATGCCAGTGACTTAAGCAAGAGGCTAATTTGCCTGTATGACATTGTGGGTGACACAGAAACAGGGTAAATAGTAAGTGAAGTTTGCTGAATCCTACACTTAATTTGGGAGGTCTACACTTACCGAAGAAAGCATCTACAGTGTTTATTATGGTGGTTCTTTATCAGTTTGGGTAACCAGAGTTAAGAATAAATAGTATGGAGCTTAGACAGTAAATTAATCTGGTATCGTTATTTTACAGATTTTGGTAGCTATACACCACGATATTTAAGATGGGGACGGTAACCAATTAATTAATAAGAAGCCATGTTGGGGTGAAGATCCGATTAATGTTAAGGAGCTAATAGTAATGAGTGAGTGTCAATGAAAGGTTGTTCCGTACACTGAATATGCAGACCACATGGTGCCTGACTTGATTTAGGTTTTGATGTAAATACTAATTTTATCTCGCCATTAATTCCTCTCTTATTGCAAATCTTTTTCTATTTAATTTTGCTCCTTCAACTGCAAATCAAGCTATTCTGACTTGCTTGTTTTGCACTAGGATATGGGTTTTCCCCATTTTGATTTGTAGTGAATAACTTCTGTATATACATTTGTGCCCTTTGTACTTTCCTTTTTTAAATAATCTTGTGAATATATGAGCAAACAGAATTTTAATTTAGTATTAATTAATACATATCAGTAGTTAAAAAAGGAAGACCAGTGTTAAACATTTTCCTCTACATTAGTTTTATTTTACTGTGAGTAAATAATACATTATGTCACTTTACCCGCTGAGGCCAGTCCAAGGATAATCCTTCCAGGAGGACCAGAGCTTGTTTTGGAGCATTTGGCAGACTCCATAATAATGATCCACAAGAGTCCGATAACTGAGAAGATTTTGGATCTCACTGTGGAGATCATCTACCTGCTGACTGGAGAGGTGAGTGGTTCTGGGAATGTAACAATGACATCACCAAGTTCTACTGAGAAAAAATGATCCTTTAATGGACTACTGCTGGCAATGTGGATGAGATAAGAGAAAATGGACTACTGCTAGCAATGGGGAAGAAGAATGGGCTTGATAGGGTGGAAAATGCAAACTAAAGTTAGTGGGGAGAAAGGATAAGCTACACGCAACAGGAAATAGTTAGAATGGTCTGCTGACTTAGAGCATGGGCTTGTGATATGTGGAGGAGAATCATGTAAAAATACATCCCTTCATTCACAAACTGACCCTCCACGCAAATACACACTCGTAGTAAAAAATAGTTATGCTATTCAAATACATCCCTTGATTCAAGCATAGAAATACTCTACACAAATATACCCCTGCACACATATACAGACACTACATACATATCCACCTCATTCTGAAACAAGGACATGCTGTGAAAACACATAGAATTAAAAATGAAATGCTGAGTGGCGAGCAATTATTAGGCCAATTAATAGCAATTATTAGACCTGGATAGTAACATAACACTCAACATTATGAGACGCGGAGATGGAATTAAATATAGTGATAATCAGTTGAGTTATATGAGCAACACATGTAAAAGTGGGTATGTTTGGGTATATGTTAATTCAGGTTGCAAGATTAGTATGCTTGTAAGCAAGTCTTATGAATTTACTTCTGCCTTCTAAAGCTTAGTTTTACTAAAGCCAAGCTATTCAGATTTTTTTTTTTGGGGGGGAGAGTGGGGTCTACATGACATGGTCTCCCACAGTGCTTTCCTAAGTATTTAGGACATGGCTGTATTCACATTTCTTCTCAAAATCAAGGAAGTTTTAATGTAAATATTACATTAGAACTAGATCAATGGTGTATATAAGTGGACACATTATTCTGCGAAATTTACAGATATACCATTTAATGGGATTTGGTTGTTAATGGATGTTTATTTCTTATTTTAATGTTTCAATATGTAGGGTTATTTTGTTATGAAGGAGTCTGGAGAACGTATCACATGTAGCAGGAGTTCTCATGTATCAGAAAGCCTTTCCAGTTCTCAAAGCCCCATGACAGTGCCTCCACCTCATTCTCTGATTAATGCAAGAAACAATGACAAGAAGATCCTGGAACTGATCAATAAGATCATCCACCTGCTGACTGGAGAGGTAAGGCTGCTGCAAATGGGACATTATAGAGTAAAACCAAGGGATGTGTCTGGATGGTGACTGTATCATTGTGTGTGTCAGGTTCCTATAAGGTGTGAGGATGTCGCTGTCTATTTCTCCATGGAGGAGTGGGAGTATCTTGAAGAACACCAGGATCTCCACAAGGATGTGATGAAGAATTATCTGCCACTCAGACCACTGGGTAAGAGGCAGTTTAATCGCTGCCATGCCTTTAATAAAAAATAACAAAAAACATCAACACAGTGTATGGGAGCTCTTTACTAAGTGCACACTAATAAGAATTTTAAGAGACACTCTAGACACCCAGACCATTTCATCTCATTGAAGTGGTCTGGTATTAGTCTCCCTATGCCCTTAATCCTGCAATGTAAAACATTATAGTTTCAGAAAAACTGCAAAGGCAGCCACTAAAGGGGCTTCCTTGAACCACATTTAGTTTAATTCCATGCACACTTTGCATTAGCACAGTGAAGGCAGTGAAGTGTACTTTTAAGCAAGATATCATCTTTCTACTATTGCAAGTTAGAAGTGTATGAAAGTCCAGCTATGTTGTGGGTTCTCATTCAGATGTCATGGGCATGTATTGTGCTACTAGAAACCCATAACAAATGGCTCGCTTGAAGATGCAGGGTGACGGCAAAGCACCAAGTGCCATAAGTCAATTAGGAAACTGGGGGATAACTGTTAATTGCAGTCATTGGAATGCAGATCAGAGGAAGCTCGAAGGCTGATCTATCCCAGTGCTGTCTTCAAAGATTTTATACAGTTTGCATTTACGTAGCTCCTACAGTATCCTTTTGAATGTTTGTGTTTTGCCACCAGCTGTAAAATCGATTCACTGGTAATTTGGGATAATTTAACTTCTGTATATTGTAGTGCAACATTTGCCTCTTTCTAGGACAATTAAACAATCACATTTTATTTTCTTGTTTATTTCTTATAAATTAATGAATTGCCTGTTTAACTTAAGTATATAATATCCCAATTTCTTACTAAGGTTATGTAAAAGAAGATAAAAGAGACAACAAAACTGATAAAGGAGCACAATTCTTGAGAATAAATGAGTCAAGAAAGAAGCAGAGAAAGCAGACAAAGGGACAACTGTCCACACAGGAAGGTGGAAATCTCTCAGACACTGACATTGATACACCCACAGAACATACACAGACAGACTATCTGTCTACTCATGTTAAGGAGGAATCAGGCACTTGTGAAGAAGGAAATCTCACGGACACAGAATTTTATACACCCATTGAATGTTCACCTATAGAAAATACATCTGTGTATATTAAGGAGGAACCAGTCTCCTGTGGAGAAGGAGATCTCTCGGACCCTGACATTGATACACCAACAGAACACACACTCACAAAATACCCATCTACTTATATTAAAGAGGAATCAGATTCATGCGAAGAAGAAAATCTCACAGACACTGACATTTATATACCCACAGAACATTCACAGACAGGATACACATCCAATTTTAGGAAACACAAGAAAAGGAATAGCTTTGAGCCAGAGATAGATAAGGACCTACCAATAATCAGTAGTATTGAATGGGGCACAAATGATACTAGAACATGTATATCTCAACGTGAAAAACACTCCGAACATTTGATGTATAACTGCACTGAGTGTCAGAGTTGTTTCAATAGTAACTCGGACCTTTTTAAACATCAGACAATTCACACAGGGAATAAGTTTAGTTGTTCAGAATGTGGGAAATTCTTCTCTTCTAAGCACAGCCTCATTGTACATTATAGGAGTCACACAGGAGATAAACCATTCCCTTGTCTTGAGTGTGGAAAATGCTTTACTGCTAAATCAATACTTATTAGACATGAGATATGTCACACAGGAGAGAAACCATATCCTTGTTCAGAATGTGGGAAATGTTTTTCTGCTAAAGAAAAACTTCTGAAACATCATATGATTCACACAGGAGAGAGGCCATTCTCATGTTCTGAATGTGGGAAGTGTTTTTATACCAAACCACAACTTGTTGACCATCAGAGGACTCACACAGGAGAAAAACCATTCCCATGTTATGACTGTGGAAGATATTTTACCCTTAAGTCACATCTTCTTTCACATCAGAAAATCCACCAAGGGGAGAAGCCGTTCCAGTGTTCTTCATGTGGGAAATATTTTAGCCGTAAGTCAAATCTTGTTGCGCATCAGAGAACTCACACAGGAGAAAAAAAATTCTCATGTTCAGAATGTGGGAAAGGTTTCACTGCCAAATCAAGCCTTGTTAAACATCAGCGGATTCATACAGGAGAGAGACCATTCTCATGCTCTGTCTGTGGGAAACGTTTTACTAGCAAGTCAAGTCTTACTCTCCATCTAAGAACTCACACAGGAGAAAAACCATTTTCATGTGCTACTTGTGGAAAATGTTTCTCTCAAAGCTCAAATCTTTTTTCTCATCAAAGGAATCATCATGCTTCAAACTAAAGTCTTCATTTCTTTTTTTATGTAAATATTTTTTTGTTAAAGAAAACGGAAATAATAAAGTTGTAATAATAAGAGGGGAATTTTACACAACAGAAAAGAACTCAAGTAAGAAAGAACTGAAGAAAAGTCTTTATTTATGCACGTGTTCATCACTTTAAAAATCAGGGATTTCATGTAACTAATTTTAAATCAAACTGAAATTTCTTATATCTGGATCTTAACACCAAACAAAATCACATTTGGACAATACTGTGCTTATCTGAAGGCACGTCAGATTACCAGGTAATGACAATACTAAATATTACTGAGCTGTATTCACAATTCTATATTCTGAATCTGCAGTCCATGGGCAAACACAGCATAATAAAATTATATCTTTTAACTTAGATGCTCCTTCCTTTCTGGTGTATTTTTTCTAGTTGGCAATTTATTTTGCAATAAAAATATTAATTGGGATATGTTATTATTGTTATCTTTATTTTACAAAATGTGGATACTTAGTACAGCACTGTACAAAGAGAGAGAAGACAGTATATTATATAGACAAACAGAAACAAAAAGAAAGGCGAGCAGTTTTATACCAAATGGTAAGCTAGATATAAAACTGATGGCATATGAGCTTGCAATCTAAAAGAAATACTGAGGAGTGGGAAAAGGCAGCACAAAGTAAAAAGCAGGAGATAGCTACAATACATGCTTCAGTCATTGTGGTGAACTATCTGTACTATGGTGTTAAGGGCAAGTAATTATTAGACTTGGGCATTCGTTTTTGGACAAACACGTTTTTGTCCGAATTTCAGCTATTCCTCCATTCGTTCGAAAGACAAATGAAGAAATAGAAATTACAAGGAATGAAGCATATTTGCTGGCTAGAAAAAATAAGCTGTGTTCTCTGCCAATGGCTGCTCACTGTAATAAGAAAAGACTAGCGACTGGACAGCTATGTTGAGGCATCCCAATAGATCCAATAGTGAGGCATCTAATTAAATAATTAGCTCGGGGGGAAATAGTGTTCCCCTCTGCTCTGCGAATTGGAACTATTAAACTAAAAGGGAGGGACCTAGTGTTCACCTCCTGCACCCAGGCATAGTCATGGAGGGGGCCATAAGAAATAATAATGGGGACACAGGGTCCCTTTTGATCCCACCCATTGGCGGTGTATGACGATGCTAAATAATAATGGGGGGATGACTTATTGTCCCCCCAGCCCCACCCATTGGAGGCAGGGGGGTCATAATTGATAAAGTTGGTGGAGGACTTTTTGTCCCCCATCCTCCACTCATTGGCTGCAGGGGGGCCCAAAATTATAAAGTTTGGGGTGGACCTATTGCCCTTCCCAGCCCCCACCCATTGGTAGCTAGTTGGGCTCCTAAATTATAGAGTTGGGGGAAGGCCTATTGTCCCCCTCTCAGCCACTACCCACTAGCAGCAAATGGCCCTCTAAATAATAAAAAGGATGGTGAATCTATTGTCCCCTCCAGCCCCCACTCATTGGAGGGCAGGCAGGCCATAAATGATTAACTTGGTGGTGGACTTTTTGTCCCCCACTCATTGGCTGCAGGTATGGACCTAAATTATAAAGTTGGGGGTGGACCTATTGCCCCACCCATTGGCAGCTAAATTATAAACAATAGGAAAGCATTGGATTGGCTAAGATTGCCAAGGAGGCAATCACACATCACCTCACAGGAATGAAAATGTAAATTGCCAATAAAATTAAGCTTATATTTATTGGTAACTTTAATAAAATCAGTGTTTAAACATTTAAAAAAACATGCTGTACAGCAGAGATTAATCCACACAAACGTTTAGTAGGTAGCAGGGAAAGACAACTGACATGAACTGTTAAAAATATTAGAAGAAAATAAAATGATGTGTGCTGATTTTGTCCTCCTTGTGTACAATTCGTATGTTAATGTTGTTTCCGTCAAGGTCAAGATATGCATTTCCAACAGCAAGGTCACATGTACAGATAACAGCTGATACTGAGTCCACCTAAACATTTTAATAAAGAGGGTTTGAAAGTTCCGAATAAATCTCCCAGAATAATAATCCTAAAAGTTGGCAAGCCTATGGGGCCTCCGTGCAACTGGCCAGTGTGTCCATGCATTAAGACAGCCCTGGTTATAATTCCTGATGGTCGAGTTAGAAGAGCTTGTAGGTTGCACCTCTCACTGGTGCAGATCTCTTTCAGCAATCCCTGTGTTATGGTGCTTTGAATGAGTTAAACAGCATTGCAAGTAACCTGGTGGTAGTGCTTTGATTCACTGAGAAGTGCCAACCAATGAGGGAACTGACAGGTACACAGGCTGAAGGTGCAGACTACATGCACCCTGGATTTAGTGAGCCATGACTGGGCAGGCCATGGAGTTCTTTTTATTTCTCTATTGGCTATGGGCCATATTACAGGTTGAGAACAAGGAATTACATCATCCAGAAGCTTTCTAACCCCAAGTAACTGATCTGAAGAAATCATGGCAGCTGAAAATAAAAAAAACACAGCATCTCGGATATATTAACAGAAGTTCTATGGGATTTCCTTGTGCAAAAGAAGTGACAGTTCCCTTAACCCCTAAAGGACCAAACTTCTGGAATAAAAGGGAATCATGTTGTGTCATGTGTACTTAGGGGGTTAAAGGAGCACTCCAAATCCCTAAAGCTGAAACTCTATGTGGGTCAATAGAGTATCGTCTGCCTAACGTTATAAAAGTGTCAATTTCAAGAGAAATCAGCACTTTTATAATATTCCTTGGTTGCAACCACTTTGTTCAAAGCTTCTGTATGAGAAGAATGGAAACAGGAAGGAGAGTGACTTTAAACTTAAATTGACAACTGAACACGTCGGTGTTTGAATGTATGTATAGGTTGCTAACAATTACCAAAATTGTTTCTTGAAAACTTTCTTTCTGTAAAAACAAGTGATTTATTATTTAATATTTCCCAAGCTTTTCCACCTGACCAGGCTGCAGGTCTCCTTACAGGCAGGTATCGTCCCCTCTGCCTATTCCTCTGCATCTTTGCTTGTAGTGCCTGCTACTGCCTTTACAAAGGCACTTGCGGCTCTCAGGCCTAGCTCTCTTAACTTAGCCCAAGGCTAGAGGGATCCTTCAGCTGGCAAACAGGTCACTAGTGATGTCGCGAACCATTCGCGAACTTTTCGCGAACGGTTCGCCACGGTTCGCCACGAACCGTTCGTGGCGAACTCCGGTCAGCTGACACATCCCGGCCAATCTCCAGCAGACCCTCCCTCTCAGATCCTCCCACCTCCTGGACAGCATCCATGTTGAAGCTGCCTTCAACCGTGAACGGTTCGCTACATCACTACAGGTCACTGGGATCCCTAAAAATCCACACAGGACACAAGTTCCAAAAGGAACTAACATACAAAGCTTTATTTTTACTCGGGACTAGCCCATTTGATTATTACATGACGATTTTTGTGACAACTTAAAAAATACAAACAGTCAAATCATAGCAGACAACATACAGCAACCTATTATAACACAGTGACATTTTTAAAGGGGTGGGGAAGACAATAATTAACATTTAACCCCTAAAAACCGCATTACACACACACCCTTCTCCGACAATGGACACAGGGTGTCTTAAACATAGGAGTCATTCAGATACCTAATTGAATTGTCCATCTTAAGCTCTTGGTGATGGCGGCTACCGTCACATACAGTACCAAGCATACTTAGCAATACTGTTTAAAAATGCTAAAGTATTAAACTATGCAAATGCTGCTTCACAATTGTGTATTGTGAAGCCGCATTGCAGTATGTAGAATTTGTAATTATTGATTGTGGAGGCTCTAATGTGATCCCTCTGTGATTAAAGAAACACTCTAAGCACCAGAGCCACTGCAGCTTAAAGGGACACTATAGTCACCAGAAAAACTAGAGCTTAATGTAGTTGTTCTGGTGAGTATAATCAGACCTCGCAGGCTTGTTTCTGTAAACACTGCTTTTTAGAGAAAAGGCTGTGCTTACATTAGTGCCTAGGAACACCTCAAGTGGCCACTCCTCTGTCACAAGTAAAGGGGCTTCCTGGTTGTACAGCAATGTTCAGCGTCTCCACACTCTGCATAGAGATGCATTGGTTCTATGAGGAGATGCTGATTTGCCAGGCCGACATTTGGCCCCACCCCGTCCCGTCCTGCCACCATGATGATCTCAGCCAATCCAATGCTTTTCCTATGGGAAAGTGTTGGATTTTTTGAGATCATCAATTCTGATTATGTCAGTCAAGGAGATGGATCGGGGGCAGTACCAGTGTGACAGAGGAAATAAGGTAAATTTTATTACCTTTTCGGGAGGGGGGAGGAAAGTAACCTAAATGGAGCTTTTAACACTAGAGAGTCAGGGATACACGCGTGTATACATTACATTGCTTTCTAAGGACACCTTTAATGGATGTCTGAGTGACAACCACTTGAGGTGCTTCCTATTACGTTTGTTCAGCACCTTGGCCACGTCGTTGCATAAGAAGCATTGAATTGGCTGATTGATGGAAGTCCAGTGGTGGCATGGCTCTACTCCCTCTGTGCTTACCTAAGGCCTCCCTCTGCCTGGCCTCCATGACATATCTCCCCCTGCAGTGAGGTGGAGTACCAGCACAAAGGGAACACCACAGTACAGGGAGAACAGGGGTCTCAGCATGGGAAATAAACCGAGTGTATTTTCTTTTTCAGACAAGAGAATTTTTTTTTGCATCTTTTACCAAATATTAAGTTCAACATAATTAAAAGTAGTCTACCTACATTTCCTTATGTATTAAAAAAAAATGTGATCATCTACAGGAAGCAGAAAGGTTTATTGGGAGACAAAACATTCACTTAGTTGTATAGCCACTTAAGAGGGCCACTAAAGGCACTCAGACCACATCATTGAGATGAAGCTCTGGGTGCAGTAGCCTTGTAGCTCTAACCCTGCAATATAAAACATTTCAGTTTTGTAGAAACTGCAATATTTCCATTGCAGGGTTAACACACCACATTGAGAACGTCATCAAACGTGGTTCCAAATCAAATACTGCTCCTAGAGCATAATGTGATTGTCACAGCGATTTGTGGTGCATGCGAACTAGCCTCCAAATGCTTCCCTATGGGAAGTGCAGAGAGACAGATCGGTGCTGATCTGTCTCTCGCTGTGAAAAAAAACAAGGTAGTTGTAAAATTCTCCCCACCGCCCCCCACCCCTTTCAAATAAAATTTACCCCTTCCCTGCCGTTTAAAAAGTAAAAAAAATGTTTTAAAAAGGGAAAAAATGCATATTACCTCTAGACTTGGTACAGGCTAGTGAAAAAATTATCCCACGCTAAGGTTCAAAATATGCCTTTTGAAACACCCTGGGGTGTCTTCTTTAGAAAATGGTATGCCTTAATGAATTAATTGGAAAACCCAACCTACTAAAACATGTCAAAGTGGGGCATGAACCCAGCGTAAAAATTCAAACTTAAATGGATGTGTCTGAAATGTGCCCCTTCAACATTGTCATATACCTGGTAAATGTACATACAAGGTTACTGATGTACTCATATGACATAGCTGAGCAACATATGAATTATAATACTGCCGTAGCACACATAAGGTTTGCAAAATATATATTACAAACTCATTGTGTGTGTCAAAAAGGCAGAAGAAAATGCTTATTACCACTACACTTGGTACAAGCCAGCGGAAAAAATGATTTCATGCTAAGGTTCAAAATATGCCTTTTGAAATACCCTCAGGTGTCTTCTTTAAGAAATGGTATGCCTTTGTGGGGTAGTTGGAATAATCAACCTACTAAAAAACTCCAAAGTGGGGTATAGACACAGCGTAAAAATTCAAAGTTAGAAAAAAAAACATAAATGGCTGTGTCTTAAATGTTGTCAGGGCTTACCTGAGTTGGGAGTCCAGCAGGCAGAGATATATGCTCACCTTGCAAGTAAACACAGGCCGAGGTGGTCAGGTAAGAATTCACCTGGCCTGTGAGTCGGTGCACGGGGGCTGTGCAGGATAATTCTCCTAGTCGCAGTACAGTCGCAGTACAGGAACGGATAAAGCAGGAGAATCGTCGTGGGAAGCCAAAAGGATGCCAGAAATCAGAATCAACGAAACAACATGCCGGGGTCAAGAGATACACTGGATAACAGGAGACAGCAAACCGATAACCAGAGTCAAGGAACTGACACTGCCTTCTGGGAGAGGCAATGTTTTATACCTGGCTAACGAGACTATCCACAACAGGTGTACCAGGAGTAATTCCATGTCTTGCTGCAGTGGCGTACACATGACCCATGGGGCCCCGGTGCGAAAATTGATCCCTGGGCCCCCCCTCGCTTACTCGGCGCGGGTCGGGGCCGCAACACATGGCGGCGGGCAACTGGTCGCAGGGGTTGCAGGGCTGCGACCCCGCGACATGCACACACACTTAAAGGACCACTACAGACACCCAGATCACATCAGCTCAATGAAGTGGTCTGGGTGCCAGGTCCCTCTAGTTTTAACCCTGCAGGTGAAAACATAGCCGTGAAAACGGCTATGTTTCACTGAGGGTTAATCCAGCCTCTGGTGGCTGTCTCATTGACAGCTGCTAGAGGAGCTTCCGCGATTCTCACTGTGAAAATCACAGTGAGAAGACACTGAACGTCCATAGGAAAGCATTGAGTAATGCTTTCCTATGGGCGGTTTAAATGCGCGCGCGCGCCTCTTGCCACGCATTTGCATTCGGAGCTGAGAGGCGGACACTGGGGAGTCCGACGCTGGAGAAAGGTAAATGCTGAAGAGACACACACACACACTCTCACGAACAGACGCATACACACTCACTTACAAAACATACACTTTCACTGACAAACACACACTCACTAACAGACAAACACACTCAGTAACAGACACACACAGTAACACACTCACTAGCAGACACACTCACTGACACACACACTAACACACGCACTAACACAAACACACATACACTCATACACTAACACACATACACTAACACACACACACACACACATATACTAACACACACACACACATACATACTAAGACACACATACACTAACACACACACACATACTAACACACGCACACATACTAACACACACACACATACTAACACACACACTAACACACACACACATACTAACACACACACTAACACACACACACATACTAACACACACAAACATACTAACACACACACTAACACACACACACATACTAACACACACACATACTAACACACACACATACTAACACACACACTAACACACACACACATACTAACACACACACTAACACATTTTTGTTTTTTTAATTTAACCCCCCCAGCCTCCTTACCTTTTGGAGTGCTGGGGGGATTCCCTGGGGTCCAGTGGTGCTGCTGGGCTCCTGGGCGGCAGGTCACTGGTCGGGCAGGCGGGCGCGCGAGGGAGCACTCACTGCTTCCTCTTCAGCTCCCTCGCGCGCCGCGTAGGGATGCCAGCGCCGGAAGATGACGTCATCTTCCGGCTCCGGGATCAGTGCGGTGCGCAAGGGAGCTGAAGAGGAAGCACTGAGTGCTCCCTCGCGCGCCCGCCTGCCCGACCGGCCACCCGCCTGCCCGGTATCAGCAGGGCCAGCCTCGGGGGGCCCTGGGGTGGCCGGCTCCTGGGCCCCCCAGGTGAAGAGGCTGGCCCTGTGGCTACATACCAGGTCGCAGGGGCGGCTGGGCCCCCTGGTGGGCCGGGCCCGGTCGCAGCCGCGACCCCGGTATGTACGCCACTGTCTTGCTGTCTGTATGTTGCGGTGATAACCCTGAGAAATGTGCCGCTTCAACGTCCACATATACCTGCCAAAGGTACATATGGGGGTATTAAGGTACTTAGGCAACATAGCTGAGCAATATAGGCAGTATTATAGACCTGTAGAACACATAAGGTTTGCAAAATATAATTACAAACTCACTGTGTGTATCAAAAAGGCAGAAAAATGCTTATTACCACTACACTTGGTACAAGCTAGCAGAAAATTTATTTCAGGATATGGTTCAAAATATACCTTTTGAATTACCCAGGGATGTCTTCTTTAAGAAATGGTATACCTTTATGGGATAGTTGGAATATGTAGCCTGCTAAAAAACTCCAAAGTGGGGTATGAACACAGCGTACAAATTCAAAGTTTGAAAAAAAACAAACCTGCAATGGCGGTGTCTGAGATGTACCCCTTCAAGTCCACATATACCTGGCAAAGGTACATACAGGGGTATTGCTGTACTCAGACAACATAGCTGAGCAACACATAAAGTATTATAAAGCTGTAGCACACATAAGGTTTGCAAAATATACAGTACAAACTCTGTGTGTTTCATAAAGGCAAAAAAATGCCTATTACCACTACACTTGATACAAGCTAGCGGAAAAATGATCCCACGCTAAGGTTCAAAATATGCCTTTTGAAATAGCCTTGGGTGTCTTCTTTAAGAAATAGTATGCCTTTTTGGGGTAGTTGGAATAAGCAGCCTGCTAAAATATTTCAAAATATAATATGGACCCCTTAAAAGCATGCGTGGGATAGGCATAAGGCTATCCTAACTATAAGATAAGGCCAGTATTTTAAAAATTGGGCAGACTAGATGGGCCGAATGGTTCTTATCTGCCGTCACATTCTATGTTTCAATGTTTCTATGTTTCTAAAAACCATCTATGAAAATTCACACTTAAAAATCTAAAATTGACAGGTCTCTTTTACAGCACTGAAACTTCACAAAATAGTGTCTAAGTCATACATTGGGCATATTGTTTTACTCAGAAGAGGTAACTGAGCATACTTAGGGGGAATTTATGACAGTGGCACTTATAAAATGTACGAAATGCCCAGCAAAAATGCAACATGTATGTAAAAAAAAGTCATTTATTTTTCTCCCCACAAACTTTAAAATAAATTGACGCAAAAATGGTGGCAAGTTAAGTAATAATATATGCCGAATAAAATACCCTGGAGTGTCTGCTTTCTCAAATGGAAGGTCTTTGTGGGGTTATTTGAACAGTAAAACTGCTATAATGCCAAAAAATCTGACATAGGACCATCTATGAAAATTCCAACTAAAGAAACTGAAATAGCATGGTCTCTTATATGGCATTGTAGCTTCACAGAATAGTGCCAAAGGCATACAATGGGGGTATTGTTGTACTCTGCAGATGTAGCTGAACACAATTTGGGTTTCTGTACAGGAATAGCACACACCAGCTTTATGAAATACATTTTACTAAAATCTTGTTAAATGTGTATATGCCAAAATAGAGAAAAAAAAAATATTTTACTCCACTATTTAGCAGAGATTGGCAATGAAATGGTTACGTTAAAAAAGTGTCAAACTAACCTTAGATAAATAGTCTGTAATGTCTACTTTATATAAATATATACTTTTGTGTGGCAATTTTGTTTTCTGTAATGGGTATTAAATTTCCAAGACAAACATACCAACTTCTAAAATTGCTTCACATTGAAATTTTTTTTTTAGACCTTGTAGTTTGTGACCTGTAACTTTCAAAATAAACTGAAATCCTACACATATTATGTACTCTATAAAATCAAGACACATAAATGAATTGATTTTGAATTACTTTTTCTAAGCTGGACATATTATGCACTCGTTCTTATTGCCAATACTTGGAAAAAAATGCATTTTTTCCCCTATTATTTTGCAGTGTTTTGTAATAAATGAGGATTTATATATGTATATGTCACATCAAATTAAAGCCCTTTTTGTCATCTAAAAAAACTGTATATAATATGTGTTGGTACAATAAATTAGAGCAGTGTTTCCCAATTGGTGTTCCGCCCAAACAAATGAAAATAAAATGGCCGCGGGCAGCGAGGGAGCAGTGATCTCTCTGCTCAGCTCCCTCACGCACACAGCAGTGATGTCGGAGCTGGAATATGACGTCACTCCGGCTCTGGCATCACTAAGAGGTGCACAAAGGAGTTGAGCAGAGAGAACAGAGCACCCTTGCCGCCCGCCTCCACCGCTCACCTGTCTGTCCCTCGCCGCCCGCCTAGCTGCAGCCATCCCCACTGGACCACAGGGACTTCATGCCAGCACTCCTAAAGGTAGGGGGGCTGGGTGGAGAAAAATATTTTAAAAAATAAGTTGTATGTGTTTCTGTTAGGGAGTTTGTATGTGTTTGTCAGTTAGAGTGACTGTGTGCTTGTCAGTGAGTGTGTGAGTGTATGTGTTTGTGTGTCAGTGAGAGTGAATGTGTGCTTGTCAGTGAGTGTGTGAGTGTATGTGTTTGTGTGTTTGTCAGTAAGAGTGAATGTGTGCTTGTCAGTGAGTGTGTTTGTTTGTCACTGAGAATGTATCTGTTCTTGTCAATGAGAGTGTATATGTGTCTGTTAAAGAGTGTGTGTCTATCAAAGAGTGTGTGTGTTTGTCAGTGAGAGTGTATGTCAAATAGTGTGTGTGTGCCAGTATGCATCAGTGTGTTCGTATGGGCATGTGTGTGTATCTGAGTGTGTCAGTGTGTATCTGTGGGTGCAAGTGTGTGTATGTCACTGTGTGTATCTGAGTGTGTGTGTATTTGTGAGTCAAGACGTGTGTGTCAGTGTGTATCTGTGTGTAAAGGTGTGCATCAGTGTGTATCTGTGTGTCAGATACATATACACACGGACACAGAGATACATACACACTGGCACATACAAACACAGATACACACACCTTGACACACAGATACATACACACACACACTGTGTGTCAGGGTGTGTGTATCTGTGTGCCACTATCTGCATGTCAGATTCATACACACTGGCACATACAAACACAGATACACACACCTTGATACACAGACACATACAAACACAGATACACACACTCTGAAACATAGATACACGCACCTTGACATACAGATAGATAGATACATATATACACACACACACACAGATACACAGTGTGTGTTAAGGTGTGTATCTGTGTCAGTGTGTGTATTTGTGTGCCACTATCTGCCAGTGTGTGTATCTGTGTGTCAGATTCATACACACTGGCACATACAAACACACCTTGACACACAGATACACACACATAGATAGATACATAACTATTTGCACAAACAGCACCCATTCGTGCATTCAAAGGACATGTGAACTGGGATGAATAGACTGGCCGCACAGCCCAAATCGATGGAACTCTTTTGGGCAGGAAAGCCATGCTTGCGGTCGGTCAAAGGTGACTTGTACCTATCTCCCGAACCCCTGAACCAATTCAGGTGATTTTTTTATATGTTTGTCCCCTAGTTATGCTTGCTTGAAAATGTAAGTTTTATGTGAATGTGATGTATATTTTTAAAGTTATGAATATTGTGTAAAACTGTATATTTCTCTGACTGTGATAATTAAGTTAGCCCAATGTGTTTAGTAATTATATCACAGGCAGTGGTGTATTCTGGTTTTGTGCTGCTCTAGGCATGACAAAACTCAGGCACCACCTTCTAAATACACACAAACATTCACTGACAGAAATGCAAACACTAGCTAACAGACATACACACTCACTAACTGACACACACATTAACTAACAGACATGCATACACTCTCACTAACAGACACACACAAACTAACAGACACACACATAGTAACACTCCCTAACAGACACACTCCCTGACATACACACACTCACTAATAGACACACACACTCACTCACTAACAGACACACACACTCACAGACACACACATTAACACACTTATTTTTTTTTTTAATTCAACCCCCAGCCTTCATACCTTTAGGAATTACGCACACTGCACACATTACACACATTGTGCACACTGCACACATTGAACACTCCATGACCACTAGTCCCGGGCTGCCGTGTCCCTCCCAGCGACCGGGCTGCCGTGTCCCTCCCAGCGACCGGGCTGCCGTGTCCCTCCCAGAGACCGGGCTGCCATGTCCCTCCCATTAACCGGGCTGCTGTGTCCCTCCCAATAACCGGGCTGCCATGTCCCTTCCAGTAACCGGGCTGCCTTGTCTCCCAGTAACCGAGCTGCCATGTCTCCCATTAACCGGGCTGCCTTGTCCCTTCCAGTAACCGGGCTGCCTTGTCCCTTCCAGTAACCGGGCTGCCGCGTCCCTCCCAGTAACCGGGCTGACGTGTCCCTCCCAGTAACCGGGCTGACGTGTCCCTCCCAGTAACCAGGCTGCCTCCCAGGAGCTCTGCTAACATGGTCAAATCTCTCATCTCTGGGCAGGGAGGGAATGCACCCGGGAGAGGAAATACACGCCCACTGTGGGAGTGGCGTACGTCAATATCTGTCAGTGCGCGATGCATCCTGGGAGCAGCTGCTGGCTGTGACATATTATTCCCATTATGCAACTCGTCTCCCTCGTTCTGAAAAATAAAAGCGACAGGAGCGCTCCGCGTGGTCTAGTAACCATGACAACGCAAGCCTGACATTATAATAATAAAAAAAATAATAATAATGACGGTGTCTTGCGTGGTTTGAGGTTCGGTCATGGCCGCATTCTGGTTAGAATTAATTTCTAATATTTATAACGATAAAGGCAATTACTGTGAAGGCGAGGAGGAGGCTTGGAACGCACACATCGGAAGTGAATTACCGTTTCCGGGTACATTGAGCTCTGGGATAGAGAGAGCTGGTGCAGGTATTATTATTATTATTATTTTATACCTGATATATTCCTGTCCATGTATTGCAGCAGTCAGTATTCACCTCTCCTGCTAATTACTGGTAACATTCAGCCTGTAAATAACCTCAAACTGAGCTCTGCACCTGTCAGACAATACACTCATTATATATATACACTGATAGGACTCATTATATATATATATATATATATAATCAAAATAGGTTATGGTGGGGAAAAATTGTGATTGAAAACCCCTTCCACCTGAAGTCTGTGAATAGTTAATACAAAGTTGAACAAAAATCTGCACACCAGCCAAGCCAAGACTTGCTTTTCCCACAGAAATCATTTAGCAAATTACCCAGCAGGTCATGACAATGGTTACCCTGTCAAAGCTATGGTCTTTAAAGGACCACTCTAGGCACCTAGACCACTTCAGCTTAATGAAGTGGTCTGGGTGCCAGGTCCCTCTAGGATTAACCCTTTTTTTTTAGAGAAACTGCTATGTTTATAAATGGGTTAATCCAGCCTCTAAAGCCTCTAGTGGCTGTCTCATTGACAGCCGCTAAAGGGCGTTTGCGTACTTCTCACTGTGAAAATCACAGTGAGAAGACGCCAGCGTCCATAGGAAAGCATTATGAATGCTTTCCTATGAGACTGGCTGAATGCGCATGCAGCTCCTGCCGCACATGCGCATTCAGCCGAAGAGGAAGCGGAGAGGAGGAGGAGAGCTCCCCGCCCGGCGCTGGAAAAAAGGTAAGATTTAACCCTTGCCTCGCCATCCAGCCCGGCGGGAGGGGGACCCTGAGGGTGGGGGCACCCTCAGGGCACTATAGTGCCAGGAAAACGAGTATGTTTTCCTGGCACTATAGTGGTCCTTTAAAGTAACCAAAGGTAGTATTTTGTAGTTTGATCAATTATGTTGTTTCCTTTTATGCTACACGGTGGAGTGCTGCTGGAAAGACCCCAACCAGGAAAAGCCCCAAGTGCAACACACACCACTAATGGCTCCCTCGGGATCAGAGACATACCGGGCTCGACCCCCCCAATACCGCCCGCACCAACAGAGGAGTACAAGACCAAAGCTGATCCTAAAAGATCCCGGGGCTGGGGGGCCGCCTCAGCCGGACAGCGCAGTGAAGACCACATGGAGGCGCGGGGGACCGACAAGCAACAAGGGAAACTCACAGAACTCTACTCTAGACCCGCAACCAAGGCCAACAGAATAGGCATCGGCTAGACGCATGCGGCCTGTCTCACCAAACCGCTTCCAGCCATAGCCCACATTCACACCGTGAGAACTTTGTATCTGCTCAGATGATACTCTACCTGGGAGCTGAATTCTGGTACCTCGTAGCACTCTATGCCTAGTTTGCAGAATCCCTCACCCGATAAACACGGTCCCAGACATCGATTATATTGGGACTGTATTATACCTACGATGGGGATAGGTTGACTGCCACAACGAGCCTCCTGCTTTATGTATCATCACAGTGTGCCGTTTCCCATTTTAACATGCCCGTAATGTTTATTAGTTTGCATCTAGATCCTTCGATTTTTGTTTTTGATATTTCATATTGACAAGTCTCAGATTGCTGTACCTTATGGCCCCAATCTAACTGGGATGTCCGTCATAAATTGTTTTAGGAGCTGTTACACACTTGTATATGCAGGATAATCGGCAGATAAAATTTTTAATTTGCCTAGCATGTAATTTAAACGCAAAACTCTAACACATACTACTGTCACAGATGAGTAGAAAAGCTTCTACCCTATAATATGTTTTTGACAATATCTCGTATCTGAAATGCCTAATATTCTCGTTATTGTTCATCTGACTTTTAAAAAAAAATGTGTACAGTATTTTCACACTGCTGTTGAATGGTTTCCTACAGCTATTGTGGTGTAGCAAGCCAGATTGTTAATTCATGCACAAAATAAATAAAAAATGTAAACAGATTACTGCAGCAAAGCATGAAAAGTAATGCCTTTCCAATGTAGTGGTATTCAAAGCAAGCCTCAATATCAGTTTTCAAACCCAGCCCAACAGTTATTATTTTTTTTTTTTATTCTCTGCAAAATAATGTTACAGCTGCTTTGCAGGTGTTTATTTGCAAATTTAAAAAATTGGGAACGCTGTAGGCTAACACATGAAAAGTGCTGCTCTGTGGTAATTAAATAATAGCAATTAATTAGCTATCACATTAATTTAAAAAAAAACACACAAAAATAATGTAAAATATTTACCCTTTTTGTGAATATCTCAGACTGGTAAAAAAATTTTTAAATGCATTTACTTACTACACCTTTTTTGTTCATGATTTTGCTGTGAAATATAATAAAATTTGTCACATTTAATACATAGGTCAGTCCGAGGATTATTGTTTTTGGAGCCTCTGTCAGACTGAAATAATGAACAAGGACAGGGATGAAATTACTAATAAGATACTGAATCTCATCCTGGAGATAATCTACCTGCTGACTGGAGAGGTGAGGGATCTTGGAACAGAAGATTGTACCAGTTGCTAAAACATTGCAATCAAAAAGCTAGTATAGAAAAATATGAGACAAGGTACAAATATTAATAGGTGGAATTAAGCAAAATGTTGGACATGAACGTATAAAAAGAGAAAGGCACCGTAGTAGTAGAGAAATTTGAATATTTATTAATTCAGATGATGAAGGCATGAAAGTGAAGGAAATTATTTTTGCGGTGGTTACGTGGCTTAAGACTGACATTCTTTTTTTTAATATTTCAATATGTAGCATTATATGAGTGCAGAGAAGCATCCCACACATGCCATACACGGCAGCAATCTCCATGTGTCAGAGGAATCTTGGAGGACCCAGAGCCCGAGAACGCTGTCTCCACCCCACTCACTGGTACATGAAAGCAAGAATGACCAGAGTATCCTGGAACTGACCAATCAAATCATCCACCTGCTGACTGGAGAGGTGAGGCTGCTGGGAATGGGACATGTGTCTGGATGGTGACTGTATCATTGTGTGTGCCAGGTTCCTATAAGGTGTGAGGACATCACGGTCTATTTCTCCATGGAGGAGTGGGAGTATCTAGAAGGACAGAAGGATCTCTACAAGGACGTAATCATGGAGACTTGCCATCACTTCCGAATAATGGGTAAGAGAATACGTTATTACTGTAATATCTGTGTATACAACATACATCAACATATTATGCGTGGGTGTGGAATTTATATTTTTTATTTTTTTTTAAATCTACTTGTCCAAAGGACTAAAACAATAGCCGAAACTACTTGTTCATCATGACAATCTAGTTGACATAATAAGTTTAGATTGGTGCAACTCCCTAGATCCCTGGACATATAGTTAATTAGTAAACTCCAAATGTTAGCAAATTGAATGTGAATGGAAAAATGCGCGCTAAGTCCCACTATTGATGTGACGTCATGGGACGAGAAGACCTAGCGCTGGCACTGGAAAAGAGGTAAGTAAAAACATTTGTTTCAGCTATTCTGTGCTGGACAGAAGTGGGGGACCTATAAAGTTAGGGACAGGGACACTATAGCGTTAGGAACACAGGTTTATATTCCTAACGCTATAATGTTCCTTTCATGATCTGTGTAGTCAGATCTATATAATACTTTTATGTAATGTCTCATTATTTTAAAGCAAATCTGGTCATGCTCTAGACATGATAGTCTCAAAAATATGGCATATGCTTTAATTATGCTTTTTTCCTTTTTTCTAAAATTATTGTTGTGTAAAAGTACAGATTGTTTTGCGTTTACTTTTATATATATATATATATGGTATATGGTTCCCATGCAAGAATGTTAAATGCCTTCACCTGCTGCAAGCACAGCAGTTTCTAAATTAATCAGACACTGTTAGCGGCTCCTCGTCTATCTACCGGACACCATGTATTATTAATGTTGTAGGATCCTTTGGCAGGAACTCTTCTTCCGTCCTTTAAGCTGCTCTGTCATTTCTTTTTTTTTCTTTTTCTTTTACATTAGGTGTGTCTCAAATCGTCCCCATAGTCTACCCTGTTGTAGTTTTTTTTTTTTTAGAAGACCCTTTTTAACTAAGTTATACATAAGGAAAAGCAGGAACTACTTTTCCTTTTGTAGAACTAGAAGGTTGACAACATTTACCACAAGGTAGAGCATTAGTTAAGCTCCACAGCCTTTGTCATTGGCCTTAAGTGTGTGTAATCAGCTCCCTCCAGTGCCTGTCATACCGTGAAACGATGCAGACTTCAGGTGCCCAGTCTGCCCATTATGCCACCAATAGTGTCATTCATGAACTGGGCATGCGCATGATTTAAAGCACACACCCAGCTATGGGCAGATAATAGTATTTCCATATTTATAATAGCGGAGCAACCATAAGACAATGTGACATAAAACGCGATGCTGGAAGGACTAATCAAAGGCGCGATCTGAACACAATGAACTATTAAATGGCGTGATCTGAGGACAATAATGGATAACAGAGGGGTGTATGTGATTGGTTGTTGTGTGTTTATAAATCCCGTGAGGTTGGTTTCTCAATAAAGCTGTGTTCCATCCCACTCCATCAAGTGTCTGGCTGCTTCTGTGCTTTCATTTTAAGTCACTGATCTGTAGAGAACACAGCAAACCAACAGAAAATAAATTGGGGTTTCTAATGTGCCTTCTCAAAATACCATAAAACATGCTGAGGAGCTTAATGGCTACAAGATAATCAAGGTTTTTGTAAATCTCTGTTTCGGTACCTACCAAATCGAGAAACGATGACAAGTCATTGTTGGTTGCAATGAAAGCATAATCAAAGACAGTCAATATTTGGATAATCTGAATGAAATATTGTGTATCCATATACATCCAGAACATGTCATGAATGCCACATAGAAAATTAAAATCAGAAAGGCTCAAGGGACACAAACAATCATTGCTTGCTCGCTCTGTCACAGTTTCATACTCTTTGTTTTGCAGCAGAGATACTCATTAGCAGAGGAATTTACTGACCTGACACAATATATTTGGACTAGGTGCCAATTCTGTCTTCTACATGCAAAAAGACAATTATTTTTTTCTCCTCTGTTTTGTTATTACCGTTCTCGTTTCTACATCTCACACCACCAATATTTATAAGACTATCCAAAGTTTTATGTGGAAAAGGTTGTGTATGTGGATAAGGCTTTGGAACATGTTGTTAAGTAGAAGATGAAGTTTAGTCAACCTTCCACTGTATGGAGTGCAATTTATTTCACTACAGCCCTACCATCATCCCTATTTCAGCTACTTGGCATTTAAAAATTTTGAAAATCTTGGCTTTTTGTTAAAACTGACTGAAGTGTTTCTCTCTACACGGGATACTTGGTTGCAGTTTAAGTAGGAGACGTCTGATTTCTTTTGAGCTGTGACTGGCATTCTTGTAGCCTGACTAATGTCAATTCTGTGCATATTCCTATGCACAGAATTACAATCTTTGGCTGAGAGCGGTTAGCTGATGCTCTCAGCCAGTGAATGGATGGCAGGATCGGAATCCAGCTCTGTAGAAGCTGAATGCATGTCATAGTCAGCTATTGAGTTGCCTCAGTGCCTAGGATCACCAGGTAAGAGTGCAAACTGCTGCAACACAGTTTCCGCCATTATCTGGAAACTAGGGGCAGGTTGCTCCTACCATCATAACCACTACAGCTGACTTCAAGGAAAAATATTCCAGTTATTATTTGTGTTTTTTTTTTTAACCAATGTAGTGAATTTAATTACATTGTGGATTATATTACATGGCCCTTGTTGAATCTCCATCAACACAGTTGATACAGTTTCGCAACAAGGACAGTCTTCAAAAGAAGAGATGCTCAGCTTTCAACAAATGTAGTACAGAGGTGATTGATGTTGTACAAAATATAGTAATGGATTTAAATATGACACCTTTCTAATTTTTGTGTTTTTTTTTCCTTGTTGAAGAGTTACAACATTTGGTCTAAAAGTTAAGCATATATACATATATATCTCAATAATGAGATACAGAAGAGTTAATGTTTTAACATATTTAATGTGATTACACTCAGTATAGACTTAAAGATATAATGTAAATAAATTTCTTTAAAAAGATAATCTGTAAATTACAAATATAATAAAATTAAGTAGTAAACATCATTTCATGCCCGATTTGGTATTTGTTTTACGTTTATGTTTTCTCATTATTTTGTCCATTCTCAAGTCTTGTTTTTGATTATATTTTAGGATCTTTTCGTGTATGATAGAAGTAGTTGTTGCACTTACATGTGCATGAGCTTTTTATTAATTCTATGTTTCAGATGAAAACAATAAACCGTTTACATCTATTATTTTAATCTTACAGATGAATCAGAGGTCAGAAATACAGCTAAAGTCAGAGGTCAGAAATACAGCTAAAGTATGTGACATTCCAGATATGCCAAAAGCTTTTATATTTGAAGATGAAAAGCGCTATGAAATGAACACGGCAGAGGCATGCATGCAAATAAATAAATCAAGAAAGAAGAGTAACATTGGGGAATCAGCCTTATGTGATGAAAGGAATCTCCCGGACATGGCCATTTACACATCTACTCAACATACATTTACTTCTATAAAGGGAATATCAGCCTCAATGGAAGGAAATCCCACGGACACCACTATTAATGCATGTCCACAGCATTCAGAGACAGACTTTAAAACTATTCATTGTAGGAAGTATTATAACGGGATCAGTATTAAACCAGGACAAAATAATGTATCAATGATCAGTAATCATGGCTGTGTTCAACATGTGACACACATCAGAGATAGGACATATAAGTGTTCTAAGTGTCGGAAACACTTTGCTAGTTACTCAGAACTAGTTACACATCAGTCAGTTCACAAAGGAAAGAAGTTCACGTGTTTGAAATGTGGGAAAACGTTCTCTACCAAATACAACCTTGTTGTACACTATAGGATTCACACAGGAGAGAAGTTATTTTCGTGCTCTGAGTGTAAAAGAACATTTTCTGTAAAATCAAGTCTTCTCTCACACCAGAGAACACACAAGTCAGAGAAGATGTTTACATGCTCTGAATGTGGAAAAAGTTTCAGATTTAAATCAAACCTCACTGAACATCAGTGATACACACAGGAGAGAAACCATTCTCATGCTCGGAATGTGGCATATGTTTTTCTGCAAAATCAAGTTTTGTTAATCATCAGCAGAGTCAAACAGGAGAGAAACCATTCCCATGCTTAGAATGTGGACAGTGTTTTAACCGTAGGGCACATCTACATGCACATAAGTTGATTCACACAGGAGAGAAACCATTCTCATGTTCAGTATGTGGGAAATGTTTTAGGCGTAAGTGGCAAATGGTTCAACATCAGATAATTCACACACAAGAAACAGTTCACCTGCTCTGAATGTGGAAAATCTTTCACTGTTAGTTCAAATCTTAAGACACACCAGAAAATTCACACAGGGGAGAAACCATTTGTGTGTCCTGAATGTGGTAGGTGTTTTAGAGAAAGGTCTCATCTCATCGCACATGAGACTATTCACACAAAAGATAAACCATTTTCATGTTCTCAATACGGAAAAGATTTTGCCACTAAATCGAATCTTGTTAAACACCAGCGAATTCACACAGGAGAGAAACCATTCTCGTGTTCTATATGTACTAAACATTTTGCTAATAGCTCAAATCGTACGGCGCATGAGAAGACTCATATTGTATGAAAAATGAAAAATCTTTTTCACAAGTGGTCATGTTTTAATACAAAAACATTTTTTTTTTCCTGTGGAAGATATCTAAATAAACAATTCTATACTGTATTTTTATTTTGTAATGTAATTGAAATTTATGTGGATGATTATTTGGAGAAAAAAAACAACACATCGTTAATATATGCTACCAAAGGATTCTGCACAGCTTGCAAAATTCGGTTACGGGTGTAATAAAACTAAAAATGTAAGTCAAGCTGCAGGTAAATAAATTTGGAAGACATGCAACATGAGCGAAAACAGGAGAACCATATTGACTTCATTGTAGATGTGCTGGAGAGAGGTTTAATAAGCAGGTATCCATAACTCATTTAATTATGGCAATATTGAACTGTGCAATATTACATATTTTCTCATTATGTTGCGTAAATGTCATCTGGCTACAAATGTTGTTTAAGTTTAGGCACTGTTTTACTTTTTTTAGTTTATAGGTATAACTTTGTTGTCATATCAGAATGTGAAATGTAGGCCCCCACATTTGCTAAATGAAAGAGGAATTCAAAGAGAGAGGAAAAAAAAAACTCCAGTTTCACCTAATGGTAAGTGTAAAAATCTAACATATAAAGCAGTAAGTTCGGTTGAGAGATTCCATATATTGGGATAATTATCGAGTTCTTTTTAAATAGTCCTAATTTTGATCCCTCTCCTACCTGATTTCTGTAACTATAAGACATTTAGTTGACACCTAAGTAAATGAATCTCTTATCTGCTGGTGAAATTAACAAAATTAACCATTATGTTTTATAAGTAGAACAAAAGTCATGAGCACTCAAATAATAGACGTATTGTGGACATGACTCTGGATTCTCAGTCCAGAATTAGCAGATATGCTATGAACTGGTACAACACTCCACTCATCAAACGAGTGTGTGTTTATCTGCCGTCACATTCTATGTTTCTATAGTGGTAGAGGTTAACACAGTAAAGGAGTTTAAGCATGCGTGGGATAGGCATAAGGCTATCCTAACTATAAGATAAGGCTAGGGACTAATGAAAGTATTTAGAAAATTGGGCAGACTAGCAGGGCCGGACTGGCCCACCGGGATACCGGGAAATCGGCTACCGGCCGGGCACTCAAATGGCAGACACGCCCTACCTGTGGTCAAAGAGAGCTCGATAGTGGTTTAGGCGGCAGGGGAGCGCTGATTAGCCTGTTCTTTCTGTGCTCCCCAGCATCCGGGCCGGGATATGACGTCATATTCCGGCTCCGGTCTCAGTAAGCAGTGCGCTGGGGAGGGGGAGCAGAGGCAGAACAGCCAGCTCTTCCTGCGGCCGCCAAAACAGCCAGCAAACCCTGCGGCCGCCAAGGGAGCTCCCCACAGCCCCAGGTAGACATTGTGTGTGTCTGTATCATGGTGTGTGTCTGTGTCATGGTGTGTGTGTCATGGTGTGTCTGTCTGTGTCATTCTGTGTGTCTCTGTCTGTCATGGTGTGTGCGTCTGTGTCATGGTGTGTGTCTGTGTGTCTCTGTCTGTCATGGTGTGAGCATCTGTGTCATGGTGTGTGTGTGTCTGTCTGTGTCATGCAATGTGTGTCTCTGACTGTCATGGTGTGTGCGTCTGTCTGTGTCACGGTCTGTCTGTGTCATGGTGTGTGTGTGTTTGTCATGGTGTGTGTGTTTGTCATGGTGTGTGTCTGTCTCTGTCATGTAATGTGTGTGTGTCTGTGTCACGATCTTTCTGTGTCTGTCTGTGTCGTGTATGTGTCTGTGTCAAGGTCTGTGTTATGGTGTGTGTGTCAAGGTGTGTGTGTCTTTTTTAAGGTGTGTCTGTCATGGTATGTGTGTGTCTCTGTCATGGTATGTGTGTGTCTGTCTGTCATGGTGTGTCTGTGTTTCTGTCTGTGTCACGGTGTGTGTCTGTCATGGTATGTGTGTGTGTATGTGTGTTTTTACTCACTTTTTTTTTTTTTCACGTCGTGCTGGTCTCCCCTCAACTGGCCCTGCCTCTACGGCTGAGATCATCAAGCTTGATGATCTCAGCCAATCCGCACTGACACAGGAAGCACCTCTAGTGACCGTCTGAGTGTCTGTCACTAGGAAGAAATGTAAACACTGCCTTTTCTCTAAAAGTCAGTGTTTACATTGAAAAGCCTGCAGGGACAGGCTATAGACACCAGAACCACTACATTAAGCTGTGTGTGCGCGCCTGCTAGTGAGTGGGCTTGCTTGTGTGTGTGTGTGTGCCTGCTACCGAGTGAGCGTGTGTTTTTATTTTAATGACCTTATGTATATCAGTGAGATTGTTTGTCTATGAGGCTGTGTATCAATCAGCTTGTGTCAGTGAGATTGTCTGTGTCTGCATGTGAGTATGCTTACTATATAATTAAAGATTTTACTCTGAAAGGACCAATATTTTATATTGGAAAAAGATATATAGATATATATATATATATATATATATAATATATATCTCAATCATCTAGGGTGGCAAGACATAGCCTTACATATTACATGCGACAATACATGGCGCAATGACTTATGGGGCTGGCATAGATTTTTTTTTTCCAGGGCTGCTTTGGAATCCCCAGTCCGGCCCTGCAGACTAGATGGGCCGAATGGTTCTTATCTGCCGTCACATTCTATGTTTCTATGTTTCTATGTTCCTTTATTGTGGCATCATGTAAGGTGACAACATTTCGATAGAAGCAGATCTTTGTTAAGTAATTTAAAACATAGCATTGAATTTAGTGATACAGTGTGAGTAGTCAAACAGCCGATACAAAAAGGTAGAGTCAATTAAATTAGCTTATATTTATAGATATCATGATATTGTCAAATGATATCTATAAATATAAGCTAATTTAATTGACTCTACCTTTTTGTATCGGCTGTTTGACTACTCACACTGTATCACTAAATTCAATGCTACAATTTCTGGGGAAATTGTGTGAAGTGTTCTTGCCTCCACCAGTAGTCTACAACTGGAGTGGCTTGAGTAACTGTTGTGTGGTTGGAGTGGCTGGAGTAACTATGGAAAGGCTGGACTGGGCAGAGTAACTGTGTGGAGTGTTTGGAGTGAGTAAAGATAGTAAACATTACACTAACCAATTGATTGATCAAATTTAAAAAGTGCACATGGCAAGCTTAATAGAGTGAGAAATGCATTTCAACCTTCATTTATTTATATAGCACAGCGTTTTTCCAAACCAGTCCTCAAGACCCACCAACAGTCCAGGTTTTGTTAGTATCTCCATTGGAATTAAACAGGGAAATACATAAATCCTGGACTGTTGGTGGGCCATGAGGACTGGTTTGGGAACCACTGATAAAGCACATTTAATTGCAACGTTGTTGCCCAAAGTGCTTCACAGTTACATTAAAACATACATTTATAAAAACATTAGCAGGTGTACAAAAGGCCCTGTCTATGACATCACTTGCTGCTCCAGCCTGGCACAGGTCAGAGTATTTTGGCAGTTGCCATTTTCAAACGGTCGTATTTTACTATAAATCCTACAGCAAGGAGCTTTATATTGTGAGAATCACAAGACTCAGACCTACATTTGATGCATAGTATGTCTCTGAAATATTAAAAATGAAGGCACAGTCGCAGTTTAGAAATTGCCCTTCAAATTTGAGCTGGCTAGAGTGGAGTTTTTCAATGAATGTCAATGGACGGCGTGAGTTGCAAACAAATGGTCATATTGTGAAAACTATCAGGACTATGGCTTAGCCGAGGACATGTTTAGTGGCAGCAGGGATAGCTGAACGTTTTGTTATAAGATTTGTGTAGGTGGGCTTGAAAATGAGGGAGTGGTGGCAGTTTAGAAATCATGTCCTAATTTTTCAGCTTTTGCCAGCTCCCACTCTAGTTTTGAACATTTTGCCATTCATTCCTATGGGACCAATTTCGCCACAAGAACGACGATATTCCGTGAACCATTCGGCGAAACGTTCCACAAAGTAATAGCAATCCGATCGGGAACAATCCGCACGTTTCGGTATATTACTGTCTATGTAGTGTAAAAACTGTGGGAGGAGTTAGGGTGGTAAATTTGGCTATAATAAGAATAATATATATGTGAGATAACATTAAGTGGTCTTGCTATGCAAGAACACTTAATAATATATATGTGAGATAACATTAAGTGGTCTTGCTATGCAAGAGCACTTAATAATAATAATAATAATAATTTATATGTGAGATAACATTAAGTGGTCTTGCTATCCAGGAACACTTAATGATAATCATGTACTAAATGAAGTTGTTAAAATGCCAGGAGGTCCCTGGAGGCACTCTTACCTCAAGGGGTTAAACCATTTTTTATTATGGTTTAACACCAAAGTTGCCTCAAGCGGCAATGTCCACTCCCCCTAGGTGGCATTCAGCATCAAAATTTTCAGATTCAGGAAGCGCAGAGATGTTCTCAGCCAATCAGTGGCTCTTCATTCACTAAACTAGCTTGAGTAAAGTACATTTGTTCGCAAGCCAGTTTATTGAATGGGCAAGAGGTAAGAGTCCCTCCAGGGGCCTCCTGGCACCATAACAACCTTTTTTAGACAAAGTTGTTTTGGTGTCTGGGGTGTTTCTTTAATTGACTGTCTTTTTGTATTAGCTGTCTGATTATTTACATTGTAAACCCATTGTAACGGATCACCTGGCACCCCGACTGGGTACCTCAGTTGAAGGATGCTCCTAGCGCTTCCTGAGAACTCCAGCAGACACCATAACCACCGTAGACTCCTTCAGGTAGCAAAACAGGAACAAGCTCTTAGTGATTATAGCAAGAGAGTATGACGAGAATAGCAATCCCTTGTAGCAGATTCCCCCAATAAGAGACAGGACTCTAAATTGAGGGTGATGTAGAACTGAAGGTTTAATGGCAGGCATTCTCTTTTTATGCAGTTCTCCCATGCAAGGGAGACACCAACAGACAATTATACATTAGCCAATCAAACAATGGTTACAACCCACATATTCCCTCCCCTCTGCTTGGGAGATAATTGAGTTACTTACTGTATCTACTCAATTATCTCCAAGTTGCAAAATCATACTTTTCATACATTTTTATAACGCCATGTTTTTACATACAATATGAATAAAACTCATGTTTTTATAAACAGCATAACATGGGGACAAACATATTCAAAATTCACTTGAATCGGTTAAGTGGTTCAGGAGATAGGTGGAAGTCCTCTTTTTGACCGACCGCACGCACATTTTTATGCCTAAAACATTTCCAGAGATTTGGGCTGTGCGGTCGGTCTATTTTATGCAGAAAAATAACTAAGTCCCATTCGAATGCACAAACGGGGCACTGTTTGTGCAAATAGCTTAGTATAACTGTGCGTTCGAATCGTCGATCGCACTTCGATTTTAGCCGAAGTGTCGAAGTGGAGGAGAAGGTAAGGGTCAGCGGTGTTCGTGCAAATGTGTAGCCGATTTTAGTTCCATGGATTCGTTGGCGCACACGTTCGACTAAATAAAGATGGCTGCCGCCACGTGTTCGACTGTACGAACGGCGGCCACCCAGCGGTCGGCAATTAACCTGCAGTTAACCGCCAGCCTGGGAGGTAAATTGCCTGCACACTTCCATTTGCGTGTGGTCCGCCTGTGCAGTAATTGGTTCGGTAAGCCCCGTTTACCGAAAAAGCCACGAACAAAGTATTTTAAACAGTCTGGGGACACAGTCTTAAAGGGGCATTGTTCCCAAAAGTCATAATATGTCCATACACTGTGCTTAAAGGGCCAGCACTAATCCGATACAAGTCCATAAGCCCAACTAAGTTTCTTAAAGGGCATCCCAGGGGTCATAGTCACAGGGCAGGAGGCGGGCAAGCAGCCCCCTCCAAAAACTCATGGCAAACTCCCTTAAAGGGGTGAGTTTGCTACACCCATTATGTATAAACACAGGAATCAGCGCTAAAATGAACCAATACTAAAATAGGGATAGTGTTAGGCAGCAAACCTAAAGATAGGGTTCCCTCCAAACCCTATAACCAAGGATAGTACAAAATACAAAATAAATGAAGGTTGCGCCAAAGCTCACCGTAGTTTTTATGTGTCCATTGCCTTCCAACCTCCTCTAGCCATATACAGATTAAAACAAAAGCTAATATAGTGCTGCTACCTCGGTTTCAAATAATGAAATAGGCTTGATATAAAATTAATTTCACACAAACTCACTATTATACAGATGGAATAATCTACTGGTGCATCTCTCCATTTTCTTAGTGATCCATCATTAAACTGCCAAGAAGCAATTGTGGTCGGAGTGTCAGAAATCAAACAACCAGGAAGGTGATCCATAAAAAGTGCTGGTTTATTCAGTGTAAATAAAGGTTGTTATAAAACATGCAGGCAAAATCACACCCTTATAGGCTCAATCCACAAGTGAGGGGGCAATACAAAGCCAAAAAAGTATTGCTGGACACTTTTTGAATTAAAATTATTGCTTATACAGCAACTCTTTTATGGCTTTATTTTGTTTTAAAGGTTTATTTTCTTGATTTCTTCCTCATCACTTATTAATTATTTTAGCAATGGTGTAGGCTTGCACGTGGAATATGGGATGCAAATAGTGGAAGGAGAGGTTGTCACTGAGACTACAGTAGGTGAAAGAATAGTTGCTTTGCTGGTATCATTTGGTGGCATCAGTGGATGTGGTTTTGTGGTCTGCCAAGTACACAGCTGCCCATCATAACAGTCATTGGAGAAGGAGTACAGAGCAACCCATGATCCTCTGGGGCCTATACTCCCTATACGGAGTTATCCAGGAATGTAAGGTAAGAATGGGTGCATTGGAGCTTTGCCCTGTTCATCTTGGGTTTCCTCTAAAGGCATGCAAAGCATCATGGGTGTTGTAGTTCTACAACATCTGGGAATCTACCTTTTGGGCACCCCTGTTTTAGACAACTCACAATGTTGTAGCAGTACATCATCTGATCACATGATATTACAACCCTCCATTTTATGAAAAAGTTGCTTATTGAAAGGGACATTCTAGAACCTAAAAGTTTTAAGTTTGCCGAAAAGCTTTATGAGTGAACAGTGCGTCCTCTTCATTTCAGATTGCAAAAATTGCAGACTTTAATAGAAATTTACACTTTTATAAATTAACCTCATTACACTTTCAAGCAGACAACAGGTTCTGTTACTTCCTGTAACTATGCACACACACTACTATACACACTCAAACAACATACACAAAATGACACACATTGTTATCACAGTATACACATGACAATACTACACACAAACACAAAGTGTGCACACTGTTACAAACCTTACTCAGAAATAGTGTACACACACATTACGACAGTAATTATATTTTACATTGATTTTTTGGGGAAAGTTTTGCCCTTTCAAATGTTTTTTTTTTTTTTTCTAGTATGTCTCTCCCTGTGATGATACATATCATCTGGTGATACTTTAGTCACCAGAACAACTACATCTTATTGTATTTGTACTGGTGAGGATAGTCAGGCTTTCTGTAGAAAACGCTGTTCTTTCAGAGAAAATGTGATGTTTAGATTACAGCTTAGGGATACCTCCACTGACCACTCCTCAGATAGCTACTAGAGGTGCTTCCTGGGGTAGTGTTGCACAGTGTGACTGACATTCAGTGTCTCCACCCTCTGCATGAGAAGATGCTGATTGGCAAGGGTGCTGTTTGGCTTGTGCTGGCTCTGCATCTGATCTTCCTCATTGAGAACCTCAGCCAATCCAATACTTTCCTATGGGAATCATTGTAATTGGCTCAGATTAACACTTCTGATTATTTCAGCCAAGGAGGCGGATCAGGGACAGAGCCAGCACCAGCAGAATGGAATAAAAGTAAGTTTTCACGATATTTAGAAGGGTTAGGGGGACCAGGGGGACTAGATGGTGTTTTTAACACTATAGGGTCCGGAATACATGTTTGACCCTATAGTGTACCTTTAATTATGCTAACTAGCCTGTTCTGTATATTGCAAAGTGGCAATTGTACCAGGTGTGTACTGCAACATTCCCCCAAAATGGCCCAGGAATCTAAAGCACATGTTCAATACTGCAAAAGGTCATTCAGTGAAACCTCAGGTTGTGATTTCGTAAAAAATCTGAACTTCTTTCACCAGACTAGTATATTGTAATATACAGTTAAGTGCTAATCCCCTAGAATTGTTATCTATGTTATTTACTATGTCAAACATATATTCTTACATTATTAAAAAAATTAGCTTGATGACATTTTACAGCAAAGCTCGATACTAATACATGATTTATATTAAAGGAAGCACATCATATATTTAATGCTTTCATAGCTAAATCCCCAAGTTACCTAATCTGATTTAATTCTCATTGCATTAATCAGTTTTTGCCAAATCCCTCCTCTTTTTGATTCAGGGACCCATTCCAGAACCTGAAATTTAAGAAAGGTTGTGTTTCTCATTGTCTAAGTGTGCAGGTACTGGTAACTCTGTGAATCAAATCCTCAATCCCTCACCCCCCCCCCCTTTTTTTTCTTCCCTTTTTTCAATTTTTTAACCTTCCTTATAGCAATGCCCAGCAGGAAGGCTGAGCTAAGTAGCCCACTTATTATTATTATTATTATTAGCCAACAACAATTCTCTCCTTTTCCTTTTTATATTTTTTATTTTCCTTCTTTCTCCTTTTTTTCAAATACTCTGCTCCTTCTTTCTCCTATTCTACAAGTATTTTTTTGATCTTTTCCTTTTTATCTCCTTTTTTTTTATGCTTTTCTTTTACCTTTCTTATGGCAATGTACAAAAGTAAGGCTGAGCTAGTTAGCCCACTTATCATTATTAGCCAACAACAATTCTCTCCTTGTCCTGCCTATAACTTTTCTTTCTCCTATTTTACAACTGCTCCGCTTCTGCCTGTCCCTGCTACCGTGCATCAGCTCCCACTCCTCCCCTTCCTCTTCCCACGTGTTACACTAGCTCGTGTTGGCATGTTCGCACACGCATACACGCGTTCTCTTGTTCGCGTGCACGCATTCTCATGTTTGCATGAGTTTGCGCGTGTTCATACTTTCATGTGTGTTTGTGCACTCGCGCCCGCCCGCCCACTCTCTCAAAAGGAGGATTTAGCATTAGCTTGTTGTGCCGTCGAAATCCCTACCGGCCACCTGGAATCCTGAAACGTCCACTAGTGGGCGGTAGGGACCAGGCTGACGACCCATGGGTTAAAGTAACACTATAGTGTTAGGAATACAAACATCCTCTGTATTTAGTCCCAAGACCAGAACACCTGGGGTGTACGAACAGCTATAAACTGGAAGAAAACTGATATTAGCAATATTTACAGCGAGTAGGCAGGAAGCATGACACTCACTTTATGCCAAACCCTCTGTAAATTGATTAATATGTAGCCGGGGTACATACAGTTTATCATGGTACTCACCTGCCTGGTTACATTCTAAATGCATGTATACAAACTAATCTGGCAGCATGCCATGTGCACAATGCATGCAGGGCTACCAGCTTACCATGTTTGTACAGTTTTTACCATATATATATATATATACTTCTCCTGGAGATATGTGAAATGTTTACAGACCAAGAATAAAACCAGTGTAGCTCTTAAGGTATATCTGCAGTGAATATGTACATTCTGGCAATATGCCAAACCAAAGAATTCACTTATCATTCTGAATATAAAGACAGCAGCTGCAGCTCACATTAGATAGCCAGTAACCACGACAACAGATCTGAAAACATGGTCAGTGCTGTTTGTTGGTGCTCTGGTGTTTAGAACTCTACACTAATCCTAGCAGGAGGATGGGAAGGGGTTTGACTCTCACACACACTAATCCCAGGGAGACCCAGGCAGGTCTGGCATTAGCTTCCTGATGCAGTGAGCTCAGTGGGGGAGCTCAGGCTGCTGCAGGTCAGTACTAATTATACTGCCAATGGGTCACAATATTCAGCTGGTTATAGAAATGTATATTCATATAGTGTTATTACATTGCAGAGAGCTGGGCTCCTTCTAATATGATCTGCTCAAAGGATCCACAGAAATAAATATTCATGTAATGTGCAGTGTATGAGTGTATCACAGAGCTCCACAGCAATGTAACCCTTAGTAATGTGCAGTGTATGAGTGTATCACAGAGCTCCACAGCAATGTAACCCTTAGTAATGTGCAGTGTATGAGTGTATCACAGAGCTCCACAGCATGTAACCCTTAGTAATGTGCAGTGTATCACAGAGCTCCACATCAATGTAACCCTTAGTAATGTGCAGTGTATGAGTGTATCACAGAGCTCCACAGCAATGTAACCCTTAGTAATGTGCAGTGTATGAGTGTATCACAGAGCTCCACAGCAATGTAACCCTTAGTAATGTGCAGTGTATGAGTGTATCACAGAGCTCCACAGCTATGTAACCCTTAGTAATGTGCAGTGTATGACAGAGCTCCACAGCTATGTAACCCTTAGTAATGTGCAGTGTATGAGTGTATCACAGAGCTCCACAGCAATGTAACCCTTAGTAATGTGCAGTGTATGAGTGTATCACAGAGCTCCACAGCAATGTAACCCTTAGTAATGTGCAGTGTATGAGTGTATGAAGAGCTCCACAGCTAAACCCTTAGTAATGTGCAGTGTATGAGTTGTAACCCTGTAATGTGCAGTGTATGAGTGTATCACAGAGCTCCACAGCAATGTAACCCTTAGTAATGTGCAGTGTATGAGTGTATCACAGAGCTCCACAGCTATGTAACCCTTAGTAATGTGCAGTGTATGAATGTATCACAGAGCTCCACAGCAATGTAACCCTTAGTAATGTGCAGTGTATGAGTGTATCACAGAGCTCCACAGCAATGTAACCCTTAGTAATGTGCAGTGTATGAGTGTATCACAGAGCTCCACAGCTATGTAACCCTTAGTAATGTGCAGTGTATGAGTGTATCACAGAGCTCCACAGCAATGTAACCCTTAGGAATGTGCAGTGTATGAGTGTATCACAGAGCTCCACAGCAATGTAACCCTTAGTAATGTGCAGTGTATGAGTGTATCACAGAGCTCCACATCAATGTAACCCTTAGGAATGTGCAGTGTATGAGTGTATGAGTGTATCACAGAGCTCCACATCAATGTAACCCTTAGTAATGTGCAGTGTATGAATGTATCACAGAGCTCCACAGCAATGTAACCCTTAGTAATGTGCAGTGTATGAATGTATCACAGAGCTCCACAGCAATGTAACCCTTAGTAATGTGCAGTGTATGAATGTATCACAGAGCTCCACAGCTATGTAACCCTTAGTAATGTGCAGTGTATGACAGCGCTCCAGAGCAATGTAACCCTTAGTAATGTGCAGTGTATGACAGCTCCACAGCAATGTAACCCTTAGTAATGTGCAGTGTATGAGTGTATCACAGAGCTCCACAGCTATGTAACCCTTAGTAATGTGCAGTGTATGACAGAGCTCCACAGCTATGTAACCCTTAGTAATGTGCAGTGTATGACAGCGCTCCACAGCAATGTAACCCTTAGTAATGTGCAGTGTATGAGTGTATGACAGTTCCACAGCAATGTGACCCTTAGTAATGTGCAGTGTATGAGTGTATCACAGAGCTCCACAGCTATCTAAGCCTTAGGAATGTGCAGTGTATGAATGTATCACAGAGCTCCACAGCTATGTAACCCGTAGTAATGTGCAGCGTATGAGTGTATCACAGAGCTCCACAGCAATGTAACCCTTAGTACTGTGCAGTGTATGAGTGTATCACAGAGCTCCACAGCAATGTAACCCTTAGTAATGTGCAGTGTATGACAGAGCTCCACAGCAATGTAACCCTTAGTAATGTGCAGTGTATGAATGTATCACAGAGCTCCAAAGCAATGTAACCCTTAGTAATGTGCTGTGTATGAGTGTATCACAGAGCTCCACAGCAATGTAACCCTTAGTAATGTGCAGTGTATGACAGAACTCCACAGCAATGTAACCTTTAGTAATGTGCAGTGTATGACAGAGCTCCACAGTCAGTGACTGAAATTAAGCAGCATACTAAAAAAAGAGTAACAAAATTATCTATATGTATAATTAATTTCTCCCCACATCTTACACTGACGAGCCATAACATTAAAAACATCGACCTAATATTATGTAGGTCCCTCTCGTGCTGCCAATACAGCTCTAATGTATCAAGACATGGACTCAACAAGACCTCTGAACGTGTCCGGTTGGATCTGACATCAATACATTAGCAGCAGATCCAGTGGAAGAGGTCACTGCCATCGGGGAATACCATTGCTATGAAGGTGTGTACATGGTCTGCAACAATCTCTAGGTAGATGTTAAGCATCAAAGTAATATCCAATGGCAGAACCCAAGGTTTCCCAGCAGAATATTGCCTAGTGCATAACACTGCCTCCGCCGGCCTGCCTTCTTCCTACTGCGATCCACCTGATCTAAAAGAAAATATTGCTCCATGGTCCAGTTCTGATGCTCACATCCTCATTGACTGCATTTTTAGCAGTGGACATGGGCCATCATGGGCACTCTAACTGGCCTGTGGCTACGCAGCCCCATACGCAGCAAACTGTGATGCACTGGGTGTTCTAATACCTTTATGTCATGGCCACCATTAAGTTTTTCAGCAATTTGAGCTACAGTATCTCTTCTGTGTGATCGTAACAGACAAGCTAGCCTTTGCTTCCTACGTGCATCACTGGGCCTTGGACAACTGTGATGTAAGTTCACCGGTTGACCTTCCTTGCACCACTTTTGGTAGGTACTAACCACAATACACCGAGAACACCCCACAATACTTTCTATTTTGGTGATGTTCTCACCCTGTTGTCTAGCTGTCACTATTTGGCCCTTGTCAAAGTCACTCAGATCTTTTCTCTTGTCCATTTTTCCTGTTTCCAACACAAGGAATTCAAGAACTGACTCTTCACTTGCTGCCTAATACATCCCACCACATGACAGGTGACATTGTAATTATATAATCAATGTTATTCACTTGTCAGTAGTTTTAATGTTGGGGCTGATCAGTATATATCTTTTTTTTTTTTTTCTTTGAATTCTTTATTTTTGTGGGTATGCAAGTATTAATTGCATTTTACAACATGTGCATAAAGGATAACATGTATTAAATACATTCCAAATAATCAGCATATAACATAGACAATATTGCACAGGTGCTATGCCACCCGGTTTTTATAGGGTAATCTCTGCTTTACTCCCTCGTGCTGGAAGCCGTGGAAACATTGGAAACATGTAGTACCTTGGAGGGGGCCGGTAAATAGCGTTATGCGCCCTGCTCAGAGGCATTGGGGCTGTGGACCTAGCCTAGGCGCGTGTGTGGGAAGTGCGGGTTTGTTGGCCATTGGCCTGTCAATGGTTTGGTGCGGGCCCCAGCGTATCAGGCTGGATGTGTGGTATATCGTTGCTCCTGTAGTCGGGAGCCTATGGGTACCCTGCACGGGCTTGAGGGGGTGGGGGGTAGATCTGCTTAGTCAACATCGCTGGTTATCTGCTTGCAGAGCCAGTATCATTAGTGTGTCTGGCACCCTGAGACATTTAGGAACTGAGAACTGGAAATGTGTAAAAACAACAACTAAACTTAATTAAACTTAATAATCCACATTGCCTATAAAATGAGAGTGAAGTCCTGGCAAGTGTGGTTTACATGCATTGTCCCAAGTATAGTCCCGTTTCAGGGCACCTGTGACAGGTTGAAGGTGCACTTGCGTTTACGATCGCTTGTCTTGTGTTGGTGAGTCTGTTGCCCTCAGCGTTGCTTCTCTGGGTACAAATGGGGTTATTTCGTCGACGTTCCATGCTGGGCTGGATCCTGTTGCTGCGGCCGGTAGTGGGAGTCCCAGGGACTGGAGAAACGTGCGTGCTTCGGATCTGTGTGTCAGGTGGACCGTTTTGCCAGCGTGTTCCGTTGTTAAGCGGTGAGGTCCCCATTTATAGGGGATAGCATGTTCCCTCAGCAGCGAGGTGATGTGGCGGAGGGATCTGCGCCAGGTAAGTGTATGCCGTGACAGGTCTCTATAGAAAGTCAGGCTTTCTCCCTCAAATGCGACCGTGGGAGAGCCTCTCGTAGCTCCCATGAGGGCCCCCCGATCAGAATCCCTGACAAATTTAATCAGCACATCCCTTGGTGCCTCCTGGGGAGCTTTAGGTGCTTTCGGGATGCGAAAGCAGGAGTCAATCCCTACTTGCTTTGCTTGCTTGGGGATCAATAAGGTTGCTAGTAGCCTCCTGCAATAGTGTGGCAGCTCCTGGTTCACGACCGATTCGGGCACTCCCCTGATCCGTAGGTTTCTAGCTTTAGTTTTGTCCTCCATTCCCGCCAACTGTGCTGTCAGCGTTGCATATTGCTTTTGTAAGAGTCCCTGAGCTGTGTCTGCAGCCGCCTGTGCCATCCTTCTATTCCCGAGGGATTCCTCAATGGAGACCACGCGGCCTGTAAGCGTGGAGATTTCCCCATGGACCAGCGCCATATCAGTGTCGAACATCGCCTTGATGTTCAGCGTTAGTGCTTTTATATCAGCTTTTTTGGCGGGTGCTGCGTCGCCTAGATCTTTAGGCTGCTGAAATGTGGTGTGTACCTTGTTGGGGGCATGAAAAGAGTCAGAGACGCTATCTTCGTCTGATGATTGTGGAGTATAGGCCTCCATCGGCGCCATCTTGCCGGGTTCTTGCCGCTGAGACGGCCGCATAAAAGTGCCAATATCTTTTGACCCCGAGCCAGGATCTGTTCTGCCTTTCTTTGTTTTTTTCCCCATAGAATAGGGCACTCTGTGGATCAGATTGTCGGATCCCAGAGGCTAATTTTGTAGCGGTTTTGTCCTTTCTTTTGGATCTCATGTTAGGAGCTGTCGTGGAGTGCGACTTGCTCTTTCAGGCGCTGGCTCCGCCCCCCCAGTATATATCTTAATAGTAATGATGCTGGCATGGATTATCCCCAATCAATCACACATGGTCATCCTGACTATGGTGACCCTGTCAGAACATGATTGACACTCCAACACATTGGATTCTCTGACAGTGTGGTGACACTGCCAGAAATTTACAGTCATTCACATCTGTTTAGTTGACAATATGGTGACCGTAGAATTACCACAATCCACCACTTGTCAACAATCTGTCAGATCTGTAATACATTGCTGGGTTCAATCCAGGGCCGTCTTGAATAACGAATGGACCCTGGGCAAGTGTTTGATTGGGCCCCCTGTGCCCTGCCGCTCTCGCCCCTCACTCCCTGGTATGCAGTCACGGCATCCATCCCAACGCAGTGGCGGTACTAAAGTAGAATGAATTTTATTGGGACCCCCAATTGCAAGGTTGGACTAAAGGTAGAACCCCATCTGTCGTGCAACTCCAACAATGCTTTGACAGCTGGGACTCTACCAATTTCCCATGCTTGCAGGGTTGTATTTAGCACTGAGCCATGTTAGTATGTTTGAATGTAAGCATGTGTTTGTATGGAGTATGTTTGTGTGAATGTGTTTGTATGTGGTACTGGAGTTTGAATGCAAGTGTGCATTTATGTGTAGTGTTTGTTTTTGAATGTAGGAGTGTGCTTGTATGTAGTGTTGACGTTTCAATGCAGGAGTGTGTTTTATATGTAGTGTTGAAGTTTGAATGGAGGGGTGTATTTGTATTTAAAGTTGCGGCTCAGATGCACAGGTACACACTCTGACGCACAAGCAGATACACAGATACATACACTGACTACATACAGATAAACAGGCACATACACTGACAGACACACTGACACAGGTACACAGGCCCGGACTGGCCATCGGGCACACCGGGCAAATGCCCGGTGGGCCGCGGTGGCCATGGGCCGAGGCCGGCAGGGGAGGTCCCAGGATCTCCCCTGCCGGTCTATGCAGGGCCGGCACTCTCCTAGCGCCGGCCCCGCTGTTGGCCACGACGGGCCGGTGGGGAGATCAAAGCTCTCCCTCACCGGCCCAAATGCGGCCGCCGGCGGGGAGGGAGGGAGCCAGCCAGGCTGGAGAGAGGACCCGGCGGAGCTCTAATATGCATCTCCGCCGGGTTCCTCTCGCGAGATCCGGCGTGTTGCCATGGCAACAACCGGATCTCGCGAGAGTGAACTCTAGCCTGACAGGCTATGCGGGCTAGAGTTCACTCACCCACGAGGACCACCAGGGAACACCGCCTCCCAGCGTGCCGGTCCCCCCTCTCCCAGGCTAAAGGTAAGAAGGGAGGGGGGGACATAATGCCTGTTTTTTTATTTTATTTTAATTTTATTTTATTTACCCCCCTACACACACACAATAACATTTATACAGCACTCTCACACCCATCACACTCACAGCACTCTCACAGAGCACTCTCACACACACACAGCACTCTTACACCCATCACTTTAATACACACAGCACTCTCACACGGCACTCTCACCCCCGGCACTCTAGCCACTCTAATGAGCTTAATGAAGTGGTCTTGGTGCCAGATCCTTCTAGGGTTAACCCATTGTTTTATAAACATAGCAGTTTCAGAGAAACTGCTATGTTTATCAATGGGTTAAGCCTTCCCCCAAAGCCTCTAGCAGCTGTCTCATTGACAGCCGCTAGAGGCGCTTGCGTGCTTTTCACTGTGAAAATCACACTGAGAGCATGCAAGCGTCCATAGGAAAGCATTATAAATGCTTTCCTATGCGACCGGCTGAATGCGCGCGCAGCTCTTGCCGCGCGTGCGCATTCAGCCGACGGGGCGGATTGGAGGAGGAGAGCTCCCCGCCCGGCGCTGGAAAAAGGTAAGTTTTAACCCCTTTCCAGAGCCGGGCGGGAGGGGGTCCCTGAACCAAATATGCATCACATTACACCACAAACACAACACGACTAAAACCGACCTTATTACACAATACCACACCACGACCAGCTAACTCTACACACACGCAATACCACAAGCAGGCTCCAAACACATGCACAATACTCTTTCCTGGCCCTTTTGTCTCCTGGTATCCATTTATAGAGACACCAGAGACAAGTTGCAAGGAAACACAGTGCAAGCATGTTATTAAATTTGCTTGCACTGTGCAGAACAAATACAGGACTTTTTTCTCATGCTAGAGCTCTTCAGCAGAGCTCTGCGCATGGTCTGCCCTGGAAGAGCATTGAACCAACATGCTCACTTTGAGAGGAGGCGTGTTTGTCATTGGTGATGACAAAACACACCTCCTCTGCCCCGCCCCCTTTTTAGTGGGCTGCTGTGTTAAAAAAATGCCCGGGCCGAATTTTTCTCCCAGTCCGGCCCTGCAGGTACATATATTGACACACACACAGACACATACACTGGTAGACGTACTGACAGACATACTGACACAGGCACATATACAGACATACTGACACACAGACACATATACCGACATACTGACACACACACACACAGACACATACACTGATCAACATACTGACACACATACACTGACAGAAATACTGACACCCACACACTGACAGATATACTGACACCCACATACAGGCACATACACTGACACACACAGACTGATATACTGACACACACACACACAGACATACTGGCACACAGACAGATATACTGACACATGCATACACATGCACTAACAGACATACTGACGCACTGACAGACATACTGACACACACAGATATACACACACATATATACTGACACACAGACATACTGACACACACACACAGACATGCTGATACACTAACACACACATACACTAACACACAAACACACACACTAACACACATACACACACTAACACACATACACACACACACAAACACATAAACACACACATACATACACTAACACACACATATATACACTAACACACACACAAACACATACACTAACACACACATTTATTTATTTTTTTAATTTAATCCCCCCAACCTCCTTACCTTTTGGAGTGCTGGGGGGAATTCCCTGGGGTCCAGTGGTGCTGCTGGGCTCCTGGGCGGGTGGCCGGTCGGGCAGGAAGGCGGGCGCGCGAGGCAGCACTCACCGCTTCCTCTTCAGCTCCCTCGTGCGCCGCGTAGGGATGCCGGCGCCGGAAGATGATCGCCATTCGCTCCCAGATCAGTGCGCGCGAGGAGCTGAAGAGGAAGCAGTGAGTGCTCCCTCACAGCCGCTTCTTCCCGTTCGACCGCCATCATTGGTCAAGGGGCCTGTGGGTAGGTGTCACCCCCCCAGAGAAACTGGGCCCGGGGCAGCTGCCCCGTTTGCCCCGCGTTAAAGACGGCCCTGGTGCAATCTCAAGGGGCCCCATTAGTAGTAACAAAAGACACACAACACCAGTTATAAAACCATTTTACTCCACCCAGGTAAATCTGACATCTATTTCTGTAGTGAGAGACCCAAGGAAATTACTTTAGCTCTCTATCCCTATTATTACAGAACATATATATCAACCTGAAATGGAGGGATGCCCCCCTGCCCCCATTTCAGGTTAATTTTAAATAATAAATTAGATAGATATCTATCTACACCATATATATTTTCACATTGCATACTGAGGGTATTCTAACGATTATTCTTATTCTTCTAGGAGGACCAGAGGTTGATATTGTGCAACAGAAAAACTCCTTGATAATGAACAAATGCAGGAATCAGATGGCTGAGAGGATATTGAATCTCGCTCTGGACATCATCTACCTGCTGACTGGAGAGGTGAGGGATTCTGGGTAATGTCAGTATGGAGATCATCTACCTGCTGACTGGAGAGGTGAGGAGGGATTCTGGGTAATGTCATTATGGAGACTGGAGAGGTGAGGGATTCTGGGTAATGTCATTATGGAGATCATCTACCCGCTGAATGGAGAGGTGAGGGATTCTGGGTAATGTCATTATGGAGATCATCTACCCGCTGACTGGAGAGGTGAGGGATTCTGGGTAATGTCAGTATGGAGATCATCTACCTGCTGGCTGGAGAGGTGAGGGATTCTGGGTAATGTCAGTATGGAGATCATTTACCTGCTGACTGGAGAGGTGAGGGATTCTGGGTAATGTCAGTATGGAGATCATCTACCTGCTGACTGGAGAGGTGAGGGATTCTGGGTAATGTCACCATGGAGATCATCTACCTGCTGGCTGGAGAGGTGAGGGATTCTGGGTAATGTCAGCATGGAGATCATCTACCTGCTGGCTGGAGAGGTGAGGGATTCTGGGTAATGTCACCATGGAGATCATCTACCTGCTGGCTGGAGAGGTGAGGGATTCTGGGTAATGTCAGTATGGAGATCATCTACCTGCTGACTGGAGAGGTGAGGGATTCTGGGTAATGTCAGTATGGAGATCATCTACCTGCTGACTGGAGAGGTGAGGGATTCTGGGTAATGTCAGTATGGAGATCATCTACCCGCTGACTGGAGAGGTGAGGGATTCTGGGTAATGTCATTATGGAGATCATCTACCCGCTGACTGGAGAGGTGAGGGATTCTGGGTAATGTCATTATGGAGATCATCTACCCGCTGACTGGAGAGGTGAGGGATTCTGGGTAATGTCATTATGGAGATCATCTACCTGCTGACTGGAGAGGTGAGGGATTCTGGGTAATGTCAGTATGGAGATCATCTACCTGCTGACTGGAGAGGTGAGGGATTCTGGGTAATGTCACCATGGAGACCATCTACCTGCTGACTGGAGAGGTGAGGGATTCTGGGTAATATCAGTATGGAGATCATCTACCTGCTGACTGGAGAGGTGAGGGATTCTGGGTACGTCACCATGGAGATCATCTACCTGCTGACTGGAGAGGTGAGGATTTGGGTACGTCACCAAGGAGACTACTCCACCTGCTGACTGGAGAGGTGAGGGATTCTAAAGGTAATAAGCCACTATGGAGACTACTTCCACCCAAGCCGGCCGAGAGGTGAGGGATTCTGGGTAATGTCAGTATGGAGATCATTTACCTGCTGACTGGAGAGGTGAGGGATTCTGGGTAATGTCAGTATGGAGATCATCTACCTGCTGACTGGAGAGGTGAGGGATTCTGGGTAATGTCATTATGGAGATCATTTACCTGCTGACTGGAGAGGTGAGGGATTCTGGGTAATGTCAATATGGAGATCATCTACCTGCTGACTGGAGAGGTGAGGGATTCTGGGTAATGTCACCATGGAGATCATCTACCTGCTGACTGGAGAGGTGAGGGATTCCGGTTAATGTCATTACGGAGATCATCTACCTGCTGGCTGGAGAGGTGAGGGATTCTGGGTAATGTCATTATGGAGATCATCTACCTGCTGTCTTGAGAGTGAGGGATTCTGGGCTGGGCCAGTATGGAGATCATCTACCTGCTGACTGGAGAGGTGAGGGATTCTGGGTAATGTCATTATGGAGATCATCTACCCGCTGAATGGAGAGGTGAGGGATTCTGGGTAATGTCATTATGGAGATCATCTACCCGCTGACTGGAGAGGTGAGGGATTCTGGGTAATGTCAGTATGGAGATCATCTACCTGCTGGCTGGAGAGGTGAGGGATTCTGGGTAATGTCAGTATGGAGATCATTTACCTGCTGACTGGAGAGGTGAGGGATTCTGGGTAATGTCAGTATGGAGATCATCTACCTGCTGACTGGAGAGGTGAGGGATTCTGGGTAATGTCAGTATGGAGATCATCTACCTGCTGGCTGGGGAGGTGAGGGATTCTGGGTAATGTCATTATGGAGATCATCTACCTGCTGACTGGAGAGGTGAGGGATTCTGGGTAATGTCGTTATGGAGACCATCTACCTGCTGACTGGAGAGGTGAGGGATTCTGGGTAATGTCACCATGGAGATCATCTACCTGCTGGCTGGAGAGGTGAGGGATTCTGGGTAATGTCGTTATGGATACCATCTACCTGCTGACTGGAGAGGTGAGGGATTCTGGGTAATGTCACCATGGAGATCATGTACCTGCTGGCTGGAGAGGTGAGGGATTCTGGGTAATGTCATTATGGAGATCATCTACCTGCTGGCTGGAGAGGTGAGGGATTCTGGGTAATGTCACCATGGAGATCATCTACCTGCTGGCTGGAGAGGTGAGGGATTCTGTGAAAGTAACACTGACATCAACATCACCAGTTTCTCAGTCTCTGCAAAAGGAAACCGGGCCTTCCAGTCATTAATATGTGACACGTGTGAGGCATTGTATTTAGCAATTGGTAGAATTGCACAAAAGCTAAGAACTGGAAGGTATTTGTATGTAGGGAGAGGCAGAACAGGTGATATATCTATTGTGGAAATATAAAGTGCCTCTCTGTCACTTCTTTAAGAAGTATAGGGGGAGGGGGAAGAGGTGTTTCAGGTAGGTTGGCTGATCGTCTACCCTAAGTTAAGTATTGTCAACTTTACAACATGCAGTCACATATGAATTTTTGCCAGAGGAACCAAGTAAATGTGAATTAAGAATGGATTGAGGCAAAAATGCTGTTGACTTCTCCTTTGCTCTAATCTCTGCCAATTTAGAGATTAATTGGTATATGATTGGTGCCTGTAGGCATTTCCATAGAATGGGGATCAGGGACTTGGCAGCATTTAGCATAGATCTTGTTAGATGTTTTTGTATTTTAAATTAAAGACCTGCTTTGGTGTAATAACATGTGTTCAGGGGAGAATGGTTGTGGGGTACCATGATCATCCTTATGTTACTGTGGGCTTGCTTCTAAAACCATGTGATGGTGAGACAGGTCTAAAACACGTAAAAAACAAAGAAAAGAAAAAGTTACCTGCGCTCTCTCCTTAATCCCTATGTATATTTATACAAATGGAGGTCATTTAGTTGCTCCAATGGCCATTGGAGGGAATGCCCGCCTGCCAACGTCAAGGCAGACCCCCCTAAGCGGGTCCTAACACTGACCCTTCAGCCTGCTTCCTTGAGCTTCTGGCAAAGATATCTCTAATGAGACAGAGAGGGGTATTTTTTATATACACCCCCTATATACTTGTAACGGCACCCCCAGGCATAAAAGGGTCAAACCGTCGTTTAGAAGATCTTCCCCTTCCAGAGACACAGGCAGCTACTGTAGACACCAATCCACCGAACCGGAGAAGCATATGAATGCTCTCAAGCACATGAATGCTGTAAACAGCTGAATAGGAAAAACCATATAAATAGGTTTACACTCCTAGCAGTCAAACTGGAACAGCATACAATAAATCCCCCCAAGAACGAGACAAGCTCCGTTTTGAGGGTCAAGCAGGAACAGATTTACTGGGGCTACCTGCCCAGCTTTTATGCATGTCTCCCACCTGGTGGACACTCCTCCAGTGGACAGTGGCGAGGCTGGTTTCGCCACATTTCTCCCCTTTCCTATCCAGACTAACAGGGTATCTGACCTCCTGTCGGTCAGTGCTCTGGTTAGTCCAGCAACCCACCCACAAAACAGAATCCGCAGTATAACCCACCCACCAGAATTGGTTACTACACCTGGGGCAGTGTCCAAGAGCTCCACTTCGGCTCTGGGGGGTACTAGCGTTCCATGTCCAAGAGCTCCACTTCGGCTCTGGGGGGTACTAGCGTTCCGGATCGGTGGGTTGCTGAGTGGGCAGAGACCAGCGGTACTCTGCCCTGCTGCCAGCGCTACCACGGGAGTAGCCTGGTTGGAGCCCAGTTGAGGGAATGGCGTAATAGGCTCCTCACTCTGGACCTGGTACTGCTGCTGGAGGGCAAGACAGGCTGTCTCCCCTTTGGATGAACATCCTTGCTGCCGGGGAACAGGACCGACCGTCCCTAGCCCCTGTGAGGCATGTGCAGAGACCACGGTCCCATCTGCACTGGTGGGGGGCTTATCTCCCCTTGGTGGGCTAGGCTGCCGTTGGGGAGAGTGGGTAGCAAGTTCCTCTCCCTTACCCACTTTCTGTCGCTGGGGAGAGGGGATGACAAGCTCTTCTCCCTGACTCTCTCTCTGCTGGTGGAGGGGGGGACCAACTGTCTCCCCTTTCAATATACTGTCCTGCTGCTGGGGGACGAGACCTACTGCCTCATCTGCCCCATCTGGGAGAATAGGGTCTCCCCCTTGTACGTTAAGCTCCCGCTGGGGAGAGGGGGTAACAAGCTCCTCTCCCATATATACTTCCAACCGCGGGGGAGGGAGACCGACTGTCTCCGCTCCCAGTACAGAGTCCTGCCGCTGGGGAATGGAGACTGGGCTCCCAATTCCCTGCAGATCACACTGCTGCTGGGGAATGGAGACTGGGCTCCCAATTCCCTGTAGATCACACTGCCGCTGGGGATCTGAGCCAACCGCCCAGCATCCCTGTAGCTCACCCTGCCACTGGGGAGGGAGGACGCTGCTCTCCTCTCCCTGCAAGGTACTTCCGCTGGGGGACAGGACCAACTGTCTCTGCCCCCTGTAACTCAACCTGCCGCGTGGTAAAATCTCTGTCAAACTGCTCCTTAGTGTAGCTGGGTGCCATGCTTGCTCTGCTGCAGTTGCTTCTTTTGTAGATAGGGGCGCTGTACGGGTACTAGCGTTGCCCTCAATTTGTAAGTCCAGGGGATGGTGTTGTCTCGTAGCTGTGCTTCTGGCTGTAGGAAAGATCCCGCTGCTTGCCACCAATTGTAACGGCACCTCCAGGCATAAAATTGTTAAACCGCCGTTTAGAAGATCTTCCCCTTCCAGAGCCACAGGCAGCTATTGTAGACACCAATCCACCGAACCGGAGAAACATATGAATGCTCCCAAGCACATGAATGCTGTAAACAGCTGAATAGGAAAAACCATACAAATAGGTTTACACTCCTAGCAGTCAAACTGGAACAACATACAATAAATCACCCCAAGAACGAGATAAGGCTCCGTTTTGAGGGTCAAGCAGGAACAGATTTACTGGGGCTACCTGCCCGGCTTTTATGCAGGTTTCCCACCTGGTGGACACTCCCCTAGGGGACCAGATGGGAAACTGGGAAACATATTGGACATTGACCAATCACAGACATACACCTTTTAACACTCTCACAATGCATCACAATCCCTCCTCTCTGTCCTGGAGGTAATTGGGAAGTAATCCAATTATCTCCAAGGACAGAGGCAAAACTCCATTAACTCCACATGGCAGACAAAGGACAATAAAAGACATAAAATTACATACTGTTACATTTATCACATAGAACATAAACATTCTACCTATCCCCAGATAGCTTAGATCTGAGCGCACATTATTACCGGATGGCGCTCAGATAACGTACATACAGTTCAATCCCCATGGAGCCAAAGTCTTTCATACAGTCTTCCAGTATACGGCTGGGCTCCATGGCATAGCTATCTGGGGTAGCATGGCTTTAACAGTCTGCAGAAAGGCACGAATACGCTTTTCTGCAGGGAAAATAAAAGGTTTTAACTGCCGGGCCATAGTCTAAAGGGAGCAGGTGAGCAACCAGGCTCCTCCAGTGGACAGTGGCGAGGCTGGTTTCGCCACAATACTTATTAACCCTTAATAGGGAACACATGTAGTGTGGTGACAGCTGTCTACCTGCACTGCTACCATGCATGAGAAGCATGACACAAGACTTGTGTAGTCCTGTACCATAGAGATGGGAGCTTGTGATTCATCTCCTGAAGTTTAGAGCTAACCTTGCCCTGTTGAGACAGATTGTAGATTTAAGACCATTTAATATGTGCCCAAATGCATTTTTCCCATTGTGTCATGAATTGTAGGGATGTGTCCTGAAGGTAGGTTTGTAGTATGTGATGAATGCAGATACAAGATTTCCCTACCAAGGGATTGCCCTGATTTACAGAAGTGCTGAAAAGCTTCTTGTAATGAGTTGTAAAAATATCTCATTTAGTTGTACTCAAAAGACTCTAGAATTGTCAATTCCTCAGAGAAGCCAATTACTCCAAGTCCTTAAAAAACCATTAGTGAAGATGATCTCCCTGAGGGCAACTTGCTCTCCTCTACTGAGAAAGTAAAGCATGCGGGGTGTGGAGTCTACGAAGAATTCAGGGTTGGATGTCCAGTAAAGAATAGGGCCTTTTCATCTCATTGAATCGGCTATAGTGCCTGGAGTTCCCTGTCACTGTTCCTCCTGTAGTGAACCATTTTCAAGCAGTATAAGACTATACAAGGGTCCCTAGTCATCCACAGCCAGAGACAGAGATTATACACTTCCTTCTTTCTATACCGATTGATACCAACAATGGGCACTGTCATAGTCTGAAAGTGGTCAGCTGACACACTCGGCTATTCACAGCCAACTATTGCTGCTCAGGTTAATGCTTCCTCATTAGCCCAAACAGCACACAGTGTATGAGCTGCTGGGGACATTCATTTAGCATTAAGACATTAAAAATGTTTCAATGCTGAATGGAAGGACAGTGCCAAGGAATGATAGACACTATAACCACTTCAATTAGACAAAGCAGTTACAGTGTCCTTTTCAGGTTGCCCATTTTGGGAAGCCAAAGTATAGTCTGCATTGTGCCATTTGCCAAACCCTTTAAATCTATGACCCTAATATGTTTTGGTTATGTGTGTGTGACATTCTATGAGTTGTAGGAGTTGTAAGTTGCACTAAGATTTAATAAAGGAAGGCCATTGGTTTTTAAGGACGCAAGGTTGTGATTGAGAGGTGTGGACAACTAGTTTCCTATGCGAAGGAGGTTACTATGAAATTTAGCATGGAGAAGTGGGTTACAGAATTGCTATCAAAAGCGTTTAGAATTGAGAGACAAACCTATTCTACCCTGCCTTGTTATGTCCGGGTACAACCAGTAGGAGGCAGGGCAACCATTCCATTAGGCCTTGGGTATGGGTTGCCTAAATGTGATGCCTATAAGCATCTTCCCCGTCTACTATAGAATATAATTTGTATAGTTACCTCACTCCTTTTTTATGTTTCAATATTTAGGATTATGTTGTTGTTAAGAAGTCCTGTGATCATGTCTTGAACAACAGCAGTCCTTGTGTATCTGAAAGTTCCTGCAGGACCCAGAGCCCCAAAACTCTCTCATTGGTACATGAGAGGAACAATGAGAAGATGATCCTGGAACTGACCAATCAGATCATCCAGCTGCTGACTGGAGAGGTGAGGCTGCTGGGAATGGGACATTATAGAGTAAAACCAAGGGATGTGTCTGGATGGTGACTGTATCATTGTATGTGTCAGGTTCCTATAAGGTGTGAGGATGTCACTGTCTATTTCTCCATGGAGGAGTGGGAGTATTTCGAAGGACACAAGGATCTCTACAGAGACGTGATGATATCTAATTACCAGACCCTCAGCTCACTTGGTAAGAAGAGTATTAATCACTGTCATGTATATGAATAAAATATGTGATGCACCCCTACGTGGGGCTTTTTAGCACAAAATCTATTTGGTTCAGAGGCTTCTCAATGAGTCTCTTCCGGGCAAAAAGGAGAGGGCTTGCAAAAAATTCAGTTCATAAGAACATCCGCTTTTGTGAACTCTTTTAAGATACGCTCCCATTGAATACATGCATTAAAAAAATGGGGGTATATGAACTAAACTGTGACATTTGTAAAAAAAATCAGTCTGGAGTGGTCATTTTATTTCTGCACCACAAGTCTGTGGAACAGAGCAGGGTCTCTTTCACCTCCCGCTGCTTTAGTATCAATATAGCCGTGATTATAGAAAGCGTTTGCTCTTGTTGGACTCTACACCTGGCCTCTAAAGGAATTGCTATTCAGCTTCTATTACCAAGCTACGATGATTGTTTTCCTTTTATTATTTTGCAAATTTAATGTTTTCTTGAATAACATGTGATTACAGAGCGCAAAAAATGTATTTACTGTAAAATAATATATTACTTGATTATAAATTGCTTGGTCATTTATCAGAATTTCGACCTCACTTTTAATATTCTTTTTTTTTCGGATAAGCTTTTCAAATAATTATTCATATTTTTTTTATATATGATCTATTTTTTTAATTTATTTTAAAACATAATTTTAAAAGTTTATCCAAAAATATTAAATATTATTTGCTACAGAGTTTTACACACTGTTACCGCATGAATTTGTTTGTTTTAGTTGAAAAATGATTACTCGTATTACTCTTAATGCATCTTTCATTTCCAATAGATAAATCCCTGGTGATAAATACAGCCAAAGTGTGTAACATTCCTTTTTCCAAACAATATTATATTAAAGAAGAGAGAATGGACTATGAGACCAACATAGCAGTGAGATTAAATGAGCCAAGAAGAGAAGAGAGAAATGTTAATGGGGAATCAGGCGTATGTGAAGAGGGGCAGAAGAGCAAAAATCCATCTACTAATATTAAGGAGGAATCAGTAATTCTTACAGACACAGACAACAATACTCCCAAGAACAATACACAGGTAGAAAATGCATCTGTTTCTATTAAGAAGGAACCAAGCTCTTGTCAAGAAAGCAATATCCCAGACACTGACATTTATATATCTAATAATACAGGTATCAGCAAAGAGCCAGAAAACAATGGGAACACCTCAATAATTAATAGTAGCGAAAAGGTCACAGTTGATAATAGTGCTACTTCAGTATCTCAACAATCAACACACTGCACGCATAAAATATATACATGTTCTGATTGTCATAAATGTTTCACTGGTGACTCTGATCTTATTAAACATCAGGGAATTCCCATAGTAAAGCAGTTCAAATGTTCAGAATGTGGTAAATACTTTGCTTCTAAATACAACCTTGTTGTACATTCTAGAACTCACACTGGAGTTAAGCCATTCCCATGTTCTGAATGTGGTAAATGTTATAGCTATAAATCACACCTTATTACACATCAGAGGAGCCACACAGGGGAGAAACCATTCCCGTGTTCTGTATGTGGGAAAACATTTAGCCGTAACTCTCATCGAATTGCACATCAGAATGCCCACACAGGAGTGAAATCCTTCTCGTGTTCTGAATGTGAGAAATGTTTTAAGTATAAGTCACATCTTATTTCACATCAGAAGATTCACACAGGAGAAAAACCTTACCTGTGTTCTGACTGTGGGAAATGTTTTAATCGTAGATCAAATCTTGTAGAACATCAGAGGAGTCACACTAGAGAGAAACCATTCTCATGTTCTATATGTGGGAAATGTTTTAAATCTAATTCATATTGCATAAGACACCAAAATGCTCACACTCAAAAAAGCCTTGTGTTTTGAATGTTGAAAAATTTTTAATGCTAATTTCATTTACATTAAATATATTGTACAGGACAGAAACTATTTCATGTTCCATTTGTAAAAAATAATTTTTCTCGGAAAGGACCGTTTACTAAATAATAAAAGGATTCATTTTGTGTAGAAAAAATGAATGGGAAGTGGCATGGCTGCTATTTCACATCGATGGGTTCTTCCTGATCAGCTGCAAGCTGATTTATTCACAAAAAGTTGTTTTACACACCAAACAGTTTGAATAAACAGTCTAACAATCTGGTGGACTGTACTATCATGGACCACTGTACTATTATTGCACTGATTTTTACCTCCATATGTTTATCTAGACACCTCTTTATTATAAACTTAGTTTGATGTGGTTAGCAAAGATGACATCCATTCAAGCTTATAGCTCAGTAGATGAGGGATCAGTACATTGCAACTCCTCAGAGGAACTACACTTGCTGTTAGCTCAAATGTTTCAATTAAAATAGAAAACTGCACATTATCACCTACAGAGCTGGCAGCTGAGCCCTCTTACAGTACTAGGGGGTTCTGCGGGGTTGTAAACACAAAATTGTGTGCCTCACCTAAGATATTCGCTGAACTGAATTTTTTTCTATTACATGAATTGGGTTTCTGTTTTATCTTTGACTTTCAACTCATTTTGTATTGTCAGAAGGACTTGGCTCCATCGTATTAGACTTGTTTTGATTTGAATAGTTACATCACTGCCAAATTAGATCCCGCTTATTATTATACCAGGTTGCACTGTCTGACTGCAGACTATTCATTTAATTAGTCTCCTTATAAAATAGTCTCTGGTGAGTGGAAATTTAGCCTTGGTATCCTCAGTGCCTGTGACGATGCTCAGGGCTGTTTGAAGGCAACAACATAATAACAGTGGCTAGACGGATGATGTTTGCATCTTTCAACAATGTCATGGATCTATACAATAGGGAAATTATTTCCCCCACGAGCCGTAAACTAACTCAAACACAGTGCAGGGGGTACATCAAATCCTGCAATACCTCAAACAAGCTGATGGATTTATAGTGGATGCCATAAATGTCACAATGGAGTTTGACCTCTGCAAATGGGCTTTACCACCTTGTAGCCTTAGCATAAATGTTCCACTCCCCAGTGCACTGCCAAATTTGGAGGAACCGCAAATCTTTCAAAAAGGGAAGTACAGTGGAGGGAGCTCCGCAGCCAAACGGAAAAATAAGTGACAATAAAGTGTTCTAGCATGCCAAAATGACCGACCATGCAGTGTACCTTAACCAGGAGCCGACCAGGAAACCCTGACCCTCTTACCTCTTTCCCAGATCAATATCTGGTCGAGGGCTCCGTTGGGGCCTGGAATGTGGCCCGGGCGGGACGGCCGCTCTCCCGCTCGGCGCACAACATGGCTCCTGCAAGAGGCAATCGCTGACCCGCCACCCCCTATTCCCCCGCCCCCCTCCCACTCGGACCGGAGGGGGTTATCCCGGTCCCCGCTGGCCAGCCAAGGGATACACAGAGTGGCAGGGCCTCTATGCCTGCATCTACTCGAGACATAACTTTCCCTGCCAAGATGGCTGCCGCACTCACACCTCATGGCGCTGAACCCACAAAGCCTACAGGAGCTTACCCTGACACCGTCCAGCAATCCCTGAAGAGGCTGGATGCCTTGTTCGACCGCTTCTGGGCCTTGCTGAAGCAAAGAACAGCTGCACGACCAACCCAGCCCCAGACAGTGAACGGAACGACGAAAAGCAGAGGAGAGTGTAGGCCTATGCAGAGCCCTGTCAGCACAGAAGCTCAAGCAACTCCTAACATGGGCTCTGCGGGGCCGAGAGTCAAAACTCCACAAAGACGCACTCACCGAATAAACAGAAACCGCAGGAAACATCACTGCCGCACCAAGACTCCGTGTCTCTGTCCTCCCCGAAAAGTCACAGGCACCACTAGCCAGATCCGTCCCATGGTGACAGCGGCGTCAACGGGCTAGAAAGAAGCTCTGTACTGCACCCTATATACGGCTGTACTAAGATGCCTCACCCTCTGCACAAAGAGACTCCAGCGGGCACCTCAGCAACACCCCGCACGGCTCCAGGAGGCGAAAAGGCATAGCACGGGACTATCATGGCGAGAGACTCTCCCTCCGAGCCTCTTAGCGGCGTGGGCTCACAGCCACCAAGGGACGCTAAGATACCTGCTCTCAGGCACAAGAGAGTTCGGTTAATCCCTGCACGCAGCAACTAACCTGTTTATATACCCAGCGGTACACTCAATCATTTAAACATATAATCTGTAATGCGTGATACCCTTCTACCCAATAATCAGTTATTAGCTTGCATTTATTTTATGTATTTTATTTGACTGACGCGTATCAACCCTAGCCTAGTTTGTTGGCACTATCTTCTCTAACCGAGGCCACAAACAACCCAGCGACACAAACGCAAGAAAATGATAGCAAGTTAAAAATGTTATGTAATTGATCCCACTTAAGATTAGCAGAGTCTTTTTAGCTCCACACATAATGCATAATTGTTTAGTTTTAACCAATGCTACGTCAGGGGCCTATCGGCTGCATGTATGTTAGCCCATATTATGAACACTAGATAACGCTAGTTAATAGACTGTGAGTTAATAGACCCTTTTTAGCACAGCAGCAAGCCTGATACAGAGGGCATGAATGTTTATGCTAGAGCATTGCTTTCACACTTATGTGTAACCCTGTCTACCAAATCTGTCAGGATGCTACAGGCATGTTTACTCTTAAATAATTGGTTATCGCTTAGACATACCTACGTAACTAATATTACCTTTAAAAAAAAATTTGCAAGTTTTCAGAGCCACTGTACAACCTATCTATGTTTCCATATTATTCTTCGCAGTTGTGGCTCATAACTATGTTTTGTACTCACCTGCACAACAAAAATAAAGAATATAAAAAATAAAAAAAAGAGAAGTACCGTAATCAGAGGACAATGCCACAGAATGGGGGAAACCACCAATCAATACAATGTTTCGGCCATAGCCTTAAAGGAACACAATAGTGTTAGTAATACAAACATGTATTCCAAACACTAGGGTGCTGGGGTGGCTGTTTAGGTCCCCGGCACCCTGACATTGGAGTTAGGTTTTTAACTTTCCTTCTCTCCCTCGTGGCGGCTGTCCTGCCTCCATGGCTGTGATCTCAGTTAGTCCAATGCTTTCTCAAAGGAAACCATTAGTAGGCTATTGCGCATGGCAAAACAACACGCTGCGCCAATCAGCATCTTCTCTTTGAATCAATGCATCTCTGCACTAGACTGCCACTAGACGCATTACAGGCAGCATGTGAGCACTACCTTTTCTCTGAAAGTTTTTACATTGAAAAGTTTGCAGGGACATCCTATAGACACCAGAACATTAAGCTGTAGTAGTTCTGGTGACTATAGTGTTCCTTTATGTATATAATTACAATGGTGTAATGAGATAGCGATATATATATACATATAATTGTGATTAACAAGATCACATGATAACAGGGTACGCACCTTAATCAGTCAACAAAGATACAAAAAGTGATATAGTATATTAAACAGTACATAAGTGTAAACCAAATACAAAGATAGCGGAGAGAGATCACAAGTATAAAAAGATGAACATTCATCACATGAAAGTTATTCATCTGTATTGTCCTCTAATGCCACCGTGATTTATATTCAAATCAGAGGTCATGTTACAGGAGGGCTGCTGCGCATGCCAGTATCCTGTCCATTCCCAGGGGTCATGTAGTAGGAGATGCTGTTTTGTGGAGAGTTACTTTAAGGCTCGGTTACTAGTATGGCCATGAAACTACTCATAAATACATTTCTATTTGACCGAAAAAAAACCATGATTCATATAGCAAGTAAATGAACTGATTTTTGCTAGAATTAGGAACACATCATTGTAAGTTCATATATTTTTCTGGAAACAAAAATTCACAAATGAACATTTGTAGGGCCACGATAAACACAGTATTCTACAAATATATCTCCGAACTAATGTCTGTGTTCTTATAAGAAGTGTAATCCTTGTGTAAATAACTTTTCATGAAATAAGCATAATATAATTGCTGAGCTAATGCCCTTGTGCTTTGGAGTGTTCTCATTAACACGTATAACACTCCCGAATTAGTTTGCACAATATAAATACCAATAATAATAAGATACCTATTCTCGAATACCATTAATAGTATTATTTAATGCTATATCATCTTATTTGGCATTGGACAAATAAAATCCATTTTCTGGAGATCCTATAACTGGGGGGGTTTTCATAAAACTATCGCACACATAACATGTTCCTTGCCTCACTTCTCACACGAGCAGCAGTTGATAGTTTATTGTATGTGATCTTGTCTGATCTAAGGACCCTTGTCTCTTTCAGTTTGATAACATCATATCCCATCCCTCTCGATTTCAGTTATCCTTAATGTTTCACACAGTACCGTACAAAGTTATTTAACTTCCAATTGACAGAGAATTGAGCAGTGAGACGGTAGGGGCCGGATCTATACACCATAACTGCTTCATAAAGCTAAAGTTGTTTTGGTGCGTATATTATCCTCTAAATAGATTCCTGCTGCGAATTGCGGAATATAACGTGGCAGCATGTACAGATAATATGCTTTTCCTTGGAGAGCATTTAGATATTTCTCTGTCGAATATTTTAGCTGAATTCTGAACGCAAGGAGCACTGAACAATGTAAAATGTAACGATCATTATATCATCACATGAGGCTACTGCCTTACAAATTATATTTCTGTTTATGGGATGCAGGGAGCACTTTGTTCCTACACTTTGAATTCTCATATGAGCAGTCTCAGCCAACCAATCCAAGTGCTATAACTAATATTGCATTCTGTGGGAACATTTGCAACTGATGGGAAATTAGCCCCCCCGACAAATATTATAAATAGTGCCCCCACAAGCCACCAGTGGGTGAGGGCTGGGGGTTACACCAGGTCGACCCTCTTATATTTTAATAGCCCCGCCCCCCACCCACTGAACACTGGTGGGATTAGGATGTACCCTCTTTTTACTTATTAAATATACCCCACCTGCTGCCAATGGGTGGGGGCAGGGCAGTGGTCAATGAATTGTCAACTCCCCATTATTTATTTTAAAGTCCTCGACCCGATGGCCAGTCTCTGCATCCTCCACCTAACTGCAGCTCTCTTCATGCAGAAGCATTAGCACAAGTAACAAGGGCTAGCAGTTAATGGTGGAGTACTAAAGCTGGCTTCAGCATTTGGCTGAGCAGAAGAGGAAAGCGGCAGATTAGCTGCTGCGAACACATCTTAAGTGTTAACCTATTTTCACTGTTTAAAACATATCCTACCCCACAACACCTGCATCCCACAAAGTGGAATAAGAAGAGATGGACTAGTGATGTGAATCCTGTCACTGGTTCTTTCCAAAGGGGGTTACAGCCACCCACCTTGATTAATAGGCAGGAGTACCTGGTCTGCATGCACACCAGGCTGCAGGGTATCTAAAGATGTGCTCGCGCTATGTTTACTGGAGACAGTTAATGGTGTCCCATGGGCAGGATCCTAAAATAGGGACTGTGCTGACATAATTGGGACCGTTGGCTGGTCTGACATTGTGCACAAAGCATCATCCCAGAGTACACGTAACCATTTATTGTCCCCTGCGCAGTGGAACGCTGGAGCTACTCTGTAAATCAAATAATATCATGGGGCTCAATGTATATTTTTTGATACACTTTTCAAATTATTACATTTTTCTTTTTGGTAAACGTTTAAAAAGATCTCAAAAGAATATACAGTATAATATTTATAAAACTATATCAAAATATTTCAAGATTAAAATATTTTTTATTCTATTAAATAATTTTACCGGTTTATGTTATAAAAGGTAATTCATTTGGAAATCTTTAATAATAATAATAATAATAATAATAATAATATTAAACCAAGGCCTTGGTTAGCTGCTGAAGCCGTGTCTTTTTTACAGATTGACAGATTAGCAATTCCAGTGAAATGTAATTTGTTATATTTAAGCAATACTGTATTTGCAATATTTATTTTTAATCTGATTTAATGGAAATAAACCTCCTTAGATCTGAATAACAGACTGAGAAAACAGCTAAAGCTCACTTTCCATAGCTGGTAACCATAACAACAGAGCTCTAAACACACGAGACAGCACAGCTTTATAGCTGTGTTTCCAATAAAAGTGACTTTCGGTCTCCAAAAACATGGCTGCCGCAGCCAGGCTCTACTGTGATGAGTTTTATGGCTGTGGAGCTCTGTGAATATTTTAGTGATCCAGTAATGAATATCGTGCATTAGTACTGAAATGCATGTTATATTTGTGGAGCTCTGTTATTAAGTAATATTTACTGTGATGAGTCTATGTCTATGGAGCTCTGTGATTCAGCAACCAGCCCTGTGCATTACTGCAATAAGTTTTATGTCTATGGAGCTCTGTGATCCAGTAATGAATCCAGTGCATTACTGAAAGGCATGTTATGATTGTGGAGCTCTGTGATTCAGTAATATGTTTGGTGAATTCTCTGTTTGTGTCTATGGAGCTCTGTGATTTAGTAATGTGTATAATTTCTCCAATGAGTTTGTGTCTATGGAGCTCTGTGATAAGTAGTTTGTGTCTATGGAGCTCTGTGATTACTCCAATGAGTTTGTGTCTATGGAGCTCTGTGATAAGTAGTTTGTGTCTATGGAGCTCTGTGATTTACTATTTGTGGGTCTGTGTGATTGTCCTCTGGGATGTTGTAAATGTATTACAGATTATTGGGGAGTTTTATGGCGGTGGAGCTCTGTGATTAAAGCCCACAATAGATGTATAATTACTGAAGGGATGTTATATTGTTACATTTTTACATATAGTGCCATGTCATTCACGAAAAAACAAAACCCCACAACGTCTGAGCACTAAACACAGGTGACATTAAAGCTTTTAGTGTGCTGTAAACTTTGTCTCCAGAATCATGGCTGCCATTATGGATCATTTGTGCGTTAGTCCAGCTCTCGCGTTTATAGCTCTTCAAAACTCGAGATAGAGACTTGAAACGCATACTCCGGAAGTTCGGTGAAACGCATTTCCGGTTACCAGTTTCCGGTTGTTTTGGAGCTCCGTTATAAAGAAGGAGAGCCTGCAGCAGGTTGGTCAGTGCTGGTTTATACTCTCACTATGTCTCCAGGTCAGGCAGGTTACAGGATAGTCTCCATGGCAACAGCCATTCTATATCCCAGCATAGTGCATGCCTATAGCTATAAATTATATACACAGTGAGATATTACAACTTTAATACCATTTATAACACTGAGTCCAGGGGTTTATTCACTGAACTGGGAGTAGCTGAGATCTCACAGGGCAATTCTACATCCAGACCAATTAACTGGGCTAAATGGTCATTGTAAGCCCCCAAACCACATGACCATAGATACTTATCACAGGGAAATATGATATATACTTTATATATATATATAGGGCTGGGAGATAAGACAGCAAATGAAATTAGCATAAAATGCAATAATTATAATGTTACATGTTTGAGCCATTATTAACACACAAAGTTATTGATATCTCAAGCAATAATCTGTTTCGTTAAGTGAGTTATTATTTGTCTAAGATTTGGTAGAGTTGAATGAAGCGGGTAACTTGCCTTCCATTTATTTCGTTGGTATTGATGCTTTTACACAATGGCCATAATATGTCAAATCTATGGCTGGCGCTAACGCATGGCACCTTCACTTATTACCTGTAATCTGGGCCAATAACAAAGGTGATTGGTGCATAATCCTTCACTGTCCCTCATGATCAAACCATCACATCTATTATTCTGACTCATGATGCCAGCATCTAATCTTAACCGATAACATTTGTCTCGCTGACGGCAGGGTGCAGATTGCAGAAATTATGCACAGTCCTGCAAAGCTATCCCCCTAGCTGCCAACAAAAAAAAGGCCACATACGTAGATTTTAATTTTTTCACCATTTTAGGTTGGTGTTACTGTGAATGAAAACCATACTATGGCACATTACCTGCTGTGACCATTCTGAGCATAATCCTCCCAGGAGGACCAGAACTGTAATTTGGAGAATTTGACAGACTTAATAATGAACAAGTACAGAAATCAAGTAACTGAGAGGATCATAAATCTCACCCTGGAGATAATCTACCTGCTGACTGGAGAGGTGAGCAATTCTGGCAATATAACATTGATGTCATCCCTTTCTCAGTCCTGGAAACAGGATATTCAGAACATGAACATATGACGTTTGTGAGATTGTGTGTTTATTAAAGGGTAAGCACCCTGACCACTTTGCTGATTTGAAGTGGTCATGGTGCTTGAAGTCTGTATGTGCATTTCACTGAGAAAAGCTGCACATATAGAGTCAAAGCCCTTTGTTTCCTGAGTTGTAACTGCGCCTCCAGTGGTGTCATTAGCCAGCCAGGAACAAGAGTCAGTTCAGTTCTGTGCATAACATGCTAGTGATTGATGACCAATAATAGCACAGCTCCCTCCGTGCCACCCTTGGTTAGTTTATCCTTTAGAAACTGTGTTTTTTTTTTTGGTTGGTTGGAGTAAACCTTTAATATATTGTATTAGTCAAAAGCTGAGTGCAAGCAAGGTATTGTATATAAAGAGATAAAGCTGGTGATTTATCAACAAAGACTTATCAGAGATTTAACAAGGGAGGGGGGGGGAACACTGTTTAATGTCCCACAATCACATCTCGAGCTCCCCCATAATCATGAAACATTACATGTGTAAGAGAATGCCTTTTGATTAAAAAATATATATATTAGCATAAAATTAATTTCAAGTGAGGGGTGCATAGTGAGCATATAAACATATTATAATGCAGCAATATTGTGTATATATTGCTTTGCAGACAAACGTAACAATTACAATTATGTAAATTTACACACAAACAAAAAGCTTTAGACAGTATATAGTGTGTTTCTGAAATAGTAAAATACCTTGCTTATAGATATTCACAAGGGCCATGAAGGCTTTATTAGCAGTACAGCTTACTAAAAATGAATGTAAAAACAATATCTGCATTTGAGAAAACAGAAACAGTAAATACAATTCAAGGGACACTATTGTCACCAGAACAACTCCAGCTTAATGTGTTTTTTTCTGATAAGTATCGTTACCTTCAGGCATTTTCATGCAAACACTGCCTTTTCATAGAAAATGCAGTGTTTATATTGCCCCATAGGGATACCTGCTGTGGCCATTCCTCAGATGGCCAATTGAGGTGCTTCCTGGGGCAGTACTGCACAGTGTGTAGCACTGCCCTTCAGGACGTTGAACTGATTCAATGCATCTCTATGAGGAAATGCTGATTGCCCAAACCAGAGTTTGGCCCTGCTCCCATCCCTCATCCTTGCCGATTTTTAGCCAATTCAAATTAGCTAGTGAATGTTTATGGCGGTAGGAGATACAGGGAGAACTAAAATGCAGGGAGTGAGGGAGAGCCGTGCATAGTAAACTGATTGATTTAGCTAGTATATGGAGTAGCTGGAAACTAGATATTGATAAAGATTCCAAGGAAATAAAGGAGGAGATACAAAACAGATGTACAAGACATGCTTGAGATTGGTATCTGCACTTTCCGATATATTATCTGGTTTCCTTCGATATTCACAATAAATTACTTAATGTTATGGGTTGTAATACTGACTGAAGGTGTGTTTTGCCTTTTAATGTTTTATTATTTAGCATTATATGGTTGCTAAGAAGCATGATGAGCATGTCAAACAAAGCTGGAGTTCCAATGTGACAGATGGATCTTGCAGGAACAAGAGTCCCAGCATGGTATCTCCTCCTCACTCCCTAATCCATGAGAGGAGCAATGACAAAAAGATCCTGGAACTGACCAATAAGATAATTGAGCTGCTGACTGGAGAGGTGAGGCACTGGGAATGTGACATTATACAGTAAAACCAATGGATGTGTCTGGATAGTGACTGTGTCATTGTGTGTGCCAGGTTCCTATAAGGTGTGAGGATGTTACTGTTCAGTTCTCCGTGAAGGAGTGGGAGCACTTCGAAGGAGGCGAGATTCTCTGCAAAAAAGGGGAGATGGAGACTCACCAGACCTTTGGCTCACTTGGTAAGTAGAGCTTTAAAGGGACCCCAACACAATGCTGCTCAGCTACGTTACTAGAGGAAAATAAGGGTGGAAGGGAAAATATGCTGGTGAGAAGGACTTAAAGACACCTGCAGGAGATATGGGAGGAGTAAAGGTGGCTAACTATGGGGAGACTGGCACAAAGTGTGGGAGGAGGTGTAGATGGATATAAGGGAAAAATCATTGGGTGGATATTGAGATAAAGACACAAACAGGGGAAGGGTGTTGATATTTGGTGAAGTACATTTTGGAGAAGGAACACCCCATACAATTCCTTGGGGGGGCATTGTGTTGCAGAAAGGGGCAGTGTAATGCTGTGGGATGTCCAGGGAAATGATTTAGCTAGTTTCCCCAAGATTTCTAATGGCAATACTGTTCTATGCATAAGACTGGTATCAAAAAAGAGTCTGTGTAAAACTCTTCTGTTCACTCCTTGGAAGTAATCCTATAACAATCACAGGACAATAAACCTAGCTGGGCAAGCCACATAAGTAAAGGAAATTAAGATGTCTAGAAATTATTGAAACAAAAGATAGATAGAAGGGTGATGGAGGTGGTAATAGGTCTCAACTTTAATGTAGGCAAGCCACTGTATGGAGGTCACTCTAAACCTCTATAAAAAACTAAACACAATGTCTGGATACTAGTACAGACTACAGGGCGCCACAAGCACTAAAGCATATATTATAACAATGTGGTATGGAATAATCCCAAATGAAGAGTGATCCGTGGAAAAAAGTCCACTTTATTGAAACAGTACTATCCAAAAGTGCAACATGCACAATATGGATAAAATAACAACATAAAATGACAATATCAATATACCAAGAACCCCTAATGGATAGCAGCTATAATCATACAAGGAAAAATAGTAAAGTGCCAAGTGCTGGAATGCAAAAGTGTAGATACCAATAATTAAAAGACAGCATAAAGTGCACAAATACTATATGATGGAATACTTGTAGAAAAAAGAGACTGCTATACCAAAAACTGCAGGGATCTTGGAGATGCTCAACGCGTTTCGTCGATGTCGACTTCCTCAGGAGCTTGCTAGATTGTTGTTGGTCCTCGTCTTCTTTTAAATCCGCCGGTCTTGCCGCCATTAATTGATCGCGCATGCGCAAACCGTACCGTACGCACCATCATACGTGATGACGTGCGACTGGTCGGAGGGCGCATGCGCTAACCAAGCTGGAACGCAAATAAACTTTATGTGTAATATATGCAGCCACAAAATGAGCAAAACTCCACTTGGAGTGCTCATAATCAGTGCGGTCTGAATTTACAGACCTGCCTATATCCAATCTGGGTTATATTACATATGTAGCAACCAAATAAAGATGCAAATTGGGCCATATACGAAAAAAGGGTCAATAGGACCAACATTCAATAAAAATCGCTTTAAATGCAGCTATAACGCTGTGTAAAAAATATATACAATATAAAATAAAATGTTAATATATGTATATATATATAGACAGAAAAATAAGGAGAAAATTACGAAAAAATTACGAAAAAAGTTTAATAGCCTATTTGCATCACAACATTTAAAATTTTGGATACATATATTTTGCTAGGGCTAACAAGGAAAACTATCCTTTCAATGTCATAATAAATCCTGTAGACATTAGTGGAGGATGTCAGGTAAACAAAAATCCAATTCATCAGAATGAATACGAAGGATGAAAGGTAAAAAGTAAATAATAAAAAATATAAATATGAAAAATATATAATAATAAATAAAATATACAAGCGAATCACAATAAATTTGATCATAAAATGTACTGAAGAATATATATATATATAATAAATCACAAGATAAAAACTCCTTATTTTTCTGTCTATATATATATACATATATTAACATTTTATTTTATATTGTATATATTTTTTACACAGCGTTATAGCTGCATTTAAAGCGATTTTTATTGAATGTTGGTCCTATTGACCCTTTTTTCGTATATGGCCCAATTTGCATCTTTATTTGGTTGCTACATATGTAATATAACCCAGATTGGATATAGGCAGGTCTGTAAATTCAGACCGCACTGATTATGAGCACTCCAAGTGGAGTTTTGCTCATTTTGTGGCTGCATATATTACACATAAAGTTTATTTGCGTTCCAGCTTGGTTAGCGCATGCGCCCTCCGACCAGTCGCACGTCATCACGTATGATGGTGCGTACGGTACGGTTTGCGCATGCGCGATCAATTAATGGCGGCCAGACCGGCGGATTTAAAAGAAGACGAGGACCAACAACAATCTAGCAAGCTCCTGAGGAAGTCGACATCGACGAAACGCGTTGAGCATCTCCAAGATCCCTGCAGTTTTTGGTATAGCAGTCTCTTTTTTCTACAAGTATTCCATCATATAGTATTTGTGCACTTTATGCTGTTTTTTAATTATTGGTATCTACACTTTTACATTCCAGCACTTGGCACTTTACTATTTTTCCTTGTATGATTATAGCTGCTATCCATTAGGGGTTCTTGGTATATTTATTTTTAATATTGATATTGTCATTTTATGTTGTTATTTTATCCATATTGTGCATGTTGCACTTTTGGATAGTACTGTTTCAATAAAGTGGACTTTTTTCCACGGATCACTCTTCATTTGGGATTATTCCATACCACATTGTTATAATATATGCTTTAGTGCTTGTGGCGCCCTGTAGTCTGTACTAGTATCCAGACATTGTGTCTAGAAATTATTGGTCTGTATCTTGGACTCAAGGAATTTTGACCATCAAGGCATAAACAAGGCAGTCCAACCTATCTCGAAGGTCAGGGCAGCATGGTCGCACCTGTGCGAGACTGCCCCATTGATGTCACACTTGGCGTAACGTGTCCATCAATTTTGGAATATCCAAGAAATGTCAGGAAGGTCCCATGGCCTTATCTGTTAGTAGTCAAGTAATCTTCATGTGGACTCCTGGAAGGATACATATCTGGATTGTCCAACTCTGTGCTATACAACATATAGCGTCATTAGTGCCAATTCAATACCAACACTGATTGTCCTGGCCTCACTAAAGAAAAACAGATTCCATCTTCACAAAATGTGTGGCCATGCTATATGTTGTTGTAGTACAGTTCTCTGTAGAGAACATCATAAAAGAGCCTATAAAAGTTACCTGTGACCTGTGTTGTCAGGTCAGTGTATTGCTTCCCTTGGGAAAGGGACTGTGAGTGCTTGTAGTTGTAATAACCAGAAACACAACCATGTATTCCTGACCATATAGTGAAAAACCCACCATTAAGGCACTGGCCCCACCCCTTGGTGACATCATCAGAATTGCTGATTTTAGCCAATCCAATGCTTTCCCATGGGAAAAGCATTGGATTGGCTAAAATCGACAAGCAGTTTCCCCTACTATTGTTATTTGTTTGACAACCAGAGGAAGTCTTCCCTTATTGTTAAGGAAAGTTGTGTGTTTTTGTCACTGTTGTGGTTATTGTTCTTTAAGTGCTCCTTTGATTAATTGATTGCTCTGTACACTGTTTCTGATAAGATATGATGCTGTATATGACCCTATATGTTATGATCAATAATAAAAGTAAAAAGATTAGAAAAGGAAGCCCAATCCTGGCGCTCTTACAACTGTAAGCCAAGCACCTTTCTAGCAAACTACTGCTTCAGCCAATGTCAGTTCAATTGTTACTTTTGGATAGGTACCCATATAGTACACAAAAACCACTTATGGTGAGTGATTCTCTGTGAACATTTTTTATGTATTGAGACTTATACAATTGTGAAGACATATAGAAGTTATAGGAAGATATTTTCTTCTATGTAATTATCTTTCTATGCATGTTCCCCTACAGAAATAATTTTTTTTACAAATAGTGATTTTTTTTTTTGCAACCATTTCATAGTTGTTTAGGAGCTATATTTCCAAGCAGTTTTAACTTTTACCCATTTCATGGCATTCTTTGGTTTATTAACGTATATTTAAAGGTCAGCTCTGCTCATGTTTTGTCATTCATTTCCAATAGATGAAACCGAGACTCAGAATACACAAGAAGCCTGTGCAAGTCCCTTTTCATCACAAGAGCATGTAATAGAAGATAAAATGGACATTGAAATAAATCCAGATATGACATGTATGAGAATAAGTAAGCCAAAAAGAAAACAAAGACATACAAAGGAGGAAATTGTCTCAAATGAAGAAAAAAATATCACAGACCCTGATACACTCACAGCACGTACAAAATGTACATCTACTGATGTTAAGGAGGAAGTAGACTCGTGTAATAAAGGAAATCCCTCAGAAATGTATGTATCTACAGAGCTTACACAGACACAATATACATCTACTCAGATTAAGGAGGAAATATCGGGTGGAGGAAATCTTACTGAAACCCTTGCAGAGTCTACACCAACAGATAATTCATCTACTGATATTAAAGAGGAATTAGCCTCCGGTAATAAAGAACAACCCATAGAAATGGATATTTATAAACCCACAGAACAGGTGGACACAGAATATACATCCGGTCATATTAAGAAGGAACCAATCTTGTGTGAAGAAAATGCTAGAGAAACTGACATTTATAAACCCACAGAAGATACACTGATAGATTATATATCCACTGGCATTAAAGAGGAAGCACCCTCAAGTGAAGAAGTAAATCTTACAGACATTTATTCACCCCCAGAGAATACAAAGACAGATGATATATCTTCTCATAAAAATAAGAAATCAGTTTTTCGTGGAAGAAAAAATATTACATACACCAATATTTGTTCAACCCCAAAACATACACAGAGAGAATACACATCAACTTATATAGATGATGAATTGTCTTTATGTAAAGAGGGAAATCTTACAGATGTAATTTTTAGACTACCAGATTATTTTCAGACAGAATACTCCTGTACACCTTTAAAGAAGCACCAAAAATGTCATCGTCAGGTGCCAGAAAGAGATAAAATCTTCCCAATAATCAATAGTACTGCGTGGGGTGGAAATGATAGTAGCTCTAGTTCTACCTCTCAGCATGGAAGACGCACCACAGAACGTGTATATAACTGTACTGAATGTCAGAAAAGTTTTACTAGTAACACAGATCTTGTTAAACACAAGGCAGTACACAAAGGAAAGAAGCTGACTTGTTCAGAATGTGGGAAAATCTTTTCTTCTAAATATAATCTTCTTGTACATTATAGGACTCACACAGGAGAAAAACAGTTCTCTTGCTCCGAATGTAATAAATGTTTTTCTGTAAAATCAAATCTTATTTCTCACCAGAGAATCCACAGAGGAGAAAAGCCGTTCTCGTGTTCTGAATGTGGAAGATGTTTTTCTGCTAAATCAAGCCTTATATCACATCAGAAAATCCACACGGGAGAGAGACCATTCATATGTTCTGTATGTGGGAAATGTTTTAGCCGCAGATCACATCTTACTTCACATCAGAATATACACACACGAGAAAAGAATTTCCCATGTTCTACATGCGGCAGCTGTTTTACGGCTAAATCAAGCCTAATTAAGCATCAGAGAATTCACACCGGAGAGAAACCATTCACATGCTCTGTGTGCGGAAAAGGTTTCACTCAAAGCTCAAACCTTGCTTCACATCAAAGGATTCATTTTGTAGAGAAGACATCCTGTACACAGGAAGATCTTTTTAGTGTTAGTTCAGGTATTGCTGGACATGACGTGGACCATATCGATAAACAGATTGCTTTTTACTAATTTTCATTGAATATTCAAGTGTAAACATTTCTGCATAGGTCACACATGGACATTGTGATTCAGAATGATGGATACTTTGTATTTTTCTTGTCTTTTTCAATACATACATGTTCCAGATATGTATGAACCATTGAACTTCTGATAGTACAGATCCTTGTATGATTTATTGATCTGTGCGCTGAACTTTAGCACTTTTGTTTTGTTGACCTTATTACAGGACAGATTGTGATAAAATATTGAAGCTTGAATCATTGGTGATATTGTGCATTTAAATGCGTGTAGTAACCATTCTATTGTTTTATTTTGTGATTTACAGAACATAAAATAAGCAATAATTTGTTGCTATAAATGTTCCAATTAACACGACTGAGTTCTATGTGATCATTGGGGCACGGGAATGAATGTCCTGTAGAGGAACATCAAAATATAATGAGAAAATCACAGTAATTAATTCTAACACACACTAGATAGATGGCGTGAGGGGATCATCTGTTATTTACGGAACAGAAACATACTGTTGCACAGATTAATGTACACTTTGGGCAAATACGTGATGTAATAGGTAGCCGTCTTTGAAATTTCTCTCCATGTACCTAGAGGTAGGTAGCAGGGATTATGTAATGTTAATATGTTTCCCATCCTTATACGTTTCTCAACCATTTCCCAGTCTGTTTACACTAAACATGCATAATGTTTGTTTTTATAGAGTAAAAATAAAGCCACCATGGAGTACTATTCGAAAGGACATCATTGTTAATATTGCTAAATATTTTAGGAGTGCAATGTATACATGCTTATTGCAAGAAATGAGAATATTACGTTTAAAAAGTTCATAAAAGCAATCCACTCCATAAACAATGCTTGGAGAGCCTTGCATTTCAAGCAGTTGTCTGGGTGTGCAACCCCCATTGTGAATTGATGACTAGGAGGAATAACGTCATTCCCTTGTACATTGCAGCAGGAGTAGTTGTGGAAAAATAGTACCCTTTTTTTTTTTTTTAACCCTTGAGAGTTGGTAAGTATTTCAGCCATTAGAAAAATGTCACCTTTTATGCAAGTTAGTAATCAGGTGAGTGAAATGGAAAATGTGCTTTGTGATAATGGTGTCCCTTCTTACACAAAACAATCCAAGAATATAAAATAAGACACTTGAATGGAAAAAGTTCAAATGACAATAATGCAGCCGAATAGAACAATCCAATAGGTTAAATGCACTGGAAATAAATAAAATAAATATTGTTTCATTTATATGCAAATACTATTGTCCTAAACTCTCATTTTAATGTGCTACGCAGTGCTCTAAGATACATTGCTTCTAGTGGTACAATCCAAATGGATATTGAATCTCATTCTGATTCGTGGCTATAGCAAATCAGGACACTTATCAAAAACATTTCCAGTAGTCACAGAAAAGAAAACCAACCTTATAAACAAGATTTGAAACATTAAAATGTATGAACAGACCACTAATGTGTTTTATTGTTCAGAATTATAAAATGACATTGAGAGAGAGATTTTACCAAATTACATACTTCACTTTTATATAAATAGACATTATATTTTCTGATTTAGGTCCTATCTCACTCAGCAAATACTCCACAAAGTACTGAGTGAGTTATGGAGATTTTAGTGTGTATATTACTGTATACGCCGGTTTCTTTAAAAAGTTGAAATGCTGATCCCTTGTTAAACCATGGTGGGTGAATAAAGCCACAAATATCTGAGATCTATGGTTGTGTCCATTTAATTTTACCATATTTATGTACATAAATGCTATATATAATATTAAAATCCAGGTTACTTTATGGTTAATGCAGCCACGTAAGTAACACTAACCAAAAATACTTGATTTTGTTACTGTTAGAGATTATTTTATATTAAAATTATTAAAGTCTATACATTGGTGCTGAACCAATGATTCTAGAAATATATAAAAGAATATAATATATTGTGTAAGTATGACATACTGTACACTGTAAGGGTGGCTGGACATTATCACTTATAGACATGTATAATTCGTTTCGGTCCAAATTTAAATTTGGACATTCGGATGCTTTCAGAAGTGCCGAAGTGTTTCGGATTTCTGAAAAGTGTCAGAACAGGAGAGGGAGGGAAAAACTAAGGGAATGATGACCGGAATCTAACTCTAACTCTAACCCTACTCCTACCACCCCTAGTAGGTGTAGGGATTGCTGAAGTGCCAAACCAAATTGCGAGACGCGGTCACCCCAGAAGCACCCAACAGGGGATTTGAACTGTGGCCCTCATGTGTCCTGTTCCTGCTATCTTGCCTCTGAACCACACTTCAGCTTGATGTTAAGCCTTGCCTTGTTTCCAGCACTAGGGGGCTGGAGTTCACAAGTGGCTCCTACATGTCTATCAAACTACACCTGAGGCAGATTGATCATTACTCCAGGTATAAAACACTGCCTCTCCCTGAGTGCAGTGTCAGTTAGTTGTATCCTGTTTTCTAAGACTGACTTGGCTTGTGACCCTTTCTTCTTTGATTATACCTAACTTGACTTTTGGAACCGTGTCTTTCTACTCTTCTGGATTTTCCCTTGTCTGTACTGCGTATTGGAAACACCTTTCATGCACAACCCCCACGCACAGATTCACAGTCCTGGTGGTTTCTAACCTTATCACCTTGGAGTGTGTATATCTGCAAGGGTGAGCACAAATCTCTGCCTACTGGACTCCCAACAAAGGTAAGTCCTGAAACCAAAGTGCTGAATTGCCAAAGTCCTGGATTTCAGAAGTGCCGAACCAAATTTTTTGCCCATGCACATCCCTACTATGAGTTACTTCGGGTAGTACAGAAGGTGCTTCTCCGCATATAGAGTCGAGCTACAAAATTAATAAGGGGAATAGAGGATTTAAGTTACAAAGAAAAGCAAACAAATTTAAATCTATTTAGTTTAGAAAAAACACATCTGAGTGGAGGTGATACCATTATACAAATATATTTGTGGGCAATATAAACCATTGTCTACATACATACATAAATAGAACTATACATAGGACAAATGTTTACCAATTTAGACTGGAAGAAAGGAGATTCAGTCCAAGGCAAAGAAAAGAGCTCTTTACAGTATGAAAATAAATATGTGGAATTCTCTGTCTGAAGAGATTTTTTTGTCCGTCTGCACAGATTTTTAAAGGAACACAAACGTGTTCCTGACCCTATAGTGTTAAACCACCATTTAAGTGGCTTTCCCCCCTTAGAAAATGTAAGAACTCATCTTATTTCCAGCGTAGTGCGGGTCTGCCAGTGCTGACCCTGCCTATGATCTGCCTCCTTGATGACCTCATCAGAATTGCTGATTTTTAGCCAATTTAATGCTTGCTTGCCCATAGGGAAAGCATTGAATTGGCTAAAATCAGGATGGGGTGGGGCCAAACAGTGTTTTGGCCAATCAGCACCTCCTCATAGAGATGCATTGACTCAATGCATCTCTATGAGGAAAATTCAGCAACTCTATGGAGACACTGAATGGCAGTGCTGCCTACTATGCAGCACTGAGCCAGGAAGCACCTCCAGTGGCCATCTGAGGAGTGGCCACTTGGAGGAGTCCCTAGAGGCAATGTAAACACTGCCTTTTATCTGAAAAGGCAGTGTTTGCATGAAAATCCCTAAGGGCAATGATTATACTCACCAGAACAACTACATTAAGCTATAGTTGTACTGGTGACTATAGTGTCTCTTTAAACATAAACTAAATTAATTCTTCAAAAGCATAATATTCAGGGATATAATATTTAATATGGTGGGTAACAGCTACTTGATACAAAGAGAGATCTGACTGCCATCCTGGGGCAGACAATAATTTTTTCCCCCATTTTTGTGCAAAATTGGAAAGTACTTTAAAATATATTTTTGTTTGTTGTTGGGTTTTTTGCCTCCTTTTCAATCAACAGCAAAAACAGATATGAGAAAGGAAGAAATTTATGGGCTCGACTTTTTTCGTCTTATGTAAGTATGTTACATATGGTACGCCGTAATAAAACAATTTTGGGGTGTCCTGGCCAGATAATCCCAGTGGCCTAGTTCGGCCTTTTATCCTAGAAGTCCAGCAGCACACCCCACACTTCATGTATTTCTAATATGGTCCTGTTTTGTCTTTTTGTAACTACTATAATGGTGATCGCTTGGGGTTCTATGATGTCTGAGCTGATATCCATGCCCCTTCATGTCAGATAATTTATACTTGCCACTAAGTGTATAATTATAGAGTCATGATGTTGAACGGATGGATAAAGACTTGGCCGAACTTTACTATCATACCTACTGGAATGGGTTGATAGCATAGGATTTAATATGGCCAGAGAAGAAATGAAGTAGATGGCAACCTGCATTAAAGGGAATGAAGATGACTCAATTTACACAAAAATGACCTGAAAGCTGAAATTGCTTAAAGCACCACTATAGGCACCCAGACCACTTCAGCTCAATGAAGTGGTCTGGGTGCCAGGTCCATCTAGGGTTAACCCTGCAGCTGTAAATATAGCAGTTTCAGAGAAACTGCTATGTTTACATTAGGGTTAATCTAGCCTCTAGTGGCTGTTTCATTGACAACCGCTAGAGGCGCTTCTCACTGTGATTTTCATCCTTTCCTATGGACTGATGCGCATTCGGCGGATGACGGCAGAAAAGGGAGGAGAGTTCCCAGCGCCAAGGGAGTCTGGCGCTGGAGAAAGGTAAGAGTTTAATCCCTTAACCCCTCTTGAGCTCGGCGGGAGGGGGACCCTGAGGGTGGGGGGAGGGGGGGGACCCAAAGACCGTAAAGAGCCAGGAAAACTAGTTGTTTGTTTTCCTGGCACCATAGTGGTCCTTTAATTAAACATAGTTCCGTCCATTCACTGTTCAATTTGCATATATATATATATATACACACACACACACATATATATATTGATTTTTTTTTTTTTTAGGTAATCTCTCCCCTGCTTTGTGTATTCTGCTTATTCCCTACCCCGCCACCTGCTTCTTCCATTTTCAGACACATCTTTATTTTATGACACCTCAACCCCCTATTCCTAATCAATTCCAAAGATGGAACAGACCTATTCACTTGTACGGTTTCCTTCTGCACTGCTAATATTTGGTGAGTTAAACACTGTTTATGACTTAGTACTCCACCTTCTCAGTAGTTTTTCTTTTTTATTAAAGATGGAACACCTGTTCACAAAATTTCTTTTTTTCCCCTCTTTGTAGACTCGGACAGCTTAGGACATGTCAAGGCATTCTCCTTTAAAGTAGCTCTGTAATGTTTTGGGGTCTTTGCGTATTTTGCAATGACCATCGATGGTGGTATCACCGCTTTGAGTGCAGTGGCCTGGGAGTGCAAGCAAAGATAGGTTTTACATACTTAAAGCTGTCTTTCATGGCTACCACTATCTCCATCCGAGGAACCAGGATGAAGATGTTGGCAGCCACGAACACTAAAGCTCCTGGCACTTCATCTGCCAGGAACCCATGACACTGCCATACTCTTGTACATCTGCGAGAGTACAACATTGAGGTTTTTAGAGGATAGGGGAATGGACAAAACTAGACGGTGATAGCTCCACCTTTTGTCAAGCGGAAGGAAAAAAATACACAAGACGTTGCAGTCTCTAGTTTGTCTTATGAAATCTTTTTACTGCATTGGAATTTCAGTGAACTTCCAACACAATCAATGTGAGTGTTTCAAAAAAGATTGTATCATTATGAAATACTGATTTTATTGGGGGGAGGGGATGGTGGTGACAGATCTGCTAGAATGCAATGTGTTCTGAAATTACTCATCATCCATAGAGATCAGAAAATGGTGATGTTTTGAGGGGTGATGGTGATAATTGATTTATGGAGATGAGATAAAGTAATTTAGGGGCAGTAACGGGAGGAAAGGGGTTAGAAGTGGACAGACTGAGGTAGGAGAGTGGGAGGGGGACCTGCCAAAATTGGTTTGACAACTTATTTGTTCTTTGTTTACTACTGAAATTCTAGACAAAGCATTTTGGTGTACCTTATGAACAGATAGTCGCCCTTTTGGAGCATAATGTACCCAAAGCTAACGACATTGTCTTTGTTTATTACTGATTATAGCTTATGATATGGAGAAATACGTAAGATTGTCAAGAAATATCAGCCAGTTCTCTCTGGTGACTTTTTCTTGTAATATCCTGCTTTCTCCTGAGTAACTATTGGAATACCAGTGGAGGAAAGTCTATGTTAAACTAGCGCTCCGCTACAAGTACTATATCATTGCTTTTTTGTAAAACTTAGTTTGTTTCTTTCTTCTACTAACTTGTGTTTTATAACATTTGTATTTGTGCAGTCATAGTTAGTTCCAGCAATATGTAGTAATTCAGCTTTTGACTGCTGTATTGAATTCACTGTTTAGCTATTATAGCATTGATATGTTTGCACTTCACATGCCTACAAACTATGTATGTTTCATTAAGCATCACTCTAGGTGTGTGTTTATTCATCTTGTGTTAATTTTGTTTCCTATTTCTTATTATTCTTCACTATGCTTTACTTTTTATTTTATGTGTAGTTTGATTTGTTTCTCATTAATGGTGGTTTATTTGGTATGTCATAATCACTCTCTTCCGTTTGGTAGGGTGAGGATTAATGTTCCTCCCTAATTAACGGACCATTGGGATATATGTTTAATTCAGTGTTAAGTTTGACGGCAAATTTCAATTTAGTTTTAGTCATCTGAATTGTTTTAGTCGACTAAATCTCCAGTAGATTTTAGTCGACTAAAACTAGTCTCTCTCTTTTGTCCCTTTCCCAGCCCCTCTGGTGTCTACCCCCAAATCCACTGTCTGTCTCTTTTGCTTCATACATGGCACCGCAACCCATGCAGTTGTTTGGAAAAAAATTTGTAGGAAATGCTGAAACAATTTAACTCACTTCTTTTTTTAACTCATGCTTACATTTACAAAAATAAAATTTGCTTGTAGAATCTGAACTGATCTCTATTTTATTTCAAAACTTTCTAGAAATGCATTTGAAAGTCATAAATATGGTCAATGATGAACAAACATTAGGTATCAAGAGTTTTTGTGCACTTTATGGAACAGTACTAAAGAGAATGCAAAATTAGATTTATATAAAGCTTTATTACACAAAGCCAGCTGACTGACAATTGTTATGCTTTAACTGATGTTTAAGAAGACTTGATTTAACAGTAAAACATTTCCCACATTCAAAGCATGAGAATGGCTTCTCTCCTGTGTGAATTCTGTGATGTATAACTAGATTTGCTTTAAAATGAAAAGATTTCCCACATTCAATACATGAAAAGGGTTTGTCTCCAGAGTGAATCCTCTGGTGTTTAACAAGGCTTGATTTTAAAGAAAATGATTTCCCACATCCAGTACAGACAAACTGATTTGCTTCTGAATGAGTTCTTTCATGTTCCAAAAGACTTGAGCTACTAGAAAAGCATTTCCCACATACAGAACATGAAAATAGTTTTTCCTTAGACTGAATCTGCTGATGGTTTAAAAGTAGGTAGCTTTGACTAAATGATTTTCCACACTCTGAAAACGGCCTCTCCCCTGTGTGACTACTCTGATGCATCTTCAAATCTGACAGAGTAATGAAACATTTCCCACATTCAGTGCATGAATATGGTTTGTCTCCTGTGTGAATCCTTAGATGTTTAATAAGACTTGACTTTACACGATAACATTTGCCACATTCATTGCACGAAAATGGTTTTTCGCCTGTATGAACCATATGATGGGTCTTTAGATGTGATAAAGAAGTAAAACATCTCCCACACACTTCACATGGAAATGGTTTTTCTCCTGTGTGATTCCTTAAATGTTTTACAAGACTTGATTTTAAACCAAAACATTTTCCACACTCTATACATGAAAATGGTTTATCCCCTACATGAGTACTGCTATGAGAAAACAGACTTGAACGGTTTCGAAAACATTTTCCACATTCAGAACATGAATATGGTTTCTCTCCTGTGTGAAGCCTCATGTGTGTATAAAGCCTGGAGCTTTGACTAAAGCATTTTCCACATTCAGAACATGAATATGGCTTCTCTCCTGTGTGAACTCTCTGATGTATCATGAGATTTGATTTAGATGTAAAACATTTCCCACACACAGAACAAGAGAATGGTTTCTCGCCTGTATGTGTCATACAATGAATGACAAGTTTTGATTTACAAGGGAATTGTTTCCCACATTCTGCACAAGTTAGTTTCTTCCTTTTGTGAAGCAATCGGTGTTTGACAAGATCCGAGGTACTAGAAAAACACTCTTCACAATCAGAGCAGTTGAATATCTTATCTGTGGAGTGCACGCTTTGGTGATGGTTGCTGCACTCGCTGATCTGGTCTTTTTCACCGACTCTAACCACCAGATATTCTTCATTATAGCACACATCTTGTGTATCTTTGTGCTTTGCGGGTGTACAAATGTCAGTGTCCATAAGATTTCCTTCTTTCCTCAAACCATGCTCTTCCTTAATACAAATAGGTCTATATTCAGTTGATGTACGTTCCGTAGGTTCAAAAATGTCATGTTCAGTGAGATTTTCTTCTTCACATAAGGTTAAATCATCCTTAATCCAAGTGGATGTATATTCTGTCTGTGTATGTTCTGTCCGTGTATACATGTCAGTGTCAGTGAAATTTCCTTCTACATACAAGGCTGATTTGTTCTTAATTAGATTACATGTATAGCCTGTCTGTGAATAAATGTCCTTGTCTAGAAATGCTTCTTCTTCCTTAATATTAGCAGATGTATATAATACCTTCATATGCTCAGTTGATGAATAAATGCCATGGTCTGTGAGGTCTTCTACTCCGGAAGAAGCAGCTCCTTCATGAAAATGAGTAGGTGTACATTCTGCCTGAGTGGGTTTAGTTGCTGTAGAAATGTCAGTATCTATGAATCTTACTTCATCACGAATGGCGGATTCCTTTCTAACGGGTGGACCCTGTCTCTCCCTTGGTTTCTTTATTGTTGGGTATTTCTCCTCCCAATAATCATGGGCAATTTTATTTTTCATTACAAGGTCTGATGAAGAAACAGGAGAACAAAATTACACAAACATGCACAATTTCATTCTACAGAGTTTGCAAATGTAGCATTTTTTTGTAATTTTTTTTTACCAGAGCCATCTTCACCTTTTATTTCTCATTAGAAGGACACTATAGTCACCAAAACATCTTTAGGTTAATGAAGCAGTTTTGGTGTACAGATCCTCCCCCTACAGTCTCACTGCTTAATTCTCTGCCATTTAAGAGTTAATTCACTTTTTGTTTCTTTCCATGCAACCCTAGCCACACCTCCTGAAAAAAATGGTTTCATTTTTCAATCAGATGTTAACTGGATTTATATGTTTTTAACTCCTGTTTTGTGTAATAAGCTTTCAACATACTTAGGAGGCTCCTGCAAAGTCCAGCAACTATTAACAATGCAGAAGATGATGCATTCTAAATTAAACAGACTGTGCACAAAAAGAAGTGTAAACCATTAGATCCCACTTTACATGAAGTGTTTAGGAATGCTGTGCAAATCACATGCAGGGAGGTGTGACCAGGGCTGCATAAACAATATAATTTAACTCCTAAATGCCAGAGGATTGAGCTGTGATACTGCAAGGGCATGATCTATACAGCAAAACAGCTTAATTAAGCTAAAGTTGTTTTGGTGACTATAATTTCCCTTTAAGTTAATGTGTTAGTCATTTCTTTGATGTTTTATATTGTAAAGCACCATATAACCAATAATAATAATAAAGACAGTGAAGGAAGCTTTAAAATTTTCAGATTTCATATTTGTAATAGGACGACTAAAGCGAGCAAGACCGTTCCTAAAAAATAGATACATAGCTTTATGGCAGATCTTTCTGGGCCTGATCTTACCCCAGAAACTCCTGCCCAGCAGGTTTTTATGGAATAAGTTGTTTACCCCTCAGAAACAGTTACATTCATCAATCAGAATGAGTGTAACTACTCTATAAACATACAGCAACCATAATGTGTGTGTTGTCACTTTATATACTGACTACATAAGAGTGTGGCTCAGTTTTCTATCAGAGAGAAAGAGAGAGCAGTCAAGGATGTGTGCACGATACAGGCTTTAAGCACAAATATGAAAGTAATTTAACCTCTGCTTACCCAATGAGATGAGGGGCTGTTGATTTTCCACAATCACTTCTTTGTAGAGAGCCCTGTGTTTTTCTAAATACTCCCACTCCTCCATGGAGAAATAGACAGTGACATCCTCACACCTTATAGGAACCTGACACACACAATGAGACAGTCACCATCCAGACACATCCCTTGGTTTTACTGTATAATGCCCCATTCCCAGCAGCCTCACCTCTCCAGTCAGCAGGTGGATGATCTGATTGGTCAGTTCCAGGATCTTCTCATTGCTTTTCTCATGTATTGGTGAGTGATGCAAAGACACCATGCCAGGGATCTGGGTCCTGCAGGGACTTTCTGACACATGAGGACTGCTGCTGTGTGTGACACATGCCTCAGGATTCTTCCTAACCCTGTAATCCTGTAATTTAAGGGATATTAAAAAGAAGAAGATTAACTTGGGCTATTTCTAAATGCCACTATAAAGCATATAATACTTATGTACAAAATGAGATAAGTCTAACTAGGTCCCACTGTTGTAGACACTATAGACACTTCAGCTTTATGTGTGAAGTGATTTTCATGAATTATTTATGTCTTAAATACAGCATAAAATGTTCTTCTTAGCTCCAGCCAAGAGCTGGGGAAGTTTGTAAGTTACGTGTTTTAGTTTGTTAATTTCAGTATTGTATTATACTGTTACTGCTATAATTTGTTATAGTCTTTTATTTACTATAACTTTTTGTAGTAAATGGACATATAATATCACAAAGTGTTTTGTATTTTCTCTACACATATACAAGTATAATACCAAGATATATAAAAAAAAAATATTATTGTGTATTAATAAACGGATTCGTATTCTTACTTAAAAGGACACTATAGTCACCGAAACAACTTTAGCTTAATGAAGCAGTTATAGTGTATAGCTTATGTCTCTGAAGTTCCACTGTTCAATTCACTGCAATTTATAAGTTAAATCACTTTTGTTTCTGTTTATGCAGCCACAGCCATAGCTCCCCTGGCTGTGACAGACACAGCTTGCATGAAAAAAATGGTTTCACTTTCATTAAGATGTAACTTACTTTAAAAGTTTTTTTTTTTCCTGCTCTGTAAATATAATTTTAAGAACATACAGAAGGCTTCTTCGTGGTCTAGCAAGCCATTAACTGAGAAGGAGATATGAAATTCTTAATTACTTATAATTTGCAGTAAAGGAAGTATAATCATTAGAGGACGCTTTGTAGGAAATGTTTAGGAAGGTTGTGTAAGTCACATGCAGAGAGCCCGGACTAGAAATGAAAAAGGAATTGGTCAGTTAGTAAGGATATGCTAGCGAGCATGAGCTAGAGAGCAGGTCTGTGTTCGGGGGAATTCCCCCAAACATAGACCAGTTCACTAGCGGAAGGTGTAAGGAAACCTAGGATATCCAATCCTCATTCGGTAGTTTCCTCCTGAACCGCCAGAGCATCAGTGATTATAGCTCTCCGTTCGGTAGTTGAAATAAACAAAATCCATACGAACACAATAGCTTTACAAGATGATTCCCTTAATAAAGCATACGAATCCCCAAACATCAGCCGAACTCAAAAAGAAGGGTACAACAGAACTGGCTTTTAATGACCACCCCCTAGCTTTTATGAAAGTCCCCATGCAAGGGGATATCCCACAGGGAGGGACACAGTACAACCAATCATTTACAGGAAAAACGTAAAACACTCCCAGCACAAACATACAATTCCTTCCCCTAGTCCTGGAGATAATCAAGTCTGATAAAGTACTAACTTTATTATCTCCAGGCAGAAAAATTTAAATTTTCCCCAATATTCAGAACACCCCTTTAGGCATATGGTATCCCCACATAGCCCCGATCTGGGTGACCAACATATTCAAATTTCACCCGGATCGGTTCAGAGGTTCTCAAAAAATATGGAAGTCTTTTGTGAGCAGCTAACCGCGAGGTGGCTGCCCAAAGCAGTTCCATGAGTGTGAGTAGTTTTGCCAGTCTATTTTGTTAAGTAGCAAAAACCGAATAATCCCACGAACAGTTTCCCCTGGCTATTGGCAGCGATTGTTCCCCTCATTCGAATGCACAAAAAGTACCGAACAGCGCTCTTCTAGCTGTTCGGGAAATAAAGATCCAGCGTTCGCTTGTTGAGACCGGTGTTCAGGAAGTCAAGTGTCCGATTTTAGTTCCAGACACTCGACGACCAAGTCCCGCTGCCTTTGTTCGCATGAAAAAAGATGGCCGCCATTTTCTCAGCCACGTGACGTTCGGTATTACGAGCGCCGGCCGCACAGGTAGAGGGTTCAATTGAGGCATTCTTTGAAGTTTAACGAGCCAGGAGGGTGGTCTCTGTTCGGTAGTTACATCTACCGAATGAATAGGAAAGAAATAGTGAACATAAAAAAGTGATTTCTTCACAGAGGGAATCTCTAAAATCTATGTTCGGGGAAAATTCCTTGAACATAGACTAGCTCTCTAACATGGGAATCCCTTGAAACCCCAAGCTAGAGAGCTGTTCGTAAGTATGAGCTGTCATAAAGTAGGTAGGTCGCAAAGTGAGGACCACCTGTACTAACTAAAATTTGTTTGCTTTTAAACAGACCATGTTAGTGTTATGATACTATATTTCATGTTAATAAGTGGAAGTGTAATATGGTAGTGGCCAAAGTAATAGTGATGTCAACGTAACTTTCCCAGAATCCTCCTCACCTCTCCAGTTAGGAGGTAGATGATGTCCAGGGTGAGCTCCAGGATCTTCTCAGTCTGATTTCTGACCTTGTCCATTATGCCATAGCACAATATTGATTCCTGCTTTTAGAAAAATATAAACTTTATTTAAGTACAGTATGTGTGTTCTTAAATGTATTTGTGTGTGCAGGGTTTAGTTAATGAGAACATTCATTTTTTTCTCAATGGGAGTCAGTGATAGGCTGAGAACATCATCTGACACTCTTACCCTATCAGTGGCTCCTAGAATAAGGCTCTCAGGAAATCACTGTCTCCCCGAGAAATGCTCTCAGACTATCACTGGCTCCAAGAGAACGGTATTCACATTGAAACAGCTGGATGGGTGCCTTGGAAGCACTGTAGGCTTAAACTGTTTATAAATAGTGATGTCGCGAACCGTTCGCGAACTTGCCGCGAACTGTTCGCCACGAACTCCGGTCAGCTGACACATCCCTGCCAATCTCCGGCAGACCCTCCTACTTCCTAGACAGCATCCATGTTGAAGGCAGCTTCAACATGGATGCTGTCCAGGAGGTGGGAGGGTCTGGGAGGGAGGGTCTGCCGGAGATTGGCAGGGATGTGTCAGCTGACCGGAGTTCGCCACGAAAGGTTCACGGCAAGTTCGCGAACGGTTCGCGACATCACTATTTATAAACAGTTTAACCCGTAACATAAGAGCGCGCCCAGGACATGCATTAATATCAAGCTGCTATGATGCTCATTACGTTCCTTTAGAGCAGAACTGTCGCTTCCCAACAATCGATAGCACCTTCTTTCTTCACATTATTGGTGTGAATGACGTAGTGAAGATAAGTACAAATCTTATTTACCTCTGTGGCATGTCTACATTATGGCCAACAGAGGCATCCCATGATGCCTTAGATGATGTAATCCTCAGGCTTCTATTAAGAAAGTATTTACAACAGGACTGCCATCTGAAGTTTTGGGACCCCTTACACAGTTCATGGTCTTTGCCTGCCTCTCATGGGGATGCAGTTGTGTTTGGGTAGTGGATACAGTGTGAGCACATAGTGGATACAGTGTGTGTGTGCGCACAAGGGATGCAGTGTGTGTGTATATATAGTGGCACAGGATAGGGGCTGTGTTCTGTGGCGGGGTCAAAGCGGGGCAGTTTATTTTATTATTATTTAATTTTGGTTTTCCCTCCGTGCGTCTATCCTGTGACTAGGAACGGGGTGGACACTAAATTCCCCAGTGGTACTTTATTGTCTCCAGCTTGAGCCTCTACTACGTACAGGCTTGTCTTTCATTACATGATTGTGCAGTATTGGAGTGCTGCTGTGGTAACCCCCCCCCCCCAACACTCTGACAGACTGGGGGTCGAGGGAGAGAGAGGACCAGGCGGAGGTGAAGGCTGTGAGTCCCCCTCCAGGATATTACTATTTTATTATTTATATAGCGCCATCAGATTCCGTAGTGCTGTACAATGTGATATAATCATACAATGCCTGCATCTGTATAGTATATATATATATTCTCTCTCTCGCATTGCAGGTTCGGGGTTTTTACCTACTTACTTGTTTTGCTGGTAAAGCCTGTGAATTAAAATAATAGCAGATGTTCCATTATTCCCATTATTACAGCCATCTGGTTCTCCTAAGGGGGCTAATAATGCAATGAACATCTTCTACACCAGCCCTGCTTTAACCCCACCAATATAACACATTATTATACATTATTATACATTATTATACATTATAAACCAGCAGCAGCTTCTCTCACCCTGTTTGTAGATGCTCTCTATCAGGGCTGTCCAACCTGCGGCCCCCAGCCCTGCTCTATGGCCTCCTCCTCCTCCTCCTGTGTACAATGTTATATAGAGCTCTAAACACCCGAGACAACATTCAAAATAATAATTAAAAAAAGAGCCACATGCTAGAGTTCCAAATACTAAAGACATAGTACCTCGCCTCCACAGGAACTCTAGCTGTACCTTATAACTACTGAGTGTCTCCGGGAAAATGGCTCCTATTCTGGTTTGTCTCTTGTGTTTTGAGCTTTGTTGCCATGGTGACCGACTCGGCTCGGTTTTCATTTTATAGAATTAGTGATCTCACACAATGTTTGGTGCCTGCTTCTTAGTGTTTGCAGCAGAATTATTTTAATGTGTTTTTCAATATATTTCTTCCAATCAGTTTGCTTCTAGATCCTTGTAAGAAGGCACACACAGTGCAAGAACAATGAAATCACAACACAAACAGTGTAAATATGGGGAATTATTCACTATCAGAACACAAACAGTGTAAATATGGGAATTATTCACTATCAGAACACAAACAGTGTAAATATGGGAATTATTCACTATCGGAACACAAACAGTGTAAATATGGGAATTATTCACTATCAGAACACAAACAGTGTAAATATGGGAATTATTCACTATCAGAACACAAACAGTGTAAATATGGGAATTATTCACTATCGGAACACAAACAGTGTAAATATGGGGAATTATTCACTATCAGAACACAAACAGTGTAAATATGGGAATTAATCACTATCAGAACACAAACAGTGTAAATATGGGGAATTATTCACTATCGGAACACAAACAGTGTAAATATGGGAATTATTCACTATCGGAACACAAACAGTGTAAATATGGGGAATTATTCACTATCAGAACACAAACAGTGTAAATATGGGAATTATTCACTATCAGAACACAAACAGTGTAAATATGGGGAATTATTCACTATCAGAACACAAACAGTGTAAATATGGGGAATTATTCACTATCAGAACACAAACAGTGTAAATATGGGGATTATTCACTATCAGAACACAAACAGTGTAAATATGGGGAATTATTCACTATCGGAACACAAACAGTGTAAATATGGGAATTATTCACTATCAGAACACAAACAGTGTAAATATGGGAATTATTCACTATCAGAACACAAACAGTGTAAATATGGGAATTATTCACTATCAGAACACAAACAGTGTAAATATGGGGAATTATTCACTATCAGAACACAAACAGTGTAAATATGGGGAATTATTCACTATCGGAACACAAACAGTAAATATGGGAATTATTCACTATCAGAACACAAACAGTAAATATGGGGAATTATTCACTATCAGAACACAAACAGTGTAAATATGGGAATTATTCACTATCAGAACACAAACAGTGTAAATATGGGGAATTATTCACCATCGAACACAAACAATGTAAATATGGAATTATTCACCATCAGAACACAAACAGTGTAATATGGGGAATTATTCACCATCGAACACAAACAGTGTAAATATGGGAATTAATCACTATCAGAACACAAAGAGTGTAAATATGGGAATCATTCACTATCAGAACACAAACAGTAAAATATGGGAATTATTCACTATCGAACACAAACAAAGTGTAAATATGGGGAATTATTCACTATCAGAACACAAACAGTGTAAATATGGGAATTATTCACTATCGGAACACAAACAGTGTAAATATGGGAATTATTCACTATCAGAACACAAACAGTGTAAATATGGGAATTATTCACCATCAGAACACAAACAGTGTAAATATGGGGAATTATTCACTATCAGAACACAAACAGTGTAAATATGGGGAATTATTCACTATCAGAACACAAACAATGTAAATATGGGAATTATTCACTATCAGAACACAAACAGTGTAAATATGAGGAATTATTCACTATCAGAACACAAACAGTGTAAATATGGGAATTATTCACTATCGGAACACAAACAGTGTAAATATGGGGAATTATTCACTATCAGAACACAAACAGTGTAAATATGGGAATTAATCACTATCAGAACACAAACAGTGTAAATATGGGAATTATTCACTATCAGAACACAAACAGTGTAAATATGGGGAATTATTCACTATCAGAACACAAACAGTGTAAATATGGGGAATTAATACTATCATAAACAGTGTAAATATGGGGATCAGAACACAAACAGTGTAAATATGGGAATTATTCACTATCAGAACACAAACAGTGTAAATATGGGAATTAATCACTATCAGAACACAAACAGTGTAAATATGGGAATTATTCACTATCAGAACACAAACAGTGTAAATATGGGAATTATTCACTATCAGAACACAAACAGTGTAAATATGGGAATTAATCACTATCGGAACATAAACAGTGTAAATATGGAAATTATTCACTATCGGAACACAAACAGTGTAAATATGGGGAATTCTTCACTATCAGAACACAAACAATGTAAATATGGGAATTATTCACTATCAGAACACAAACAGTGTAAATATGGGGAATTATTCACTATCGGAACACAAACAGTGTAAATATGGGAATTATTCACTATCGGAACACAAACAGTGTAAATAACATAAACAGTGTAAATATGGGGAATCATTCACTATCAGAACATAAACAGTGTAAATATGGGGAATCATTCACTATCAGAACATAAACAGTGTAAATATGGGAATTAATCACTATCAGAACATAAACAGTGTAAATATGGGGAATCATTCACTATCAGAACATAAACAGTGTAAATATGGGGATTATTCACTATCAGAACACAAACAGTGTAAATATGGGGAATTATTCACGATCAGAACACAAGCAGTGTAAATATGGGGAATTATTCACTATCAGAACACAAACAGTGTAAATATGGGAATTAATCACTATCAGAACACAAACAGTGTAAATATGGGAATTATTCA